CTTCTGCTCACCTCTGTCCACCGGAACGCCAGCCTTCTTGTCCCCTGCTTTATCTCAGCACCTGGAACCGTGCCGGCACCTGGCAGATACTTCACGCACGTTGGTGATGATGAAGGGGTGAGCGAGCAGAACTGGCCGGGGCAGCTTTGCCGGGGAGCAGAGCTGCGGTGGTGCTGCTCTGACGGGAGGTGACACTCGGATTTTGAGTTGCTGGTGTGCAGACACTGCAGACGAGCCTTTCCTGTCCCTAAGCCCTGAGCTCATTGACTGTGGCCGCCCCTTAGGCGTCAACCATGTGGGACAGGTGGGCGGCATCGACTTCCCTAGCTAAGGATTCATGAGCAGTGACTACTTGCTATCACTTGCTTACATTTCTTTTCACTCTGTTCTAAGTTGTGTGTTACCCACCAGCCCATTGATACTGCTGAGAGTCCGACGCGGTGAGTGTCTCTCTCCTTCATCTGGTCTGCGGTCCCTGTGGGAATGTGGGCTGTTCGAATCGGGAGGCTGTACGCACAGCACACCTGTCCTGCCGGTGGCAGAGAGGCACCGGCAGGCTCCCTGGACAGCACTTTGGCCCGGTCCGCTCCCCCCGTTCCAAGAGCAGATGCCCACTCCCTGTGGGTGCATGTCCTGTCACTCGGCGGCTCCCAGCCAGCGTCGGGGTGGAGCGTTGTGGGCTCAGCCCCTAGTCACGTCTGAGGCCTGTCACGTAGGGTGTGTGCAACAATAGCTCCAGCCGCCAGACTGGCCGCCAGAGGGGCCTGAGTGTGCACGGGGTGGCTGAGACGGAATTCCCAGTGGGGGCAGATGAGCCCCGAATTCCCAGTGGTGTGCGTGTTGGCAGCAAAGCGGAGGCCACGTGCTAGGAGGCAGAGGCTGGAAAGGCAGGTGTTTACTCTGAACCTCAGAGTGAAGCTGCACCCACGATCCAGGGGACTCACAGAATAGGAAGAAATAGGCCAGCGCCCACTGGGCAAGAGCAGGTCAGCGAGGGCAGCTTAGGTGAACAGCTGACTTGACCCTCTGCTCTGACTTGGTCTTGCTCAGAAGATGAGGTTGAAGACGCACGTGCATCTGGAGCCAGGGAGAGGCCCAAGCCCGCGGGTGCGGACCGAGCGTGATTTTGCAGTGGCCACCGAGCCAGGCCTTCCCGAAGGTGCTGGCAGCGAGCCCCGGAGGTGGCACAAGTCCTCAGCGTCTGCCAGGACGGTGGTGTTTTCATTCGTGGGTCTTACCCGAGCCCGGGTTCCAGCCGCGTGCCCGGGAGAGCAGACCCGCTAGTCTGCCCTGGCCCCACTGTTGCATGCCGTGTGGAAGATGGGGTGGGGGCCTTGCAGAGGGGTGCCCTCGCCAGGTCCTGGCCCAGCAGAGCCCTCCTGCCTCTGCCGCGTCACCTCCTTCCGGCAACCTCATACGTCCTGCCCGCTCTGCAGGGGTCCTCCCCAGAGAGGCAGTTTCACCCAGGGCTGCGTTAGCCCCGTCGGGCAGGACAGTGTTGTTTACTCCTGTCCAAGGAGCTGGTCAGTACGAGAAGAGAGAGAGAGAGACGAGAGCATATTCTGACAGAGGGCGGACAGGAACAACCGCAGCGGGCGAGTCCCATCTCCTGCAGCCTGCCCAGGGGTCTCAGTGCAGAGCGCGCGGCGAGGCGAGGTCGGGCGCTCACCGTGTCAGCGGTGCCGAGGGGCTCCGCTCTTCAGCCGCGTACCTCGGTTTCACTGCGAAAGGAGCGAATGCTTTAGCCAAATAACCTTTTTAAGAGGATGTTGCAAAATGATTTGGGTAGAAATGAAAGTGTGGCTTTCTCTTTTAAAAGGGTCATCTGTTGGCCTCCAGGGAGGGCAAGATATTTTCTCCTGCACTGCGGAGACCGCCTCCCTCCTGCTCCGTGTGCGCACACTGCCGTCCGTTCCCTGCGATGGGGCCTCCCAGTACTGGTGGGCACGGCCAGGTCCAGTGGGCGCTGTGGGCGCTGTGGGCGCAAGGAAACCTTTGCGGGATCTTCATACAGGAACGAAGTGCTGTTGAGGAGAATTAACGATGCACTGATTTGATTACCACGCACAAGTTGCCCTTTTCTGGGCATGGAACAGAAACAGTGTCTAAGAGGAAACCGCTCCTGACACACAGATGCAAATGCAGAACAGGCCTGGAACCAGGACATCCTGAGAGCTCGTGATGGATTCGAATCTGTGCACAGTAGAGCCCTTTCACTTCGGGGCGAGGGAAATGTCAGGGAACTCTCACAGCATAACGTGTGGCTTGGTAGTCCCTGCAAACGTCTCGGTGCTCTTTGTGCAGTGAAGGGGATGGAGTCGGAGCAGGGTGGGTGAGAGGGGCACGCTTGTCCAGCCCCCCCACCTCCCGTGGGCCCTGTGGCACTCGGAGCACACTGGGGACACACAGCCCGTGGCACAAGCGAGGTCCGGAGCTGCAGTGAGTGGAGGAAGCAGGGCCCAGCGTCCACACGGCGCCGGGAATGTGCTACCAGGTTGGTATTCGGAGACAGCGAAGCGGTGTGAATGAGTTACTGATAACCACTACAGCAACGTTCCTGAAGATTAATATGGAAAACACTCTTCTGCACAGTAAGAGAAAGGTAACGCAGCGACTCCACTCCAACAGAGAAATGGTCAGAGATCCACAGAAGTGTTTGCAAGGATTAAGTGGGAACAACCAATGGATGGGTACAAAAAAGTCCAGCCTCGCAAGCTGCTAACGCAAAACAAATACGTGGTAACACACAGCTTTTGGGGCTACACAAGACAGCAGGGGTTTCCCCTCGTGTTCATGCTGAGTGTTGGCGAAGGTGTGGGAGGCAGGGTGCTTGTGTGTGTTGGTGGCGACGTGAGCAAGCGTCGCTTTCTGGGTGTGGCTCACATGCACCTGCGCGGACGGAGGCTGGGCCCCGGAGGGGTGAGGGCAGCAACCGTGACCGATCTACCTGGGGGCCTCGCGGGCCTGTGCGGGGCTCACCGCGTCTCCCGGCTTCTCACCGGAGGACAACTCGGCGACGCCCCAGATGTCAGCTCACAGGGACGCTCCGTTTCCTGATTATGTGGTCGCTTACCAGCCCAAGTTCCTGTGGAGGCCCGTGCGAAGTGTCTCCAGGTCTTCGCTCCCGAGAGCACAGCGGTGTCGGAGAATGCACAGCCTTCGCACAGCCTTCCCGTGTGTCCGTGGGGACACAGTTGCCACGTTGCTCTGCCCCGTGGGTTTGCTGGGGCTGTCACGGTGAAGTGCCGCGGACAGGGTGCTGTGGAGCGACAGGCGAGATCCCCTCAGAGCCTGGAGGCTGCACGTCTGAGGCCACGGCCGGGCAGCGCAGCTCCCACTACTCCGGGACTTGGGGTGCCACTGTCTGACCGCTCCTCGAGGACACGGTTCTGGACGTGGAGGACGGCTGAGCGGTGGCCAGGGTCAGAGGTGGGGGAGGGACGCGCTGTGAGAGGGCGGCGTCGGGGGAAGGCATCAGTGCGTGTGGACAGCGCAGAACCTCACACGCGCCCCAGTGAGCGTGAGTGACACTGGGAGTGCGGGTGGTGCACGGTGTATTCCACTGCGAGGCTGCACCGCCACCTGGCAGAACGGTAGGCAGCATTTGGGACTGAAAGGTGACTTTATTTGCCCTCATGTTTCTTTATGCCGTCTGGAAGGGTTGTTTGCCATTGATACTAAGGAAGTAAGCAAATGAAGGTGTAGGCAGATCTCACTGCCTCTTCCACGCGGGAACGCCACCCCCACTGGCTCCTTAACGAGCCGCTGCAGTAACTGGACATCAGCACGCGGCATGCCACCGCCTGCTCTTCTGGCTTTGAACTAGGGCCTCACGTTCAACACTGCTGCTTGGGTCCCTCTGCCCACTGCATTTTAGCATGTGTGGTGTTTCTCTCTAGACGAAGTGACAGGCCTGGCACCGTCCCTCAGGTCCAGCTGCTGGAAAGGACAACTGCCCATGTCGATCAAGACCCCCAGGGATCCCCAAACTTCGGTCAGACACCATAGAGCCAGTACACCCACCCACTTGGGGACAAGCTCTCCAACTGCTTTTGCTTCCAGTGGAGTTGTAGACGGACCCAACTTCATTCTATGCCAGTTTCCTCGGTGCTAGGAGGAACCTGAGGCTGAAGGCGTGACTTCCCCCGTCCCGTTTCCCATGTGTTACTGAGTGTTGCGTGGGTGGACGTGCCGGGGGCCTGGGAGTGAGGAAGCCTGACGGGAGGCCTCTGGGTTTCTGCAGCCGAGACCCAGACTCCGAGGTGCCGACCTGCCCCTTCCTCCTGAATTGTCCCTGTGCCTGTGGAATTCACGTTAGGCACCTGGTGGCCCTCTCGGGGTCCAGGGTCTGCAGGCAGGTCAGTCCCCTCAGTAGGGAGGCCCCTGTAGAGGGCAGGGGTCCTTCAGATGGATGCGGTGCCAGCCCAGGGGTGACTCAGGGACATGAAGGCTTTGGGGACGGCCCCGGACCAGGGTGTGTGCTTGGAAGGCGCAGCTTTGTCTCGCAGAGGAGGAGCACACTTCCCGCCTGACCTCCACGTCCCAGACACGTTGCACAGGTTGTCGCGTTCGCCATCTCAGCCGCACGAGGCCGGATGGTACACCCTGGTTTCTCGGTGGAAAACAGTCTTAGCGTGGCCTTCTAACTTGGCCACGACCACACAGAGCCGATAGTGGCAGAAGCCATGCCCAGAGAAGGGACACGTCACGGGAGCGAGTCACTGCCAGCAAGTCCTCCAGCTGCTGCGCTCGGAGGCCCCGAGCCACCACGCTGCTCCCCCCTCCCGTGCCGCCGCCTCTCTGCGGCGGGATCGTCGTGTCGGAGGGGCGCAAGTCCCTCTCGGGGGTGAGGAGCCTCAGCTTTGGGCAGTGATGGCTAGGTGCTCCTCAGAGACCCCGCTTTTGTTCGTGGTGGGTTTATTTTGTCTTAGCTCCCGGGTTTGGGGTCCCGTTGTAGATGACCGTGGTCAACAGAAAGTCACGCTATGTCTGTGTCAGCGTGTGGCTTCTGTCGAGCTTTATTCCACAGAAATAAAACACTGGTAACTGACCACAGGCCTCTTGTTCCCGCCTCCCAGCGCTTCTGACGTCTGCCTGGCTGTCGGCACCTGGGCCGGACGGTGCTGATAGCCTCCCCTCACCGTCCACCTGTTGCACCCCCACCCAAGAGCCGGTGTGGACGTTTGATGTTTCTTCGTGGCGCCCATGCCGCCACGTCCTCGAGGCACCTGCTGGGGTGGGGGGGCACCTCTTACCTGCCCCCAGTTCAGGGTTCTCTCGGCCCCACGTCTTCCCGCAGCCGGGTCCCGTGCGGGCTTCGAGGGGCTCTGCAAAGCTGCTGCTGGACAGCACCCTTGGTCTCCCTCATTCACAGCCCGGCAGGGTGGGCTGAGGAGGCCCGACAGCAGGGCCCTTGGTCGGGTCCACCTGGTTCACAGCAGTGACCGGAGAACCCGCACACTGACGCCTTGTCCGAAGGGCAGGAAGGGCCAGCAGGTGCTCCTAGAACGCACCCATTCCCTTTCGTCCCTCAACCGGGCAATCCGAAGCAACGCCGCATTCCCAGAGGAGCTGCATGGGAGTGCCCCTGCCAAACACAGGGCACAGGCGTGTCCCCAGTTGTCACATCCCTACTCGAAGCATTTATCTGGCTCCTGCAAAAAACCCGTGGGCTCTGCTGAGTGGCATAACCTCACCACACCTGCGACCCGGCCTCTCTCCCCTCAGCGCCCCCACTCGTGCAGTGAGCCACACACACAGCAGCCGTAGTGGCAGGGAAGGGGGGCAGTGTGGGCTCCCTCTCACCAGGGCAGAGCGGGTCCCTGCCACCGCTCACCCACCAGCGACCCCAGACACACGCTCGGCCTTCAGTAAGGGACTGCCCTGCAAGGGCTCCTGTAAGTGGAGTGGGAGGTCGGGTACACTGGACACCTTCTTACCCTGGTGGGGACAGTGACTGCTCCTTCCAGGGATGGACCCCTGGTCCAGAGAGCGCCACCGGAGGGCTTCGGCAGAGCCCACTTCGCCCTCAGGCATGTGCCGCCCGGAAGTGCAGGGGTGCTAATGCCCCCATGAACTTCTTTGCCGTTCCCCTGGAAGGTGGTTCTGGATTGTGTTTCATGAGGCTTCTCCAATGGTCCCTGCAGGGGTCATGGTGGCCGCAGCTGGAGAGCGTGTCCTTGCATTGGTCTTCCTCCCATTTGGCTCTCTGAGGTCACGTTGCCCCATATGCCACCTGCACACAAGCCTTGGAACTTGGGGTTGGGCCTCGCTGGGGCACTGCTCCTCCCAAGAGGCTTTACGTAGAAAGCGGGGCATGACAGAAGGAGTTCTCTTGTGCTTCTTTGAGGCAAACAAATCTCTCTTGATCTTTGCCAGGTCCTATTTGATTTTTCAAAGGCACATAAATATGTGCCTCAACTTAAAAAAAAAATTTTTTTTAAAGGGGAGAAAGAGAGGGAGGGGCACATCAGTGTGCGGGAGGAACACTGACTGCCTTTCCGTGTGTGACCCCGTAACCCAGCATGTGCCCAGACTGGGAACTGAGCCCAGCCGCTCACACTTTGTGCAAAGAAGCCCAACCCAGCGAGCCCCGCTGGCCAGGGCTCAGTTCTCGGACATTCTCCTCCTGCCTCCAGGGAAGTTGTCAGGCTCTGGATGGGCGAGGCCCTCCGGAGAGCTGGCGAGCCTGAGCCTCGGAAGAGGGCGGGGTGGGGAGGAGGGGAGGCTGAAGGGCAGAGGGCTGCTCCGCAGCTGGGGAGGGCGGACAGGGGCCCAGCCGCGGGCTCCCCACAGCGGCCCACACAGCACCGCCCAGCTTCCAGGCCCTGGAAGTGTGCCCGTTGGGCATTCCCAGTGGCTGACTGTGACTGGAGGCCGTGGGCTTGCTCGGCCGCTCTAGATGTCTCCCACACACCACTCACAGGGCCTCACACGCCGTGAACAAGGAACTAGGAGCCCCCCCCCCCCCCCCCCGGGTGCACAGATTAGAAACGAGGCCATGGCTTCAGCTCCTGGGCTCTCCCAGGGCCCAGAGCTGGCGGTTCAGCTCCTGAGGCTCGGCTCTCGGTGAACCTTGGACTGGGTGCTAATTGTCCGAAAACGATGACCTTGTCGATTTAAGACTGACGTTGTCATCACAGATTTTACCTTGTGTCCTGCGCACATTCATTGCTGCTGGGTGGCCCACACGGCGTGTCCATCACCTGGTCGTCACAGTCGTCTCCGGTGCACTTGGGGTTTCCCACCCACACCTGCAGCGTTTGTTTCGGACCTCAGCTGAGGATAAAGTGAGAGCTCCAGTTTCCTTCCTCTCGTGGCCAAATGTCAGACATAGCCTACTTCTGGAGTGTTTTTATGTAGCCATTTCTTATGCCTTAAAGAAAGGTGAGCTTCAGAAATCACCAAATCATACAAGTGGCAGAACTAGAAAGAACAGTAGCAATCACTTACTTCAGATTAGCAAACCGAGCCTCAGAGAGGCTAAGTGACTTAACACACAGCAAGTAAGTAACAAATACCCGTGAGAACTCCGGCCTCCTGCCGGCCTCCGATCCAGTTCTCCTGTGGTGTCACGGGACAGAGTGTTTCTTGGAAGGATCTGGAATGCAATAGAAGTTACACAATCTTTGCTAAACGTCATTTGAAGTTAAAACTCGGTTGGTATAGGCAGTGTGTCCACGACCATGCTGTTGCCGAGATCTGCCCCTGGGAGCGGAGGTTACGTGCAGGTGCCGGTAATGGCCCGAGTGTGTGTGGAGACCTACCCCCACTGTGACTGTTAGTAGGTGGGGGCTTTTGGGCAGAGATCGGGTTATGAGGGTGGGGTCCTCAAGAAGGGGGTTAGTTTTCCTTTGAAAGAGACCCCCAGACCTCCTGCCCTCTTCCACCACGTGAGGACACAGTGAGAAGACAGTGTCTGCAGCTCAGAGGAGAGTTCTCCACAGAGCCCAACCGTGCCGGCCCCGTGGCCTTGGCCTTGGAGCTTCTGGAACTGTGAGGACTGAGTTTCTGTTGCTTGTAAGCCTCCCAGTCTGGGGTCCTTTGTCATAGCCGCCCAAATGGACTAAGACAGGTGTCAAGAAGAATATTATGAGATAAACACAATTTAAATCTGCACGCAAGTGTGTTCCCAAGGCAACGGGGTTGATGTGTGTGAGCCTCCTGCACCGGCCGTCTGTCCGTTTTAACACAGATGTGTGAGCCGGGGGCCGCCGGGGGCAGAGGGTTTCCCTGGCTGTCGTCATGGCCACTTCGCTTCGAGTGTGTGTCCACAGAAATGAGTCTGTATTATCGCTGCTGTTTCATTTTAATTGGGAGATTTAAGTAACAGTTCCTAAAATCATTACACACAGTGCAGATGGTATGGGAAGTTACTTTAGGTGATACTCCAGCAAACATGTTTTATTTAAATATCTGTGTACCTATTTCATATATTAAAACATTATAAAAGGCATATTTGATAAATAACTGGTAAGCAAGATATACAAAGTTAGAACTCGACATGAAAACCCAATTTTAAAAATAGGCAAAGATATGAATAATTGCCTCACCAAAGATGTACAGACGGCACATAAGCACACGACAAGATGCTCCACATCACACAGCATCAGGAAATGCAGGTTCAACACCATTGCATTCCAGCTGGCGGCCAAACGGCTGAGGCCCGGAACACCGACAGCAGCAGACGCTGGCGAAGACGCGGCACGGCAGGGGCTCTCACTCCCAGTGGTGGGGGCGCGGCCCGGTGCGGCTGCTTTGGACGGCGGTTTGCCGTTCCTTATGAAACCGAACAGTCCAGCAACCCTGCTCCTTGGCATTTACCCAAAGCAGCTGAAAACCTGTCTGCACAAAAACCTACCCCTGGATGTTCACAGCAGTCATGGCGACAACTGGAAGCAGCCGAGATGTCCTCCAGTAGGTGCTGGGTAAACTGTGGTGCGTCCAGGCAGTGGGATAGCATCCAGTGCTGAAAAAAAAAGTTACTGAGTCATAAGAAAGATATGGAGGAACCTTAAATGCATGCTGTTGACTGAAAGAAACCAACCTGAAAAGGCTGCTTACTATATGACTTCAGCTATATGATGTTATGGAAAAGGAAAAACTGTGGAGACAGTCAAAAGCTGAGTGGCTGCTAGTGGCTAGGAGGGAAGGGGCGAGCAGGTGGGGCACAGGAAAATTTGGAGGCAGGGAAACTACCCTCTCTGATACCATGATGGTGGACACGTGAAGTACGTTTGTCAAATATCACAGTGTGCACCACCAAGAGTGAACGTGAGTGTAAAGTGTGGAATCTGGTTTTCACTAAAGTGTCAATATTGGTCCATTAAAGGTACCACTAATGCACGATGTTATTTGTAGGAGAAACTGTATTTAGGGGGGAGGTTATTTGGGAACTCTGCCAGCTGCTCAATTTTGCTGTTAATCTGGGGAAAAAACCCTATCAATTAAGAAAGACCTGAGAGTTGTAGCTCGACAAATAGGTGTTGTTACAAGGATCCAGGGCGTGGCAGTCACTGTTTCAGCCCTGGAGGCCAGGCCCCTGCAGTCAAGAGCAGGTCTGCGTCGTGCCTGAGACAGTGCCTGTGGCAGCACTTGCCACCAGGTGGCGATGTAACATGCAGCCCTCTTAGGTCTCTTCTCTGAAACACAGCCCTGGGCTGGTAACCCCAAGAGGGAGCCACCCACTCCTTTACATGAGTGCCCCCCACAACCCTGGTCACAGCAGCTCAGGGTCGCTGACTCATCCTGGAGCAGCCTTCTCAGCCTTCTGGAGCTTCGGCACCAGTAGAAAACTGGTGACTAACCGCGCTGGTGTGCGGGTGAAGCTGCTCCAGAGGGGGGTGGCCGCCTTTGTACACCCCCCTCCCAGAGCCAGGCAGCCAGAGCCAGGGAGCTGAGCTGACACGGCTGAGCTGTGGTCAGTGGGGAGTACACTGAGAAGCCCCACTGCCGGTCTGGTTGGGATTCAAGGAGAAAGAGGAAGACTGGGGCCATGGCCGCACTTTAGAAGTAGCGCCCCAATTCCTGGTGAGCCCCTGGCAGTGCAAGTACACAGGCACACCGCGAGGACTCTGCGAGACATCGGTGACCGAGAGCAGGCCTGGAAGGTTCAAGTGAGAAGTATGGCCGCCCAAATAACAGACTAACTGATTTTCATCACGCGCCACCAAAGTCAAGCCCAAAATAGCGTGTTTTCATTGGATTGAAAGAAAATAATTGTCAACCTAGAATTATTTAATTAGAAGAAAAAATATTTAAGAATGAGAACAACATAAAGAGATTTTCAGGTAAACAAAAACCAAGAATGTCTGCCATTAGTCATGCTCACTAAGTGAAACTGTAAAGCTTAGATGAGACCAAGAGAGCAGGTCAGAGATACAAGAAGGAAAGTAGAGGGCAAAAATACTGGCACACACAGCACATTTAGACAAGTTAGAGCAGTGAAAATGTCTTCTGCAGTTTAACAGCAGAATTACAACAGTAGTACGGAAATTAAGAGAAGGGTAAAGAAATTAACATTCTCTTTTCAGAAGTATCATCTTTAAATTTCTAGGTATGCTTAGCAGAATATAGTACATAGTTTTCAAACTAGTGAAGGAAAAAAGAGTGAGAAAAATATCAATCCAAAAGAAGAAAGTAGAGAAAAATTTAGATGATTTGGGACAAATGGAAAGCAAAAAACAAAAGATATATTATTCATATTAAAAACACCAAAAATAAGTATGAGAATACACATAGCATGTTCATAAAAACAAACCAAAAAACTCTGTATAATCCCAAAGTCCATCAATAATGGGTTGAATCTGCCAGGGGTGTCTGAACTTTTGGCGTCTCCAGGCCACATAGGAAGAAGAGTTGTTGTCTTGGGTGACATATTAAATACACAAACACTAATGAAAACTGATAAGCAAAAAAAGGTTTTAAATTTATGATTTTGTGTTGGGCGGCATTCGTAGCCATCCTAGGTGGCATGTGGCCTGTGGGCCAGGGGTTGGGCACCCCTGGCGGAGCATTGTGTTACAATGAAATACTATAGAATAGTGAAAATGAATGAATTACAGCTATATGCATCAACATCAGTAAATCTCACAAGCATCATAATGACTGAAGAGGCAAGACATGGAAGGACTTTAAAAAGATTCCAAAATTGGACCAATACTTCATGCACTTAAAGACATCTAAATAAAATGTGCAACCACAACAGCAAGGGGATGGTGCTCACAGGACAGGAGAGCAGGTGCTTCTAGGAGGAGAATGTGCCTGGTGTGGTTCTGGGGAACGTATGGTTCATGCTCCTTTGTATGTCCCATGTAGCCATCTATTTTAAACAAAAAGGAGGGTAACAGCAGCCCTCTCTGGAACTCGGAGACGTCTGGGAGGTTAAATCTGGGAAAGCAACCTACATACAACCTACCAGAACTGGATCATGAAGAAATAGAAAAATTGAACAGACCAATGAGGAGTGAAGAGATTGAAACAATAATTGGAAACCTCCCACCAAACAAATGCCCAGGACCAGGTTTCACCAGTGAATTTTAACAAACATTTAAAGAAGAATGAACACACTCTTTTTCAAAACAAAGTTTTCCAAAAATTTTAAGAGAGGAACATTCACAAACTCATTTTAGGAGGCCAGAATCGTCCCGACACCAAACCCAGATAAGGACACTAAAGCTATAGGCCAGTAACATCCCTGATGAACATATACGCATACACAGATTTGTACATGTAGATTTTGAAAAAAATGATGCAAATCAATAAATGTAGTATGTCATGTTAATAGAATGAAAAGATAGAAACCATATTTTCATTCTGATAGATGCAGAAAAAGCATTTGACAATTCAGCATCCTTTCAAGATAACTCAAGCTGCTGGGCACAGAGAACGCATCTGCAGGGTGAAGGCCTCGGGTGACTGACCCACAGCTGACGGCACGCTCAGTGGTGAGATGTCCACAGCTCTCCCGGCAACACCAGGAACAAGATGGGGGTGGGGGGGGCTCACTCCCACCACTGTTAGTCAGCGCCGCATGGGCTGTCCTCGCCAGAGCAGTTAGGCCAGAGAAAGAAACCAAGGGCGTCCCTGTCAGGGGAGGTAGAATGGTCTCTGCCGACGAGATGTTTGCGGTGAGGAACATGGTGACAGGAGGCAGGGACACATGGTGAGAGGGACACAGGTGTGTCTACGGGCAAGAAGCTTGTGAGGGAGCACGCTGCTCTGGACTGGGGCTACGCGGCACCTGGAGATTCACTTTCTCTTCTGCTGTAACTACACAGGACTTGCTTTAGTTTAGGTACTTACTTTTGATTCTCCACTCTTTTCTTCCGTCCTCATGCGTTCACGCGACTCGTACGTAAGTTGCTTCCAGTTCTCTTCGGAACAGAATAGGGTTACGGTTATACACAGGCCGTCGTCGTCCAAGCTGATTTGTGAAGGGCCGAAGACTCTTACCACCTGCCTCCAACCTGCTTTCTCAGCCTTGTTTCGTAATCCAGCCCTGCTGTGCGGATGGGATTATATGGGAACAGTCTCATCTGCTTACATACGCTTCTGCTTTGACTGCTTACAGCCTCTGTGGCTTGAACCAAATTCCTTTTTTGAACCTCAGCACTGTCATCTTTAAAATGGTACTTTACAGGATTGTTGTAAGGATTATAACTAAGAAGTATTCGACAACAGCAGATGTTCGTAATTAAATCTCACTGGCCAGCGGTCCCCAACCTGTTTTGTGACCGGGGACCAGTGTCACGGAAGACCGTTGTTCCACGCATCGGGGGGTGGAGGTCGGGGACCTTGCCGTTGGCCATGCACTGGCTGGCTCATGACGGTCGGAGCTCTCTTGGCTTGTTTCTTTTAAACGTGAGTGAAGACACATAAAGCACCTGACAGATGGCCGTCCTAGTTAGTTTTAGACTTTTCCTTCTCTACCTGTTGCCTCCCCCGGGAAGTCCTTTCTTACCATGTTACAGTGCGACCATTTTACTCGGGTGGAGTTGAGAGTCTGTCCCATTGTCTAATTGTTCTTGTTCTGGAGGTTCTCCGTGGATCTGCCAACCCTCCGTTATAGTATTCTGGCTACTTCGGTGTCTTTCCTCCCCATGGTTCCAAGCGCCTTGTATTTCCTCACAGTACCTCGCACGCAGTTGATCATTCTTTACCGCCTGAATTCGATGCGGGGGCTGCCAGTCCAGGCTCCTCCGACTTGCTTAGCCAGTGGGCATTCCTCCTCCGACCGCGAGGCCCCTTAACCTCCCAGCACGCTGGGTCTTGTTCGCGTCACGACTTCGTGGGAGTTCGGACGGACGAGAAACCACCGCGGACTGGTCGTATTCTTTGGACAGGCGTGCGGGGGCCCGGGTGCGTCCCCTCCGTTAGGCCCCGGGTCTGCGCGCGGGGCGCTCTCCGAGGCCGTCTGACACCGCGCGGCGCCAGCGCCGAAAGGCCACCGGGCCTGGGTTTCCGTCTCGCCCCACTGCCCACCTGGGAAGCGCTTTCAGCACCCGCCTACTACGTGGGCACCTTCCCTCGTTACCGCCCCGACGGCTGTCCCAGCGGGGTGACCGCTTCGGCCACACGCCGGGAGGGCCCTCCAGGTGACGCCAGCCGTCGGGGCCCGGGCCGCCAGGGGACGCCGTTCGTCCGCCCGGTGCTCCAGGCCCTACTGCAGAGCGCGCATGCGCAGAGCGTCCCTTCCCCCACCCCGCGCCCGCGCCCATCGACCCCAACGCGGCCCACCGAGCCATGGAACCCACCGCAGTGGGTGCGACTCCGGCGCTGCCGTTAGTTCGCTCCGGCGCCTTCCCCCCGTGAGGCCCACGGGCGCACGGCCGCCTGCCTGGGCCCCTTCGCCCGCCTCCGCGCTCGGCGGGGCGCGCGCCGCGTCCCCGCGGCCTGTCCCCGCGCGTGCGCGCTCCGCCGAGCGTATGTGTGTGAGTGTGTGTGCGGCCGAGGGGAGGGCCGCCGCCGCCGCCGACGATGCCGCGGGGCCGCCCCCCGAAGCCCAAGGAGAGCAAGGCGCGCGGCGACACCGGTAAGCGGCCCTTATCCGCCGCCGCTGTGCCACTCCGCGCGAATATAGTCCCCGGATGCGGCGCGGAGGGCGCTGGGAGCGGCCGGGCCGGGCGGGGCAGCGAGAACCCGGGCGGGCCGGGCAGGCCAGGAGGGCCGGAGACCGCGCAGCGCCCTTCTGCTGCCCTGCCGCTGCCGCCGCCCGACTGCCGGCCGCAGGCGCGGGCGGAATGATACGGCGCCGGCCCTCCGCCGGCTGGGCCTACTTTTCTGGGCCGGCGGCGGCGGCGGCGGGCCGGGGGCGAGGTGCGCGCCGCCCTCTTCCCCCTCCCCCTTCCCCCTCCTCCCTCCCCTCTCCTTCCACCTCCTCCTCCCTCCACTTCTCCGCGCGGCCCGGCGGCGGCCGTGCTCTTGCCCGCCCGCCCGCCCGCCCGCTCGCCCGCTCGCGGGGATCGCACCCCCGCCCGGCCCCGCCACTCCGCTGCGGAGGCCTGTGGACGCAGGTGCCGGCGCTGCCGAGCGGCTGACGGGACGGCGGGGCCGGGAGCCCGGCGTGATGGGGGCCCTTGGCGTCCACGGGACGCAGGGCCAGCCCCAGGCTCCTCGCGTGTGGGATCGAGTGGGTTCCCCACAGGGACTCGCCCCGGCGTCGGTGGGGCCCCGTCGTACTGAGGGCCCCTGCCCGCGATGAGGGTGCCCAGCCTCTGCGAGCGCGGGTGCAGGTGTGCGGCGGGCCCCGTGCTCATTCAGCATCTGCGCGCGATCTGCACGCCCTGCTGAGGCCGTCCCCAGGGCCCTCAGTGAAGGGGTGCAGCACAGATGGGGACGGGAGTGAAGGGCACTGCAGCCAGGCCTGACCTCTCGTGTTGCCGCCCCACGCTGGGCGCATCGGCTGCCTCCACGTGCTGCTGGGCCCGAGTGTTAACCGCCCCAGCTGTTATCAGTGGGAGCTGGGGCCTGGGGTGGCCCTGCTCTATTTGCTGTTCGTTTACTGCGCCTTGTGACGGCTCCTGCTGCACAGGCGCAGTGTCTGGGTGACTTGGGCACGGAAAGGCCACTTCTTGCAGCCTTCTGTGTTACCACGTGTTACCAGGTGGCATTGTCAGCCACTGGGTTTCTCACCGCGAAGCTTTCTAGCCTCCTCACCAGCCTGCATCCCGGGCCCCTCCCCCAGGCCTGGTGTGGGGGACGCCAGCCCGCTGCTGCCCCAGGCTCCGCCTTCTGAGCCTTCTCACGGTTTCTGCGGAGTGTCCCATCACTCCAGGCCTGTCCGCCTCCGGGGTCCCTTTCAGACATCCATCAGATGGTCCACTCTCCGGCTGACGCTCCCGAATGGGTTCCTCCTCTCCTTGACAGTGAGACCCATGGGCCTCGAGGGTCCTCGTTGGTCTGGCCTTGGCCCAGCTCTTCTCTGGGTCCTGCTCCAGCCCAAGTCCCTTGTCCTCTCCCATGGTGTCTCCCTGTGGGGCCTGTGGTCCCCATGAGGGAAGCCCACCTCCTGCACCTGCGGGGGGTCTCAGTGCTGCGGCCTCCTGTAGCGGTCCCCAAAGTACCTTCGGGGGCTCCCGGGCACCCACACTCTGCCAGGCTCTGCAACGTGCCGTCACAGCGATCCCGACACTGCTGGACTCTGTGACTTGGTGCCTGTTTGCACTAATCGCACAACAGCAATGAGGCCTCAGCGCACACCACACAGTGGCGGTGCCAAACCTCCAGGCCGCCGCGTGTGTCTCAGTGTGTTGCTCAGAGACCGCGCACCACTGCTGGGCCAGCGCGGAAGCGGACGCAAGGGCCCGCCTGCCCTTAGGGCACCGACAAAAAGATCTGCACAAGTGAAATTTTTCCTTAGTACTTTTCTGGAGAGTATAATTTTCATAAAAATGTGTATGTTAAATGTAATAGCTTTATTTTTAAGCAAATAAATATTTAAAAGTTGCTCAGTTTTAATTTCTGGTAGAGAAAACATCAGCCAACGAAACCTGTGTGTAAACTGGAGGTCATTGGGCCCTCGGTGACGGAGGAGAACATGAAGGGTCCTGGGACCACACTGTTTGAGGGCCGTTGTCCTCTCAGCTTCCTCCCTTAGTGATGGTTCTGCAACCAGAGGTTACTTTTTTGTCACCCACTACCGATGTCGTTTCTGAGAAAGCCCTGGAAGGTAGGTGGGGATTTTTACAAGTAGGGGAAATGAGGCTCAGCGAGGGAAAGAGATTGGGAAGCCCGCCCGGCCGGTCAGGGTCAGAGCTGGGACTTGGCGCTGCACCTGCGCCCGGAGCGTGCGTGTCCCCGCTCCGCCGGGGGAGGCGGGGAGCCCTGAGCGGGGGCTGACCCGCTGACTCGGCACAGGTCTCAGGTGCTCTCTGTGGCTGGGGGCCCTGCGGGGTGGGGCGGGGGCACAGACCTCAGCGTCTGAGAAGGGACCTGGCCTTGGCCCCTCAGGACAGTGCCCAGGCGGGCGGGAGCACTCGGTGGCAGCAGGGAAGTCTGGGCGTCCCAGAGACGACGACGTTGAACAGAAACGTCACGAAATGATGAGGAGCGGGCCTCCTTGGGGACGTTTCTTGACGTAGGAGTTGGCTCGGGACCCAAAGAAAGAAGTGAGGCTTCTCCCTAAGTTGACTGGGGAACGTTTACTGAGCACCAGCTCTATGCCTGGCACGACCCCGGGGAGATACCCCCTGATTCGACGTTACTTTTGTCTTCGTGAGTCGTAACATGTCCTTGGTGGAAACCGTGTTAGGGGTCTCCCGTGGCTTCCGCTGGCTTCTCCAGAAGACGGCATAGAGCTGCTCTCCTGAGCTTGCACCTGTGGTGGGGCCCCTGCCCCGTGTCCTGGAGGAGAGCCGAGACAGGCGGACAGTGAGCCAGGCAGGCGGACACGTCTCCTCTTGCTCCGGTGGCCAGTCCAGGCCGCTGGAGGTTTCTGCGGTGGAGCTCCGGCACTCTGCCTGCCTCGGGGAGGGAGGCCCCTGGGGTGGGCTGCCAGGGCAGAGCTGGCACTGTGGACTGGGCGGCGGCAGCCTTGGACCCATCGGTTTTCGGGCGACTCATTTGCTTCAGCAGCAAAACTAGGCATGATTGGTGGGGAACAGTTCAGAGGAGACGGATCCTGCTTAAAACAGTAACTTTCCAAGTGCAGCAGGTATCCCAGGATGAAAGGATGTCTCCAGAAAGGAGCACCCTTCCCTTTCTGTAACTGAGTTTCTTAGGTAGGCAGAAGCTTGCAGTGCTCAGAATTTTGAGGAAAGTTGGATGGTGTAACACTTGTCATGATCCTGGAATCAGGAGTAAGTTACCGTGGGTTCCAAATCCTCGTCTTTGACCCCAAACTGGTCTGGGAGAACCACACCCAGCACGAATTCTTCACAGAAGTCGACTCTGCAGTGTTCTGTGCGGTGACTCTGTGTCCTGGTCCCTGCGTGGTCTCCATTCACAAAGGCAGGGCCCCTGCGCTGGAGGGGTCAGTGTGTGCCCCACTGTTCTCCAGACCACCCTCCGGTCGCAGGGCTCCGCCTGACGCATCGCCACGAGGCCTGGGTGGGAGCTGTCGCCCTGCGGGACTCGAGGAAGTGCCTGGGAGCCTCACTGAGCTCAGTTACACTGGGGGCCGAGAGGCGGGGCCCAGGCAACCCCACCTTGCGGCCACGGTCGCGGGGAAGGACCACTGGCCGACAGAAAAGCTGCTCCCGTTGAGGAGAGGGCGGCAGAGGGGTTCAGGGCCAGCCTGCCCCTCTGAGGAGCTGCGCCCAAATCTCAGCGCCGTAGAAAACTGCCGCTGCAGTGGGTAGAAATGGGGAACTCCCGTGATCAGATGAAGCGCATGGAGAGATGGCGCCCTGGACTCCCGAGTCAGCCTCACTGGCCCGTGGGTCTGACCACGACGGCGAAGGCGTGGTGTGGCTGCGGGCGCAGGTGCTGGGCGCTGATCGCTGGCTCCGGGCATCACGGAGGACTGCCGAGTCAGCCTGTCCCCGGGGCAGGCGCGGCTCTGCGCGGCGCGGCTCTGCGCAGCGCAGCTGAGGAGGTTCCGAGAGAGGCCAGGGGTGCGTTTGAGCCCTGTGTTGAGCGGGTGGAACGTCTGCCTCGAAAAGGCCACAGGGTGTTAGTGATGCGTTTCGTGGGTTCTCGTAGGTAACCAGCACCTGGAACGTGAGCAGTGCCTTAGAGCTCCTGTTACCTCTGAGCAGGGGTTCCGCACCCCTCCCCTACCTGCCTTCTGATGCCCACTTCTGATGCCGTAGACTGATCCTCCCTGTTTTTGAGCTGAATTGAATTCATGCTACGTGCCCTCTTGTTTATGGCTCCCTTCATTCAATATTTGGTTTTATGAGCTCATCCCTGTGCTTATATAGCCGAGACGTGTTCCTTTTCATGGATGTATAGTATTCCATTCTGTGACCACACTGCCATTTGATTTATCCTGTGTACTGTAGATACTTGGCTTGTTTCCGGTTTGGAGACTGTTAAGAGTAAGTGCTGTTGTGAGCGTCTTGGTGTTCCTGGGTCAACGTGGACCATGCTAAATGGTCTTCCTTGGACAGTACAAGACGCTGACTTCCTGTATAGGAGAGGGATTTCTTGTTCTGTTCTTCTCTCTACAGATCAACATAAATTTTAGCCAAAACTGAAATGCTGTAATATACATCTTTCTTTTGTATTCCTGTCTTCCTCTAGATTAGGGTCAACTACCTACGGCCTCACCTTTCTGGTAAAGTTTCACGGGAATGAGCCACCCTCATCACCTGTGGTTGCTCTTGGGCTACAGCGGCAGATTTGAGGAGTTGCGGCAGACACCTCCTGATCCCCAAAGTCTAGAACGTTTCCCACGTGGCCCTTTACAGGGACACTGGGCAGCGCCGGCCCCGAGTAGTGAACTGTGATCCTGCTGCGGCTGCCGTCGCCCGCGGGTCCCTGCAGTCCCCTTGCCTTCCTGCCCCAGGTCCGGAGTGACAAGGGCATTGTTTCCTCCAGCGACAGCCTGAGTGGTCGCTGACGCCCAGTCCCCAGGCTGACGAGGACCTTCGTCCTGGCACTGGGACGGGAAGGCTGGGTGCCGTCCCGAGAATTGGTCTTCTGACGGTGAGCACGACAGCTGCAGCGTTCTGTCTGCGTCTCACCGCTCTGTCCCACCCCTGTGCCCCCTGCATCTGCTCACCCCGCTGCTGAGCGTTGCCGCTCCCGTGTTGAGGTTGGCGACGGTGACGGAGAGCTCTCGGGCCTGGGGGTGCCGCCCGGCGCCAACCACACGGGACGCGTTTCCTGGAAGTGGGCAGAGGCCGTGTTTCCTAAGCATGACTGCGCCCGTAGCCGTCCGCGAGGAGGTTGTAGGGAGCGCCAGGCCACCGTGCAGTTGTAACGGCCATGGGGCCATTTCAGAGTGTCTCAGCACGAGGTGTCCGCTGGGACCCCCAGCAGGGAGGCGGGCTCGCTCGGGCAGGCTCGGACGCAGACTCGGACCGCATGGCTGCGTCAGGGTGCGCGTGCTCCCGGGGAGCAGGCGCGGGGGAGCACCTCGGCCTGGCCCCGGGAGGGACCCTTTCCTGAGGCTCTGACCCAGGCTTTATCTTAACCCCGCCGCAGGGGCGCTGCAGGGCGTTCACCACGCGCCAGGACCGGCGCCGGCGAGTTCCCTCAGCGCGCACGTTCTCGTGTCACCCGCAGCCCGACCACGCGCTTGTCACAACAGTCCGCAGAAGCGTGTCTGTGATGCCTCACGTCAGGGCGCGGGGCCTCCCCAGCAGCGCAGACGTGCCCCATCCAGGCAGTGTCCCCGCGAGCCTGGCGACCATCCTGGCGGCTGGCAGCCTGGGCAGGCTCCGCCCGCTCACCGGGCATGCTCTCTGGCTCGGCGTCCTGCCGTGGGGGGGACGGACGCTCGCCGTGTGTCGCCGCAGGCTGTTCCCTCCCGTCGTTGGAGGGGCAGCGGGTCCTCGCGCAGCGGTGTTCCGCGCTGCCGCGGTCTCGTGGGAACTGCCCGTGCTTTTGACAGCCGGCCAGGTGCTTGGCCTGGCTCTCCGTCGAATGTGTTCTATGCTGAAAGAACATAAACAGTCTTAGGCTCCGCGTTGGGACAAAATGCTGCTGCTAGAATCCAAGTTCGTCCGCTGTGTTCGCACAAGGACGGGGCGGAGACAGGAGTCTCATCATGGAGGCTGCGGCCTCGGGAGGCGCGGAAGCAGGGCTCCAGGGGAGTCGGGCGAGGCTCTGGGAGCCGCTGCCAGCCCTGCCGCTGGCTGACGGCCCGACCTTGACCAAGTCGCCTCACTTCTTTGGGGCCCGAGCTCCCTTAGCTGTACCGCACAGGATGGGGTGTGGGACCCCCCTCTTCCCCCAGGTGTAGCTTGTGTATCTTCATTTAAATCTTTTTGAATCGATAGTACACTATAATGGCTCAGAAGTCTAAAATAGGGACATCCCCTTTCCCAGCTCTGTTCCTGCCTCCTGCACAGGCCCCGTGCCCTTGTTTCCCGGCTGGCCCCCGGGGGTTCAGGCGCCTGCAGGCTCAGGGCACGCCCGTGCGCCTCCTGAAAGAAACCACAGCACCTGGGACACGGCGCCCGTCCCATTGGCTGCAGTTTGAGGGTGAACTTTCCAAATGAGTACATTTTATTTCCAGACGAGCACCGTTGTGATAGTGAACACTTCAGCACGGGTGGCACGTACAACGAGGAGGTGCAGAGGTCCCCCCTGACCTGACCCCCTCTCTGGGCGCAGGCCCCTTCGAGGGCACAGCACCTTCCTGAGCGCTGAACTGTCCCTCATCCTAGTGGGAGGTTCCAGGGGGACTCAGATGTGTCAGTTGATGTGGTCCCAGCAGTCCTTTGTTTTGGGCCTCGGGACTCATAAAACGTTTCACTACTAGTTTCGTGCAGACGTTCTGAAACCGGGGTCTCCGAACAGAATGTGGGTGTGGTTCAGAGTAAGGAGAATCAAGTCAGGTGTATCTTCTTGGTGGACCCACCTCCTCTATGAGGACCATCGCAGTCCTTGGAATCACACCCACGTTTCCTGAAACCAGGGTCGGCTTTACTGGCAAATGTGCGAGGAGGTTTCTTGAAGCTGCTGCAGCTCCAGGCCCCACCCGGCTTCCTCCAGGGCGTCTGCCGCACCCTGTCCTGCCACTCTGGGCCCCTGGGCAGCGGACAGGTCCCCAGGCCTCGGGCCCTGCGCCTGTCCCGGGCGGGGGGATGTGGGGGGGGTCGGTGGGCGGGGGCACTGCTGGCTGTTTGCTCAGAAGAGCTGGGCACGCCTCTCAGCACTGGGCCTTGCAGGAGGACAGGGCTCTTCTGCGCTCGCTGGGTCTTCTGCTTACCCCTCCCCTGCTCCCAGGTGTCTGGGTTCCAGTATTTTGAGGTCAGATTCGCCACTGTTGTAGGTGGTGTATTCCTAGTTTTTTTTTATAGTTAATGTGTATTCTACATTCATGCTCAAATTATAAGATGTAAAGTAGTATTATTTGTTTTAAAGAATTGGAGAGATTTGGGGCATCTTTATTTTATGACATTCCTGACAACTGTACTTGAACAACAATAAAGTAATTTCAAAAAGTGTTGATGGTGATCCTATGGTTATTCTTATTTAACAATGCGTTTATATTTGCTGCTGTTTGCTTCCCTGGGGTGGGCAGAGCCCACTGTGAGAGCGTTGCAGGTCTTCGTCCTCCAAAAGCAGAGTTCAGAGGACAGTGTCTTCTGCTTTTGACTTAGGCTTGCTTTTCAGCAGTTTTCAGAGGTGGACTGAGTTAGTGAAGTGGCATTTTAATTTCGACTGGAGTTTTGTTCGCTGAGGAATTTAGGACCCTGTGTGGATTCCGGATAAACTCGCCCAGCAGCCTAAGGGTGAACTGCCCTTAGGGTGGGGAGTGACGCAGAAGTGGAGGGAGACTGCGGGGACTGGCTGCCCTGCGGGCCTCGGGCCCTGGGCGTCGTCTCAGGTTTCCGAGGGTCTGAAGAAGGATTTAGGGTTCCGCGGTCCTGTGTCTCAGTCATCTCGGTGTTCCCCATTTCTGCTGTAAAACCATGTCCATTTTAAACATTCACAGTATCATTCATTTCATCTAAAATCTCTCATAAATTTTTGACATAATTCGGTTTCTAAACAATAACCAAATGACTTTATTTATGTGATGAGAATAACAACTGGTATTTATTGTCTATACTTATGCGATTTTGTAGATGGAGTTTTAACATTGAATGCGGAGAATGCTAATTATGCCTATCAAGCGCCAAACTTCCGTAAATGTGAAACCTGTCTGCTATCTTTTCCAAAAGAGTCCCAGTTCCAGCGCCACATGAGGGACCACGAGCGGAACGACAAGGTACGTACTCAAGGAGGGTCGGCGGCCAGAGCGCCGGGCTGGAGGCGCTGTGGACGGCTGGGGGCTGGAGCCCGTCTCCGGCAGCGCAGATCCCCGAGCGGCGGGCGTCTCGCGGCACACACCTGGGACTTGTGTTTCAGCCGGGGTCGCGGTCCTCCTCGCCCTCGGGAGGTTGTGAGCGGAAGGGAGAGGCCGTCCAGCGAGCCTGTGCCCTGGGGTCGTCCGGGCGCAGTGGCGGCGGGGAGGATGTGTTCCCAGAGCACGCCTGTCTGCCGCGGGCCCCCTCTCCTCCGTGAGCGCACGGCCGGTGCGTGTCCGTGTGTTTTTCTCCGGCGGGGGGCCGCCCTCGGTGATTCTGTTTTACAGTGGCATTCAGACACGTGCGATCGCACGCCAGCAGGGGCAGCGCTTGTCCACAGGGTGTGGGCCCTTCCGCAGGACGCCCTGTGGGGCACGGCGGGAGTGTTCGTGTCCTAGTGGGACGGTAGTGGGGCGGTGTGCGGGTGGACGGAAGGGCGGCAGTTCCAACTGCAGTTAAAAGTGGTCGCGACTCTCCTCCAGGTCGGAGGGTGTGGGCTAGCGAGCCGCTGGACACCAGCCGTGCCCACTCTCTCCTCCGGAGGCCTGGGTGTGGCCAGCCCCACTCTGCTGCCAGCGGGAGTGGGGTGCTGTCCTGTGACGGTTAATGCTGACGCCGGTGCCCGCGGCCGTTACCCTCCCCCCGCCACGGCCGAGAACCTGGAGATGCCGACTTAGTCCTCATCAGGGTCTTGATGTTTCAGAGGGAAATAAATGCCAGTGATCACTTTATCTCTCTGCGAGGGAGTGGCAGGGTGCCTTCCTTCTGGGGACCACTTTAGACTGAGAAAGCAGCTCGGTTACGGTCCAGTAAGATTCGTGTGATTGCGGGTTTTACCTGGAGTGGCTCTGTGTGCAGCAGGGCAGCTGGTCGGAAAAGAACGGGACGTTGCGGCCAGCGTGGCATCTCTCTGCTCGCTGCCCGAGAGGCCTTGCTGGCGGGGGGCGTGGCACTCCTCTGGGAGGCCCTGCTTCTGCCCAGGCGCGTGGTTGTCCTCACCGTCCCCTGAGACGCCCCCCAGGAGTGCCACCAGTCGGTTTGGGAGTTACGACGTCGGGTCTGGCAGGGGCGTCGGAAGGTTCTTGGAGAGGTTGTGGATTGTGGTGCTTGCTAATACTTGAATGACGTTGACTGTGGTGGCTTCTCGACTTTTCTCTCCAAATAGCCACATCGATGCGACCAGTGCCCCCAAACCTTTAATGTTGAATTCAACCTGACCCTGCACAAATGTACCCACAATGGGGAGGACCCTACCTGTCCTGTGTGTCACAAGAAATTCTCCAGAGTGGCCAGTCTCAAAGCGCACATTATGCTGCATGAGAAGGAGGAGGTAACTATTCCGGCCTGTCCTTTGTTAACTGACTCTTAAAGTGCATCTGATCCCCGGGAGGGTCTGGGTGTCAGCGAGTGTACGAAGCCTTCGCGTAGGTTTGCAGGGGTGAGTGAGTGAGTTTGCCGTGGCTGGTCTCCAGTTCACTGATGAAATGCTTCCTTTTCTGGCCAGTACCACTTGGGGTGGAGGCACTGAATGCGTAGTGTATTTGGGGGATCAAAATTGTCTCTGTGGGCCAGAAGAGGTCCCCCTCCTTTCTGTTTTTAGCAGAAACTAACTTTTGTAGAAATCTGTAGTGGCCCAAAGTGGGTTTTCTGCCCAGGAAGGCGGCTCCTGAACCCATGGCGTGGGGGCCTTGGGGGCAGGGAAGACACGCCTGGTGACCAGCCCTGCAGGCACCCAGTGGGCAGTCCTGGCTGTGTGCTGGTGGCCAGGTTGCGCTGGTGCTGCTGCTAGGGCAGGGGTCTCCTTTCAAGTATAAATGGTGGCCACTTTAAAAATATCTCCTTGCCCTGGCTGGTGTGGCCCAGTGGATTGAGCGCTGGCCTGCAAACCAAAGGGTCACTGGTTGGATTCCTAGTCAGGGCACATGCCTGGGTTGGGGGCCAGGTCCCTAGTGGGGGGAGTGCCAGAGGCAACTACACATTGATGTTTCTCTCCCTGTCTTTTTCCCTCCCTTCCCCTCTCTCTAAAAATAAATAAATTGAAAAAATATTACCTCCTCCACCCTGGTTATTACTGTAGAAAATTAGGAAAATGCAAAAAGTGAGGAAGAGAACTTAAAAATCACATGTAATCCTACTATTCAGTGTTGATTACAGGTAACTATTTGGTATATTTTTCCTCCTAAGACAGAAAAAAATACAGTATTTCAATTACATACATAAAATTCTTATCCTAAAAATGGAGTCCCTACCGTTTGTGGAGGTTCGTGTATCTTCTGTGTGTCCTCAGTTTTTCACATAGAGTCACCGGTTGTGTGTCCTTTAAAACCTGCCGAGTGGGGGCGCCCGTGTCACCTGGGGGCCGCGGAGTCGCTGTCGCCCGCGGCGACGGGTCTTGCAGGGCCCCCTGGGCATGCCCAGGCTCCTCCGCGGCCCCTCCACACCCCTTGTCACTCTGGCCTGCTGTCCCGTGGGCCGTCGTGGGCATCGCCACGCCGCACCTGCTCCCCACAGAGCGGCCGTGGTCCTGGACGCAGGTCTCCCGGGCGGCAGGTCGCCGTGGTCACACGTGTGGGTTGTTCGCAGCCATGCAGGGACGGCGCCGACACAGCCGCCTGAGCCAGTGCTCCCGCGTGTGTCTGGGTGCACTGGCCGGCGCAGCGGCCCTCCCGGCAGCCGGTTCAGTGCCCAGAGGACGTTTTGGTGGCCGCTCCTGTGGGGAAGGGGGTGAGGTGCTGCTGGCACCCAGTGACCAGAGGCCAGAGGTGCTCCCGAAGGTCCTTCAACGCACAGCCCCCGTCACGCCCCTCGCCCACCGAGAACGGTCTGGTCTCCGGGAGAGGGATTGCTAGGTTAGAGTGGACGTGACCCTAGAAATCTCCTAGTGTCCAGTTGTTTTCTGGAGAGTCTTCTCAGCTGGTCCTCCTACAGCAGTGTAGGAGGGCGCCCCTTCTGCACGCCGCTCCTCAGTGTCCGTGTTGCAGAGCCTGTCGTTTCCGGCTGGTGGTGTTCGGGCGGGACGTTTCTGTTGTTCCAATTTGTAGCTCCTTAGTTATGAGTGAAGTTTAGCACCTCTCCGTGTTTGCTAGTCATTAGTGGTCTTATTTCGTCTTTTAATTTTCTTATTTTGGGGGAGAAGGTGGGGATTATGGGACTATTCTTACATATTTGTGTCAGCTATTTACATAGCTAGGAAAAAGCCAAAGGGCTTTTTTGCCCCTTGGTTTCTGACATTTTCTCCTGGCATAAATTTTTAAATGGCCAAATGCTCAAATTTTTAAGCTGTTCATTTACAGATCCTCATTCTTGTGACTTGCTTGGAAATACTCCCCGTGGCTACAGTTACTTTTTAAACCCCACCGTGTCTTCCAGAGTGCAGGTGCCTTCTTCCCAGTGCGCTGCACGCGCCCGTTCCAGAAATTGCAAGTCCACGCTGGTCCGGGTCCAGCCACCCTCCCCGGCTCCTGTGAGCCTCCCCCACTTCCTGTGCGTGTCCTTCCTGCCCGGCGAGGAGGCTGGCTCCCACGTGGCAGCCCCGTCCTGGGTTCTGTCCATGGCAGGGGCACGGCTGCGTGGCTCACCCTGCTGCAGTGCCCCTGCGGAAGGTGTGCGGGGTGGCGGGGTGTGAGCTCAGGGTCCTTTGACGCCGCTTGCGTGCTGCTGCAGGGCCACCCCGCCCCGCCCTCCTGGGCCGCACGCGGCGTGCCGTGAGCTGCCCTCCAGCAGCGTTCGGGCAGTGGCAGCGCGACCGCAGAGACAGCCCGGAGCGGGGCAGGGCCCGAGGGCCGGGGAGTTAGGTGACAGGCGTTTGACACGAAGCTCCTCCTCGGAGACGAGCCCTGGGCACAGGGAGCCCCCTGTCCCCTCTGCTCCCTCTGCTGGGCCCTGCCTGGGGAGGGGCCACCTGGTTTTTCTGGTTTGTCCCGCCGGTGTCCCTTTGCAGTGATACCACGTGTCTGTATGCTTCTTACCTTTCTGTTCTGGTTTGTTACTAATGTAAACTTTAGGGTTTTGCCTACTTAAAACTGAGTTGGTGTCTTCATTTCGGCCGCATTGAATTTTTAGGTTGTGCCGGGGAGAGTCAAACGTGCTCACGGCGTTGGATCTTGATCCTCAGGACAGCAGCGTTCTGCTCTCGTGGGCTCAGCGCGCTGTCCACATCTGTTCTTAGATGTTTTGGACTCTTACTGGTGTCCCTGGGTGGCCTTTCAGTGACACACCGCATGCGGTTTGTCTGCCAGACTGCAGCCTGTCCCCTGCCGGATTCTCGCCTGCAGCACCCGAGTGGACAGCAGGGCTTGGTTTCAGCAGCCACGAGGGTGGTTGAGAACAGCCACCTTTTGGTCATGGTTTGCCACGGCAGCATGTGGTGATGACCACAGCACACCCCAGCTCTGTTCCCGTGCACTCGCCACGCCGGAGAGCACGGCTCGGTGCACCCTTGTGGGAGGTGTCTCCTTTGCCCGGCTAGCATGGCCCCCACCATTTCTGAGCAGTTTTCAAGGAAGTTGCAGACACCACATTACTTACATTCCCTCTAAACACTCCAGTATGCACCCCCCAAAACAGGGCACTTCCTCGGCATCCCAACACAGCCACCACACTCAAGAATAATACTAGAGCCGGTGCTGCCGGCCTCCCCCTGTCCACGGCGCCCTCCCCTCAGGGTCTCGCCGGGTCTCCACCGAGGCCAAACCCTGCGCTGGGCTTCCTGAGGCGCCAGACCCCCGCACCCGGACAGGTGCACGCACCTTACCCACTGCGCAGGCAGCCGAGAAGCGGCCACGTGTGGGTTGGGTGCTGTGCAGCTTTCGGAGCCTGGGGCTTCCTGTTCCCCGTCGAGCCCCCGGTCCTGCTCTGTCACCACCGCCACTGCCGAGGCCCAGCTCCCCGAGAGCGTGATGCCGCTGCAGTGAGCATGCTCAGTTGGCTGCTGGTGCGGCATGGGCGAGGCTGAGTGGCGAGGGCCCTGCGCGGCCGACTGCCCCTGGGCTCCCTGGGGAGTGTCACGTGCCCCCGGTGCCTTGCTCTCAGGGTGGGCCTGTGGCCGAAGACCCTCGTTTCCCCTGCGAAGTGCGAACATGGCTGTGTCTTCATGTAAGAGTGAGGTAGTTGGCGGTGACAATGGGAAGCCTGGCTTGGGCAGTGGGAGCAGAACCCGACCGGGGACGGAAGCAGGGGCTGCGTGACATTGTGTGACGTGTGCCCAACGCGTGGGCCCCGGCGGGGAGCTGGCGGGGCGTCCCTGTCTGCCGGGGCGGGGATGCAGGGGCTTGTTCGCGCCGAGGCTGGGGTGTCGGCGGCACGTGTTGTGGGACAGCCAGGGAGTCGGGGCGTGGGGGTGTCGGCCAGAGAGCTGGGCGTGGGGGTGTCTGGCAGCACGTGGTGCAGGCCAGATAAGCACAGTGCACCCAGGGTGTGTACGTGTGCGTAGGTGTCAGCACGTGTGTGCGTGAGAACCCTCCAGCAGGTCACGTGACGGGGCGGGAGGCCGAGGCGGCCGCACGTGCACCACGCATCCTGGCGGGGCCCGTGCGCAGCGGGCCTGGAGAGGGCAGAGGCCCGGCCCAGCCTGGGCACTGCCCCGACCTCCGACCCGCCACGCGGACAGGCCCAGGGGGTGGGGTCCTGCCCGCGCGGGCGTCGCTTCAGCACACACACCCTTCACGCTGTGCCCTCGATTCCTCCGTGGCTGAGACCACGGACAGACAGCAGTGATTTCTCATTTCCGCCGGCGCGCAGGGTTCACACACCCTTCTCTCGGCCCTCCCTCCCTCGTATTTTCACGCCCACGCGCTTTCCCGGAGTCTTTTCCGGACGGTTGCCGCAGTGGAGCTCGGAGCCCTTCCGCCTCTGGTGTCGCTCCCCTGTCCGTCCGTCGTTCCCTGATGGCGGTTCTGGTGCTGCACAGCCTGGCTGCGCCGTGGTCCCCTGGCACGGCAACCGCGTCCTGTGTGGCCGCCGAGGGGCGGCGGTGCGGCCCGGCCTCGGTGGGACGCGGGGCTTCCTCGGTGAGGCTCCACCGCCTTTGTCCTTCATCGTCGCAGCGGCTGGGACGTGCACGTGCCGTGGTTTCTGACTCTGCCTTTTTCCGAAAGGTTTTTGAGAAATGTTTCTCGAAATCCATTGACCTGATGTTTCTGTTGCTCCTTACCCACCTCCTCCTTCCTGTCCTCTGAGATGGCAGGGTTTCCAGACCAGTGAACAGTCACGGCAGCAGAAAAGGGCGGAGTGGCCGGGAGAGGGGTTTCTGCCCGCCTGTGGTTTGAACCGGCGATGGGGGCCGTGGGAATGGCTGCCTTCTTGCTCGGGGCGCTGGGAGTGGGAAGTGGTGTTCAGCCCTGACCTTGGTAGCCCAGGACGAGCAGGGACTCGGGACTAGGAGTTTCTCGTGAGCAGAATTCAGGGAAGGTTTCCTGTGCTAGTCTCAGGTGTGAACCAGGTGGTGCCGACAGGTAAGGGGCGCTGCTCCCTTTGGTGGCCGCGGCAGGGTCCCGGCGTGCAGCCTCTCCCCCTCCACTGGCTCTCGCGCTCGGCAGTGCGGGCAGAGCGGCTCTGTGCCCCAGAGGGCCGGGACCCGCACGGCTCTGCGGTCCCCGTGAACGCCACCCTGTCGTGTGGTCGGAGGTGACGGAGGCAGGAAGGGAGCCAGTCCTGCCGAGGTCCCGTGGGCAGGACACAGCATCGCTCGGGCCGCCCAGTTGGAGGCTGGGAGTTTGAGGCCTCGGTGAGGGGTGAGGCGGCCGCGGGCTCGGCCAGGGAGCCTGTGGCCGTGCAGGAAAGGAGCCCTGAAGTGCGTCTTCCCCGCACGTGTGAGAGGAGCGCACCTTCGGTCGCCTTCCTCTGTTGCATGTGTTTCATTTCTCGGTTAATTGGTTTGAATGTGGCATATTAGCAGTAACTATAGGAATAATCACTGGCCTTTTGTTGCATTTAAACGTAATGCATAAGAATCCAGCTAAGCCCTGGCTGGTGCGGCTCAGTGGATTGAGTGTTGGCCTGTGAGCTAAAGGGTCACCAGTTTGATTCCCAGTCAGGGCACATGCCTGGGCTGCGGGCCAGGTCCCCAGTGGGGGACATGCAAGAGGCAACCACACACTGATGTTTCTCCCCCTCCCTTCCCCTCTTTCTATAAACAAAATCCTAAAAAAAAAGAAAAAGAAGAAGAACCCAGCTAAGATGGAGTAGCTAGCCTCTTTATCCTAGGACCCCCCTCTTAACACTAAAAATGCCAGAGACACACCCATAGATGGAGAAAGACTCTGAAAGGTGGGAAGAAGGCAGATGGCAAGGGGGTGTCAGGGTGTGAGAAAGAGCGTGGCAGGGAGTGCCCTGGGCTTCTGTCCTTCCTCCGGGGCAGCTGGTTCGGGTTCTGGGGAAGCCCGTGGCCTCTGCCAGTAGGTCCAGACGAAAGTGCTCCAGGGAAGCTGGGGAAGGGCTGTCTGACCCTAGAAGACCTTTTTGACCTCGCCCGCCCTACTTCAGCCACATGCTGCTTGGTGGGGCCCGGTGAGACTGGGTGGCGGGGGGGGGGGGTTCCACCCGCTGCTGGCTTGTGTCCGTCTGACCCCCAACTGCCTGAGATAAGGTGGGGAGCCAGTCCCACAGCCCTCTCCTGGCAGGTGGGGGCAGTGGCACCCAGGTCCCTCCCTGCCACCCCGATGGTGTTGGCAGAGCCCAGCTGCGAGCTGTCTTTCTGTCCTGCACCGGGCAGCACAGGTAGAGCTCTGATTCCTGGCTAGAGCAGGGGCAGTGGGCCTGTGGAAGCTGAGCCTCCCCACCTCCCCACTCCCTGTCCCCCCTCCCCCCCCCCCCCGGCAGCAGGGAGACCGAACCGGTGCTGCCACTGTGCTTCTCACCCACTGGTGTCAGCGGGCCCTGCAGGGGAACCTCCACCCCACCTGGTCCTGTGCTACATCTAAACAGGTGACTTTCCACTAAAAGAGAGCTAAGGTGAGTCTCAGCACAACCCCCAGGTGTGCAGGTCCCAAACAGCAGTCCCCCGTCGGACCAGGAGGCAGTGCAGCCCCAGCCCCACGAGGAGGACAGTGGTGCCCCAGCTGTAAGGGTCCGGCAGGGACCGCAGAGCGGCCGTCGCGTCAGGGCCCAGGCTGCACGTCACCCGGCTCTCACCGTGCGAGCTGGCGTGCGCAGCCCGGAGCTCCCGCTCAGAGAGTGGGGATGGGTTTCTGAGTCGTGTCCGTGCCTCCCGAAACCCACGGACCTGCTGGACGGGGAGCAGCGCGGACCGGGCCGCGGTGGAGAGAGGCCACGGGCGGACGGGGGACGGGGGACGGGGGCCGGCCTTGCTCCGCAGCCCGGACAGGAGGCGGGAGTTGTCGGGGGCAGTGAGTGCTTTCCCTGGAGATTCAGGCACCCAGGGGTCATCTTTTGAGAGACATGCAGCAAGTTATGTTAGGAGTTTTGTTTGTTTTTGACCATTTCCTAGGAAGAACTTTCTCAACGTTCAACAAGATACTAATAATCTAGTAATTTTTAATTTCTTAAATTATTACACAATGATGTTAACTTGAAGTTACTTACCTTGAAGTCGTTTTGGACTGCTCAGCACCTTTCCCCCTATCCTCGTCTTTTCCTGCCAAGGGCGTGCCGGGCAGCGGCCGTGAGCACCCGCCGGCGTGGGGTCTGCGTGCGTCGTTTCTGGGGCCGCTGTGTGCCGGATGCGGAGCACTGGTGGGGGGGAGCGGCTGTACGTTTTGTGGGGACAGTGGTCTGTGCTCGCTGCCAGGCGCACTCCTTGTCCCTCCTGCGTGGACCTGTCACTCGGAGAGGGGGTCTCTCGGTGTGCGAGGGGGTTCCGGACGCGGGGCTCCTTGGACCTTGCGCCACGTCAGCAGCTCCTGCTGGCAAGAGCCGTTGCTGAGGCTTCCTCGGCCGTGCGCTGCTCACCTGTCCGCACATGCTGTGGCTGAGCTGCCGCCCAGGGGCTGGCCGAGGGCCGGTGTCCTGGCGACCCTGGTCTATAGGCGTGGGGTGGCCACCTGCCCGGATGCACCAGACCCAGGTCCGGAACAGCTGCACCTGCACTACCTCACCGACGTCATCTGTCTCTCCAAAGTGCTCACTGCACTGACGGACACAGGGCCAGTCCCCCAGCAGCCCACTGGGAGCCGTTCACTGTGCTGAGAAATTGTTCACTGGTTTCTGTCTTCTCCTGCCAGCAAAGAAATGATTTTTTCTCTTCACATGTGGACATAATGATACGTTTTTGAGGGGTGAAAACAGTGTCTATGTAACTTGCGTGTTGGCCAGCTGCAGGACTGGCTCTTGCTCACGGGTGGTGTCCCCTCTGCAGAACCTCATCTGCCCCGAGTGCGGGGACGAGTTTGCCCTGCAGAGCCAGCTGGCCGCCCATCTGCAGGAGCACCGGCAGGAGCTGGCCGGTGGCCGCGCCCACACCTGCAAGGCCTGCGGGAAGGAGTGCGCCGCGGCGCCGCAGCTGCGGGAGCACCTGAAGAGCCACCACAGAATCAGGTAGGAGCCTCGGCTCGGCCTGGGGATACGCGTCCGTGCCCGTGGGAACAGGCAGGCCTGGCTTCGCCTCCCGACACTCTGGCCGGTCCGCCGCGGCCTCAGCATGCCTCCCCCGGCACGCAGCTCCAGTCCGCAGAGGGAGAAACGGGCTCAGGCGTTCGGAGTAGGAGTTGGGCCGCGTGGGTGGAAGGTTCTGGCTGGAACTGACACGTCCCTGGCGCAGTGCGCAGCGCACACAGAACATGTCTAAGGGAGGCAGCCCCACCGGGACACAGTCCTTTCATGTCCCCAGTGTGCAGAAGAGTCGAACTGGGTTAAAAAGAGAGGCCACCTGCCTTTCCAAGGCTGTATGTCATCTGGTTTTAGAGCTCATAACGTTAATAACCACGCTTATATTTAAATACACTATATGCATTTATTCCTGGTGAAACATAACATGTCTTTCAAATTTCATACTTCACCTCTTCCTGATTATACGTTTTTACTGACACATCGCTTTCTCAGTGCCATTAAATACAACTTCCTTCCGGGCCCTTGGCGCTGAGGCTGGCTCTTGGTGACGGCCAGGCTGCCCTTGCTGAGCCCCTTTCCCCACCTGGCCGGGCCAGCACCACGGTCTCTGTGACCGCCGTGATGTCATCAGCCTGCTGCCATTCCCAGCCCCGGGTGTGGGGGCCTCTGCACTTCCCAGCCACCACCGCCCGAGCCCCAGCCCGTCCTCGAAGTTGGGGGAGTGCCGAGGCCTGTGCCCTTTGCGCACGCTCAGGCCGGTGTTTCACAGACGCAGGCCGAGCGTCTCCGTGGGCCGAGCCGTCTCATCTCCCCACCCACTTCTCTGCGCCTGTGGTTGGCACGGGCGGCCCCCACCTCATTCCTCGTTCCTTCAGGGGCTTCCCAGCCCCCAGGTGTGACGCGTGTGCTCCACATACGACACTTCCTTTCTGATAAAGTTGAACACAGGCACGTGTGCTGGTCTCCACGGTTTGGGAGAGGTGGCCAGCATGTTACGGGGCTGTCACACACTGGAATGCACTGGCCCTGGGTCTCGGGGGGGGGGGGCGCTGAGCTGCCGACAGCCTCGTCCTCACGGAGCCAGCTGTCACTGAGCAGAGGAGACGGCAGGGACCGCGTGAACGGGTCCGCCAGGGCGGCCGGTTGAGCCAGTGCGTGTGCTGCGAGGGCGATGGGGAACCGGCAGGGCAGGCAGCTGCCGCGGCTGCACGTGAGGGAGGCCACTGTGGGGGCCAGCGTCAGGGTCAGGGAGCTGGAGGGGCCGGCCCCGCTCCTCAGTTGTCGGCTTGCACGCCGGGGAGTAAGCAAAGAGCTGTGCTCAGGACACGCCGGGGTGGAGCAGCCCCGCGCCCTCCCCGAGGAGGTGGGGCAGAGCCGGGTCCAGGGTGGGCTCCGCGGAGGTGTCTGGGTGGGAGGCCGCCAGCAACGCCTGGTGTTGAAGTCGGGGCGGGGGGAGGTGGCAGTGACTCGGGGTTGTGCAGGCTGCGGTTGCACAGACCTCAGTGTCGGGCCGTGAGGTGGAGCCCCTGCCCCCCAAAACGCAGCTGTGCCCCTCTCGTCGCGTGTGTGGACAGCGAGTCTCTGTGGTGCTGGAGACAGAAAACTGGTGGGGGGGTGTGGGAAGGGGACACACACACTTAGGTGGGGCTGACTTTCCGCTACGTCAAGTTCATGACCGGCCGGCTGACCCTGTGGAAGGACTCCCCTGCCGAGGGTGTCACACAGGCAGACGACTTCCTGAGCACCCCGTGTTGCACTAGGATGTCCAGCACCAGGTCGTACAACCGGAACGTCGACAGGAGCGGGTTCACCTACTCGTGCCCACACTGCGGGAAGACGTTCCAGAAGCCGAGCCAGCTCACGCGGCACGTGAGGATACACACAGGTGCGGAGCGCGCTCCCGGGGGGGCGGGTGGCGTGTCTCGCGGGGGGAGAGGCGGGCCTTGGAGCCCACCAGACCCGGCCTTGACCCCTGGCTTTTCCCCGGGCTGCCGTCCAGCCTGGGCGTGGAGTTTGAGATCCCGGGGTAGGCGTTGGACGTACGGGTGTGCCGTCATGGGGCACGTCCTGGCTGGAGGGATGGCTGGGGGTCCCGAGGGTGGTGGTGACGACGCGGCCAGCGCCGTGACGATGGTGTGTGTTCCTTCTCCCTCCAGGCGAAAGGCCCTTCAAGTGCAGCGAGTGCGGGAAAGCCTTTAACCAGAAGGGGGCGCTGCAGACGCACATGATCAAGCACACAGGTGAAAAGCCGCACGCCTGTGCCTTCTGTCCTGCTGCCTTTTCTCAGAAGGGGAACCTGCAGTCCCACGTGCAGCGAGTGCACTCGGAGGTGAGCCCGCCCGCAGATGCGGGGCCCCGGTGTGCCCAGGTCAGGGGGCTGCGGCCTGTGAGCCCAGCTGACGCCATCTCTAAGGCTGAGTTGCTAGGTAGCGTTCGGTCCTGGGACTCACCGCAGGCCGTGCCCTTGGTTGTTCACAAGGCACTGGGTGGGAACAGACCGGAAGTCTCGTCCAGGTGAGCTCGAGGCAGCCGTCACCCCGTGATAACGCAGGCGGGCCGACGGCGGCGAGGAGCCTGGGCTCTCCACCCGCGCTCCACGCGCCCTGCACGCGCAGCCCCCCCGGGCCGTGCCGCCGTGGGACAGGTGCAGGCGGTGACGGGCTCACCCCGTGGGGCCGTCCTCCCAACTTGTCCGCCCTGTGCCGCAGACGCCGCTCAGGGTTACAGGACACGGGGACACGCGTCACACGTGCTCTTGTTCCTGAGTCGTAGTGACGGAAAACCGTGAGTGGTCACGGTGGAACCAGCCCGGACAGAGCGGGTCTGTGGCGCCCAGTTACTCTCGCACCGGCCGTACCGGCCAGAGCGCTCGGGCACGGGTGCTGGAACGAGCCGCTGTAAAGGGAGAAGCAGCGTCCGAGGGCTGGGCTACTTCTGTCATTTTTAACGGAGTGGTCAATTATGATGTGCCCTAATCAGAATGTTTTGATCTGATAATCAAGTGTAAAAAGTCATTTTTCTCTTTGATTTGTTCAGGTCAAGAATGGCCCTACCTATAACTGCACGGAGTGCAGCTGTGTGTTTAAGAGTCTGGGCAGCTTGAACACGCACATCAGCAAGATGCACATGGGCGGGCCGCAGAGCGCCGCCAGCTCCGCAGAGACGGCGCACGTCCTCACGGTGAGCTGGGAGTGGGGGGGGGGGGCGGCTGCGGGGAGGACGTCCCCTTACAGAACCTGTCCTCTCGGCCCGGCCCGGCCCTCAGAGCGAGCTGTGCCCGCAGCGTTCCTTAGTGCCGCCAGGTGCTGCGGGGGCTTCTCTGCGTGGCTGCGGGGTGCTGCTGCGTGTGAGTTAGTGGGGAAAAACCAGTCTCAAATTTTAGAGTCGAGCTGGGTGATCCTGATTTATGGACTGTCTCCTGACCTAATAAAAATGAGACAAATAGAGTCACTAATTTATAAAATTGCAGTTCCTTCAATTTATTGGTGATTATTAGGGAATATTCTTTACCGTTATATTACAATTTAAAAATCAAGTATCCTTTTAAGATACATTTCTCCATTAGGTGACGATGATACTTTTTCCTGAGACTTTGGATTTGGGGAAACTAAATTGTATGACTTCAAACACACGCTTTCATTCTTTTTCTGTAGGATTCTATAGCCCAGCCCAGTCTGCAACCCCCACCTCTCCATTTACAGCAAAGGGCAGAGCCCAAGCCCAGAGCGTGGTGTGTTGAAGCCGCTGCGCCCAGATGGGTGTCTGGGCGGGCCCACCGCTGCCCCCTCCCGTACAGCACGGCGGCCCCCTGCGGGTTCGTCCTGAGCGCCCGGGCACAGGCCTGCCGCCAGCTCCCCTCCTTTCCGCCCCATGCAGTGTGTGCGGGTGGAGACGGCTCCTCCGCTCCCTCTCCCTCGGGGGGATGTCCTGGAGGAGTTCTGAAACTGGAGAATAATTAGAGCCTGATAATTAAGTCTTAACATTCTATTTTGGACTGAGTATGTTGTAGTAGAATTCTCAGCGTGTGGATCGACCCGATATTGAGAGTTTTCACCATTCTTCTGGCAACATGGAAAGGAAATGTGTAGATGCAGAGACTAACCTGGAGTGATAACCCAGATAACTTGTGACGTCTATGTTCTTGATAAACGTCTGAAAATGCAGCTCGGGTGGGCGGTGGGCGCCGGGGCCCGCCCTCCTTTCTCCTCTCTTGGGCCGGGCGGGGCCTTCTCCCCAGGCGGCTCTCCGGCTCTCCGTGCTGTATCTCGCTCTTCTGACTCCTGGTCTTTTTGCTCTTCTTTTGATGGTGGTTCTCTTCAGCTTCATCTTACGATTCTCTTACTGACATTCTCAGCTAGTACGAGTTTTAGTTTCTGGGAGCTCTCCTTCGTGCCTCTCCAGTTTGGCGCACTTTCCTCTGAAATGTGATTAGTGTTTTCCTTCGAAAAGTCCCTTCCCCTCTGAGTTGCCTGCCTGGGGTCACAACCCTCTGCTCCCTTTTGCGGACGTTTTGTTAGGTCCTCGGGGGATGAGGCCACAGCACACCCCAGGGCGGCCTTTTCACCCAGGGTGCAGCTGGCCCATCCCCAGGGCAGCCTGGGCCAAGGGAACCAGCCCCCCGGCCTGGGGTCCTGGAGGCCGAGCAGAGGAGACTCCAACTCTGTGTTTCATCTGGGGCCTGAGGGCCGCAGGCACCGAGTTCTCCCCAGTTCTTACTCGTTTTTCTCTCTCTTCCCAGTCAGTCCTTCTTTTTGCCTAAAGGTAGATGCCTAACTGCCATCAGTGGAGGAAGACAAGGGGTTAATTGTCTGTCCTGAGCATTTCTCCCAGGGTCTTCACTTGGTGCGTTGATAGACCTCATTTTCAAGAGCAGGTTCAGGTCTGCCGAAAACTGAGTGGGAAGCACAGCGACGTCCATACTGTCCCCCGTGGCTCACACCCCACGCGGCTGGGGCCTTTGCTACAGCCGAGGATGAATGCCCGTGTGTTGTAGGGCCTGAGGCCACCCGCTGTGCTGCGCGCTGAGCAGGTTTTGACAGACGTGTCCTCTCCTGAGCCCACCGCCACGGATCCCACGGGGCCGGTCCTCGCCGCCCTGCTCCCCGCCGTCCGTCTGGCCTGGCGTTTCGGACGCCCGAGTGTCTGAGGGGTCAGGCCAGCTCTGTCTGCAGCTGCTCCTCACTGCACCCCTCCAGGGCCCTGTTGCCTGGAAGTTTTTGAATTTCTAGTCACACTTGTTTCTTCTTTCGCTGCTTCTGTAGCTCCTCTCACCCTTTCGTGCTGGTGGGCTCACAGCGTCTGAGGTTGGCGCGCTCCACCCCGTCCTGACCCGATAGTGCTTGCTCACACTTCAGAGACTTGGGGAAGCTGTAGTGGGACACTACTGGGTGTGTTACTCGGAGGGCCAGCGTTGTGCCACACACGAAAGTGTCCGCAGTGAGGCATTACATTTACGGTGTGTCTGGAACAGGGTTAGATTTTCATGCTCACAGGGAAGATGTGCCGGTTTTGTTTTTTTTAAATGAAATGAGCACTGATGTAGTTTGTGCATGTTGTTAATGAAAGCATTGCTGTGTTTCAGGCCACGCTGTTTCAGACGTTGCCTCTTCAGCAGACGGAGGCCCAGGCTGCGTCGGGCCCGGGCCAGCCGAACTCCCAGGCGGTGACCGACGTCATCCAGCAGCTGCTGGAGCTCTCAGACCCGGGGCCGGCCGAGCCCAGCCAGGCCCCGCAGCCGGGCCAGCAGCTCAGCATCACGGTGGGCATCAGCCAGGACATCCTGCAGGTGAGGCACACTTCCCTGCTCTGTCCGTGCCTGTCAGACACCGGGTCACGGCCTGGAGACGGGTGGGGGCCTGTCGCACTCCCCCAGATTGAATACGTGTTCGTCAAACAAGATAGGCTTACTCAGTCCCTTACGGACAGTGCAGAGTTCTAAGTGATTATTAAGCTAAACACTTTTTAAATGTTTAAACCCCTAATTTTTTCTCTGTAAGTGAATTTACTTGAACGAGCTCTTCCGAACTTCTTGTACCTGTCCCTGTTGACATAAGAAATGTTTCGTTGTTGCTTGAGGTTGTGCTGTACTCTTTGGAGTCAGCACCGTGTGCGTGCCTGTGTGTGCTGTGTGCACATCGTGCGCACGGTGGGGACGAGGGGGGGGGACGGAGGAGGAGGAGGCAGGGCTGGGGAGCTGAGCCCTCACCGTTCCTGACTCTGACCGCCCAGCCTCGAGTCTGGTTTCACATCCAGTGTTCACTGCCGATCAGACGGCCTTGTTCCTGCTCCTCCTCCCTGGCTGTGTCCTCAGTGCACTGCCCACCTCCCCCTCCCTCGTGGGGACGCGCTGGTCGGGTACCACGACATCCGACGTCTGAAGTCTGAAGGGCAAACCCAGTGTAGCTTAGAACAGTGATTCCCAAAGGTGCCTGAGGTCACATACGTAAAAATCAACTTACGTTTTGTAATTCAGACACCAAAGGCTGGTCAGACTGTGTCTGGGAGGGGGTGAGATGCTGGGTGTCGGAAAGGGCGCGTCAGTCACGAAACGGGGGTGTGCTGCCGACCGAGGACTGTCGCTGGGTGGCGCAGCCTGCGTCTCTCCGCGTGGCGCTAGCGCTCTGTGGGTGAGGCTGGCTCGGAGCGGTGCGGGCCGTCGGATCTCCTAACCTCCGAGTTTTTTCTGTCTCAGCAAGCCTTAGAAAACAGTGGGCTGTCTTCAATTCCAGCTGCAGCACACCCCAGCGACCCCAGCCACGCCAAGACTGCCGTGCCGGGCCAGGACCCGGACCTCCCCGACGCGCCCCGCGAGCCAGCTGACCCTGCCGACGCGGAGCCGGAGAAGGAGCAGGAGAGCCCAGAGAAGCTGGACAGAAAGGAGAAGAGGCTCCTCAAGAAGAAGTCACCGTTTCTCCCTGGTAATTTCAGTGGGCTTTGAGCTTGAGACGTTCGGGCGGTACAGTGCTTGTCTTTTGAGAAACACCTTTTTTCCCCTTCTGAAGGTGATGGTGTTCTGAACATCCCGATAAGGCTACCTAGCAGCGTTTGTTTGATATTTAAAATTAAAAGCCATGAGATAAATTTGATAGACTACCTCTTTTCCCGGGGTGCCTTCTTCCTCTGACTCCAGCCTCCCCTGGCTCTCCCCCACGGCTTGACCGGGCTGTCACTGCCCTCCTCCCGGTGACCTCCTCACCCTGCAGCTGCCGTGCCTCCTGGCTGTGCTGCTGCTGCGGCCTCCTCGCACCTCCTCCCTCCCTTCCGCGGTGACGGAGCCGCCGAGGCAGGCCTGCAAAGCGCGGCCCCTCTGCTCTCGGCCTTCCCCTCCATGCACCGTGGAGCCTTGGCCTTGGAGCCCCGGGAACCAGCCCCGCGGGCGTGGCCCCTCTCCCACCCGCTCCTGGGAGCAGGCCGACCTGGCGGTAGTGAGGGCTTCCTGCCGGTGCCTCCCAGGCCGTTCAGCGTCAGGAGCGCCTTCCTCCTCCCCTCCTCTCCGTTCCCTGCCACGCCTGGGGGCTGGTCACTTCAGCCCCCTCAGTGTGCCCTCCCTGCAGAGGGCCACCCTCCCCAGCCCTGTGGTCCCCCCTAGCTGCTGAGCAGCGGGAGTCGCTTCCGTTCCTTTCCGATTCCCTGCTCGCTGAGCCCGGCTCGTCGTGTGGGGGCAGGGTCAGCACGTCTCCCTCCAGGGAGACAGGGTCCTGTCTTTCGGACAGGAGCGTTCCCGTGAAGTACTTCGTAGTGGCCGGAACTGTGCTGCCCGCCCCAGTGTCTGGGGAGCAAGGGCCTTCTCGCTGCCCAGAGTGGAGGGGCCCTGGTCTCCACTCACCCTCCTGAGGGTGTGCTTCCTCGCTGTGGGCACGGCCGTGAAGCCCTCCTTTCTCGCCTCACGGCTCCCCCCCTTTCCTGCATCCGCCCCGTCCCCCCAGCCCCGCGGGTGCCGGGCCCCGTGGCCTCCCAGGCTCCGGGGGCTGTGTGGTGGGTGTCTGCCCACCTCACACGCGTCTGTTGGGGGACGGACATCCACAGCGGTGCCGAGCCTCGCGTGGCGTCGCCACGGGCTGCTGCCTGTGCTTCTCCCGTGAGAGCCTCTGAAGGGGCTGGCCCTGCTGCTCCGGGTGCAGCGCCAGAGCCCGCTTCCGGAGGCCGGGCGGCGGCAGCCCGGCACTGAGGACGGCAGGCGGCTGGCTTCTGCACTGAGCATAGGGGTTTCAAAGTGCTAGACGTGCTAGGGAACCTCTTCTCCCGCATTTTCATGTGCGGTGTTGTGGTTACAGAGCCTCTGGAGGTTACACAGAATAATTTTTGAATAAGCTAAATACATGTATACAGTACTGAGCAAGTTTTGGCAATTCTAATAAACTTTATTACTTTTCTGTTTAAAGCCGGGGCAACATTGGTTAGTAGGATTACATAGGTTCCGGGGGTACAGTTCTATCATGTTCTGTCGAATACATCATCAGTGCACTGCTGTGTGTCCACACCCCAGGTCAGGTCTCCTTCCGTCACGGCTTGTGCCCCTTCACCCTCTGGCTGCCACCGCGCATCGTCTGTGGGGGGGGGTGTGTGTGTGTGTTTATGGCTTTACTGCTTTTTTGTTCCTTTCTCCCTTTATTTTTCTTTAGGACACATTTTTTAATTCGGCCAGTATTTTTTTCAATTTTACTTTATAAAATATACTTTTTTATAAAATGTAATATGGGTGCTTTAAAATCAGGTAATTTATGAAATCATTCAATCATAGTCACTCATAAATCATTCAGCTGGTAGTGTAATAATTTAAAGAAATGTAATTGCAATTTACAAAATAGTTTTGTTTGTTTCATTTCCCCATACTTTGTGTCTGCACAGATAAAAGAAAATTAAAATTTTCAAACATTTTATATTCAGTTTTTTAAAAAATACACTGTTTTCTATAGCTTTGGTCTTTTTTTAAAAGAATTTACTTATTTTTAGAGAGAGGGGAAAGGAGGGAGAGAGAGAGAGACACATCACTGTGTGGTTGCCTCTCAGGCGCCCCCTACTGGGGGCCTGGCCTGCAAACCAGGCAATGTGCCCTGACTGGGAATCGAACTGGGGACCCTTGGGTTCACAGGCCAGTGCTCAATCCATTGAAGCACACCAGCCAGAGTCAGCTGTGGTCTCTATAAAGGTCTTGAATTGAAGTTTGAAAGGACAAAAATTAAGGTACCAGGATAACTCTGCTGTAGGTTTAGCAGCATTTTCATATAGAGCAATTTGAAATGGCAACTAACTTGTCTTATCACATACCTGCACTTGGGGAAAACCACTCCCAACGCACAGAAGAGTTCCCACATGTGCACTGCGGTAGGCTCACAGAAGTGTCCAAAAGACCCGTGGGAACGGCGCAGAAAACTGCTTCTTTGTGAAGCGTTGGCTGGCGATCCTGATGCTGAGGGGGGCGCGGGAGGCTTGGTCCCTAGGCATTGCTCTCCGGAAGCTCAGTTTTTAAAAGAAGATTTTGTTACTTATTCTTAGAGAGGGGGGAAGGGAAGGTAAAGAGAGGGGGCGCAACATGGATGTGCGAGAGAGAAACATTGATCGTTGCCTCTCACGTATGCCTTTGCCTGGACTGGGCCTGCAGCCCAGACGTGCCCTGAACGGGAGTTGGACCGGTGACCTTCGCTTGCAGGCCAACGCCCAGCCCCGCTGAGCCACGCCAGTCAGGGCGCCTGTGGGTCATTTTTAAGAACTTGGGCATCAGGCTACTGGAGCGCTTGCTAGACCTGCCTGCACGAGGTCAGGTGTGCTCCTTGAAGATACTGGACACATTCCGGCCGTCACAAGAGATGGCTTCCAGTGGCCCTGTGCATGCAGCTGCAGTGGTACTCGGTGTGCACCTGCCAGGTACAGGTGTTCCGAGGGTGCTAGGACAGGTGTGGAGGTGCTGCACCCCTGAACTAACCAGCACACCCGTCTGTTGTCACGTCCCCCCTGTTCTGCCCGCTTTGACCTCGGCCCTCGGGTGACAGTGGCGTTCTCCAGCCCTGGTGCTGCAGGGCCATTTGCAGGAAGCTGACTGACCCTCCCCAGAGAGCGGGCTGTCCTCTGCTTCTGCTGAGTGGGCAGCACTTCCCGGCTGCACGAAGCAGAGGCAGGACCCTGCGGTAACGGGGGCCCTGCAGGCAGCATCGCTGCGCCCAGTCGTCTGGCAGGAGCTCCCGCAGGCCTCCTTGGCTCCGAGGCTGCAGGCGTGTGCTCTGGGGCAGGGGGAGGGCGGGACTCTCCTTCCTCCAGGCAAGACGGTCCTGCTGTGAGGGCAGCTGGGGACCGGCAGGGGCGGCAGCATGGTGACATGGGCTGCTAGAGATGCTGGCCTTTCTTCATCTTGTGCCAGCATCAGTTTTTGTAACAGAATTTAACTAAATCTTTGACTGAACTTTATTTCGTTTTTAGATGGGCAGCCAGCTGTACACATTCCGTTTGTCCATGCTGTGCTTGGCCCACTGATGTGCAAAGCCACCATTACTGTATGTCACCCTCTCAAATGGCCAGGGTCTCTCTGGCCTTGACCCCCCGTCCCGTGTTCCCGTGTTTATTGGTGTATCCCAGGTCCAAACGGCTTTATTTAGAATTGCAGCATGCTTTCATAAGGCGGGAGCCCAGTTCCTTCTCGCTGTATTTCGAAAGTGTATTTTTGACCGTTTTCACATATTTATTTTTTCATGTGTACTTTAGAATTGTCAGCTAAATTTCCACAACTGTAGTTCTAAAAAAGTCCTATTGGTATTTGTATGTAAGTGATTTAATCAGGGAGAATTGATGATGAACTCATAATTTTTAGTCTTTGTACCAAAGAATACAGTGTGCACTTTTCTTTTTCATATTTTAGTAGTGTTTTTAAATTTTCTTCTGGGGTTGTAGATATGAAGGATATTGACTTCCATGTATTAAACATGGGTCTCTTTCCGAGATTTAGTTTTTTTAGGTCCATATCAGGTCATTTATAAAGAATAATTTTACTTTTTATTGTTTATGTGGTATGTATCTATTATCTAATTTCATTGACTAGTATCTCTAAACACGATAAATTGCAATGATAGTGGCCCTTTTCCTGACTTTAATAGGATTGCATTGACTATTCTTCTGTGAAGTATATTGAGATGTTTTATTCACCTCCTCCTGTTTTAGACAGTTTTTTTAAAGTGAAGACTAGATGTTGGATTTTAGTAGAAGGCTTTCTATCTGAACAATGACTACAAGTGGATCTCTCTCCTGTTACAACCGGTCACTGCACGTGAGAGGGGAGCCACCGCCCAGCGTCGGGAGGGCCGCCCTGGGGGCGTGGCCCGCTGTCTGGGTCCTCAGTTTGTCAGAGGGCTGGGGTCTGGCTTCCATTTCCCTTGGGACACGGGGTGGGCCAGACAGACTGTGCAGAACAGACTTGTGAGTAGACCCTGGGGACAGTCCTCTCATGTCTCTTACGTAACTAAAGATTTTCATTGTTCAGAAAAAACTCGGATTTTCCAGGGTGAATTCCTAAGTTTAGCTCATAACTTTTATAGTTCCCTCTCATCTTGTTATAGTTTGCTTTTTGATTTGTGGTAAGATCTTTAGGTAGTAATTCCACTTCTGCATTAATTTTTACTTATTATTTTTAAGTGGTCTTAAATTTTAGTCTACATTAATGTAAGCAGTATGACCATAAACTAAATGTCTGTCTTTCTTTTGAAACCATTTCCCTTGTTTCCTACTCTTTTTTTTCTCTTCCTGCCTTGTGTTTTGTTTCCATTGCTTCACAGATTTTTTAGAAAAAATGTCATTTTTAATTCATTTTTTTAACCTGTGTTAGTCTTGCAAAGAGCAGTATGTGCAGGAAAATACGTCATCTTTGCTCACAGTCTCGTGCACAGAGGAGAATTCCTGGTATTTATTGGCAGCGGGGCGGGGGGTGGGGGGAACGCCAGCATTTCCTTTTCCTACCAAAACTGCAGGTACAGCAGATCCTGGAATAACGTCATTTCGTTACAATGCTGATGAGGAAGAAAAAAGGTTTCTGGCCAGGCCACTGTCCGTGTGTGTTTCTCAGGAGCCCGTGCCCTCTCGTGTCCTCGGGCTGCCCCGAAACTGCACCCCCGAGGTGTGCGCGTCCACCCTTGCCCCCACCCCCGCCGTCCCCATCGCAGCCAGCGTGGGTGTGCTCGCTGTGTGGTGGGGGGGCAGGGCGGCCCTCTCCTGCCTGTGACCCCCCCCGCAGAGCCTCCGCCCCTCTCTACCCCAGGCCGGCATCCGCAGGGTGGAAGAGTCATCTTCCTTGTTTCTGTCAGTTTCTTAAAAAGCGTGTGCTGGCTCACATGTGTTTCACTGATCAATATTAGAATGTTCTGAGCCTGCCTTTGGAAGCTGGGGGAGGTCTTCGTGACCAGAAAGATGCTGCAGGAACTGAACTCTCTGTATCGATTAGCCCAGAGTGCACGTGGCTTCCTTACCCGTCATTGCTCTCTGAGTCGAGGCTCCGAGACCCCGTGGCCCTTAGGGAGGAGGGGGGCTTGCTGTGCCCAGGCCAGAGTGAAGGTGCTCCAGCCGCGTCCCCCACGCGGCCCAGGCCCCACGGGAGACTCTGCCGGACCGTGCACGCCTGCTCCAGGTTGCACGAGGACATCTAATTCGAAGTGAAGTGATTCTGCGAACTCCGTTTTGACGGTGCTTTTATACCTCAGAAGTAATTTGTTACTGCATCTCCGTGACTTCTGCTTGTGATTTTCTCCAATAGGACTGCGTCACCCCGATTCGAAGTTGAATTGTATTTAGAGGCACAGAAGCATCTTTCACGAGCCCGTCTCCCACCCTACTCCGACCGAACTGTTTATAGATTACCTTTTGTAGCACATGGACTTACCCTTTCTGAATTATTTGCACTTGCATTTCTTTTATTGGTGATCTTGGAGGGACTGAAACAGCACGGCGTTACTCCTTCCCTCCTGTTCTATGGGTCGACTTGGGGGCCCTTCTGACTCGCGGTCACTCTGGCCCGAGGCTGCAGCCAGCCGCCGGCGTGGTCCCGTCGGCTGCCTGTGCGGTGAGCGCGCACACGCCTCGGTTTGTGTTGGTGGGGCTGGCGGGATTTCCCGCAGCGCTAAATCACAGCGCTCGCCGATCGCGGTGATTGCAGCAGTGTCCCCTTTGTGCGTCACTGACCGCGTACCTCCCGCTGTGCCAAGGAGCGCCCGGGCTTGCGTGGTCGCGCGGAGCCGTGTGAGCAGACCCCCGGGCGGGCCCTTACGGCGTCTGTGTCCTTGCGCTGCAGGCTCCATCCGCGAGGAGAACGGGGTCCGCTGGCACGTGTGTCCCTACTGCACCAAGGAGTTCCGGAAGCCCAGCGACCTGGTCCGGCACATCCGCATCCACACGCACGAGAAGCCCTTCAAGTGCCCGCAGTGCTTCCGCGCCTTCGCGGTGAAGAGCACGCTGACCGCGCACATCAAGACGCACACGGGCATCAAGGCCTTCCAGTGCCAGTACTGCCTGAAGAGCTTCTCCACTTCCGGGAGCCTCAAAGTGCACATCCGCCTGCACACAGGTGCGGGGGGCGGCGGGGGCGGGGGCGGGCAGGTCGTCCGTGCGCGTGCGCAGACGTGGGGGCTACGGGGCAGGGCGGCCAGCACGCGGGGGCGGGGCCCGGGCCGGCGGGGCCAGCCCTTACTTCCGCACCTGTGCGGCGGGCCGGGCCGGGCCACGCTCCCCACTGCACCGCGGTCTTCCCGCGCAGCGGAGCGTCGCCAGGACCCGCGCTTACCTCCGCGATCTGAGTTCGCGGATGCCCTGGGTGGGGGAGGCCCGAGGTAGGTCGTGGCAGAGGACACCCATGTGCTGGTGCTGGAATCTGCGTTTTCGTTTACCAAAAAAATTGTAAAAGAAGGAAATTTCCTCTAAAAAGGAAAGTGAGAGTAGAGGGTTGTTAAGAGGAATTCATGACCGCCTTCACCAGCAGCAGCACTGTTACAATGAAGAAGAGCTTGTGTTCTGCATGCCACAGCCTGCGGGTGCGCCTTAAACCCCGCGCAGCTGCCCCCAGGGCCCGGCCCTCCTGTGGCTGCTCGGGAGGGAGGGCTGCTGGAGGGAGAGAGCCGCTCACACACTTCAGTGTGTGTACGACTGCTGGTGGTTTGACCTCCATTTTACTGTGTTCTGCAGGTGGTGAAGGGGTTTTCTTAGTTTGAAGTTCTTTTACTGCGTTTCTTGGTGTCTATAACATCAACTGTATGCAAACGAGGGAAAACAACTAATGTATGTCAGTAAGGAGATGAAGGCATGAACTGACACATCGATAGTGGAATCCTGGGAGTCTGTGCGGGTGTTAATTGTTGAGAAGTATTTCCTCGGAATGACTCTGCAGCGTGCTTTTATCTTCGTCAGGAGTCAGGCCCTTTGCTTGTCCTCACTGTGACAAAAAGTTCCGGACCTCCGGCCACAGGAAGACGCACGTGGCTTCCCACTTCAAGCACTCCGAGCTGAGGAAGATGCGGCACCAGCGGAAGCCGGCCAAGGTCCGAGTGGGCAAGGCCGGCGCCCCCGTCCCCGACATTCCCTTGCAGGAGCCGATCCTCATAACCGACGCAGGTGAGGTTCCCTCCCCGGGGTCTCGCCAGGGGGGCGTGGCGCGGGCATCCCCACCACCCCGTGGTCGGGGGTGTGGGGTGAGTGGGCCAGCGCACTGCACGGTGGCCGCTCGGACCCTGGTTCTGTCCGCACTGCCCCCGGGCCGGGCTCCTGGTGAGAAGGGAGATGCGTGAGCGGCGGCGCTGGTGCCCGCGCTCACTCGAGAGGCACTTCTCTCTGGACGGGAAGCTCGGGGACGGGCCGTGGACAGGTGTGCACTGCACGGAGCACGCCGTGTCCTTGGCTGTTGTCATCTTACACATCTTACCTCGTGCGTACCGGGTTGCTGTGTGTGTGGCTCTCCTCTCAGAGTTTCCCGGGGTGGTCATTCTTAGGGGATTTGATTGTTCAGAGCACAGTGGTGGCCGGCACCGCCCTGCCGGGGGACCCTGCACGGTCCCTGCGCACCAAGTGTGCCTTCCCTCCTCACCGCAGTCCGTGTTCGGTGCTCCGCACCCTTCCCGGAAGGTTAGCACGGGCGTGGTGTCCACGTGATGGCTCTGGAACTGTCCTCCTGGAACTAGCTCTTTTCAGGGTGCCACGAGTCGTTTGGAAACCCGCGGGCTCCCGGACTTCAGGCCTGTGACTCCGAGCTGCGTGAACGCGGCGTCCTGGCTCTGCACACTCTTCAGGGCGGGACCGGGGCCCGTCGCGCCCGCCCTCTAATTCACCCTTAATTCTTGTTCCTCAGAGACGGAGAGATCTTATCAGTAGCCTAACTTTTGAACAGAACTTGGTGCCTGTGAAATTATCTGTTGAAAAACAAAGCGTCTGAAAACTGAAGTCCATTATTTTACTTCTAATAATCCAGAGTGGGGAGCTCCCACCCCTTGCGAGGGGTGCAGAATCACCCGGGGCCTGTTTCAAAACACTGCTGGCCGCCACCCCGGAGAGTGCGTGTCGGGGGAGCCCACGGGGGTTGTCCGCCGTGTTGTGACAGCGCAGTAGAGGCCATGGGAACCACCATCGAGTGCACCGAGTGCCCTGCACACGCTGGCGCAGCGACTTCCTCTGGCCGTCCACAGGGTGACGGAGGCACATGCGTAGGTAACGCACTTGGAAAGGTGCGAAAGGGACAAGTGACCGCCGACGGGGGGTGGGTGGGTGGTGGGCCCCACTCGAGCAGAGTGCATCTGTGGCAGCGGGGCGCCCGCCGGCAGTGCTGCGCAGGCTCTCTGACCGCGCTGGGCCGGGTGACCTCCTGTTCTCGGGGTGCCGCTCTGGAGGCAGCACACAGCCCGCCCTCGGCCGGCTCCGCACCCGCGGTGCAGCGCCCCAGGGAGGGAGGCACCCGACACCCTGGGTGCTCATCGCTGGTCTACGCTCTGACCGGCGGGTGAGCTTTTGAAGGGCTCCCTGCCCCCCAGGCCTCGCTCTTCGTCCCTGCAGGGGCGGGAAACGCCAGAAGCAGCTCTCTGTTCTTGGGGTGAAGTGCCTCATTCCCCTGTGGAACGGGGGTAAGGCGTCCATCGGAGGGCTTCCGCTTCCTACAAGTTACCTGTGGATTTCATTTATTCTACCTGCTGCTGTGACTTTGTGTAACTAATTGCTTGAAATTACTTGCTTTCTTTGCTTTCCTTTCTTCTTGCTTTTTAATGTATGTTCTGTCTAACAAAACAGATGCACTTACTAACACTGCACATTTACGTTGCACGCTGTAGTTGTGGGAGGGGCGTTTCAATTTTTCCTCCTGGTGTTTTTCTTGGAAACTGTCCATAGCCGGCTCTCCCGGCCGTGTTCGGGAGTCGCCGTCCTTGTGGTCTGGGGTCGGGGGGCTGTTGGCACACACGGCCAGTCTTGGCCCGGCCCCGTCGGGCGTCCCCTCGGCCTGCTTCAGGAAGCCTTCGCATCCCCACGCCGTGGGCTCAGCAGCGAGCGGACGCGCCCTCCGTGTCGGTGGCCGTGTGGGAGGACATGCACGCAGTCTCCTGTCCTCTCCCTGGCCTGCGCGTGGCCCCCGAGGCACAGCGGGGGGGCCAGAGGGTCCCTCCGACGGTGCGGGCGGACCACCCTGGTTTGAACTCTCTGCGCCCCTTGCCTCCAGCCCTCAGGTGCGGGACACTGAGAACAGGTTCACCAGGTCGCTCGGTCCTGTGTGTGTGTCCCGCTCGGCAGGGCCTGTGGGCTGGGGCCAGCGTTGGTGGCCGTGCGGCAGGCTGGGGAAGCTGTGGCCAGCCTGGTGGGGAGAGGAGCCCGGAGCGGAGGGAACGGAGTCCCAGGGTGGTTCGGACGGCAGGGAGAGCATCTGACGTGGAGGGGGGACAGGGCGACACTGCATGTGCATATGGGGGTGGGGAGGGGCAGGAGGATGGACAGACAGAGCAGGTTGCGTTGCGTGGGGGGGCCGCCGGAGAGCGCCAGCGGTGCAGGCTGTGAGGGGGGGCTGGCGAGGGTGTTCACGCCTGTCACTGTGGAGCCCCAGCTTGCTGAGCAGAAGCGCTTCATTCGGGGACACGAGAGGTTGAGGGCGCCCACCCTGGGGGCCGGGGGTCTTGGTGAGGGTGTGGCAGGGGCCGCCCTGAGGGGTGCAGGGGAGTCTGGGCTCATGGAAGCAGCGCGCCAGGGCCAGAGTGTCTCCGAGGCGTGGGCGTGCCCTTCTCTTCACTGGACTGAGTGCCTGTGAGGGGCGGGGGGGGGGGGGTGGGGGAGCTGTTCCTGTGAGCAGCAGAGGGGCCAGCGAAGGCTGCCGGGAGTGGGGGTGTGGGCCGGTCCGGCTCCGTGAAACTTGCGCCCCGGGGGAAGGTCTGGCAGCCGGAGGGCTGCGCTGTGGGGGTGCACTCAGGTCAGGGTGGGGTTCGGAGTTCTCTCGGACACAGGGAGCAGCTTCCGGAGCCGTGCAGACCGGCCGACTCCGGGCCGGTGCCTGAGCAGCGCGGCCTGGGCGAGCTGTCCAGCCCGGTCCTTCGTCCGCCCCCTCTCTGTGGGAGAGGCCCGTACTGGGAGTGGGAGGGCGGGGACTGGGGGTCGGGGGGGAGAGGCCGGGGGGGGGGGGGTAGTGGGACCTCCAGGCCTGGCGAAGACCAGGGGAGGAGCTGGGGGCAGCTCTCCGCGGTTCTGAGTCCCCTGGCCCGCGCCCTTGGAGAGACCTGCCGTGGGCACGGGGAGAGCCCGGGCCTCGGCTTCAGGAAGGAACGGTGTGCGCGCACGTGGGCTGGCAGGGAGGGCGGGGCCGGTGTGGGGTGCCGCCCCGCTGAGGGGACGGGCAGGCGGGGTCTGAGCAGATGGAGGCCTGCCGTGGAGGGGGCCCCGGGTGCCCTCCCGGATGCTCCCGCCACCTGCAGCGAACCAGGGTCAAGGGCGCTCCTTCTGAATCGGGGCTCACCAGTGTCGTGTGCCGGTCAGCCAGGGAGCCCTTCGTCCACGGGAGCCACGCTAGAAGTAACTACCGTTGCTGTCGGCCGGTGACCCTCCGATGGGATCTCTGTGGGAAGCTGACCGCTTCCGAACCAGAGGTCACGTTGGAGTGGTTTCCCTTCTGAGTGTGGCACCGCGCTTTGTTTGTCCGTGCTGGACGAACGAGGGGTTGAGTTCCAATGACCTTAATTTTGGACACACTCACGTCGACCTTGTGCCAGCAAACGCTCACACGGAAAGTGAGCGCAGGTGCCCGTCAGAACCCGTCTCCAGACCGGGGACCACGTGTGACTTGACTGCAGAGGTGCTCTTTGTGTCGAAAAGCTGCGTGCTGCACCCTGGCCCGGTCAGCGCTCCCGGGCGCTCTTCAAGGAGCCGCTTCCCGACGCGGCGCAAGCAGCGCCTGCGAGCTGCGGTGGGGTCCGTGCTTGACCTCCGCCGATCCCGCCTTCGGGCGCAGCGGCCGCCCTTCGACGCCCCGGCTTCGGCAGCCCTGGCAGCGAGTTGTGCCCGGTTCTCTCGGTGTCTAGGTCTCATCCAGCCCATTCCGAGAAGCCAGTTTTTCCAGAGCTACTTCAACAGCAGCTTCGTGAGCGAGGCGGACCGGCCGTACAAGTGCTTCTACTGCCACCGAGCGTACAAGAAGTCCTGCCACCTCAAGCAGCACATCCGGTGAGCCCGCAGTGTCAGGGGCGGGGCCTGGGCAGTGTCGGTGTGAGGGGAGCAGTGCGAGCTCTCGGGGTTTCAGATGTCACGTGCGACCCCGAATGTGTTTATTCCTCATTGTCTTGACTAAAATACGTTACCCAGAAATTCCCACCAGGTTTTATTTATACTCCAGTAATCCCTAAGTAGTTACAATTTCTAGGACAAGTCAAAGAGGTCCTTGGTTGGTTTCTTTAGAATTGAGCTCTTCGCCAGTTTTTCGGGTGTGTTTACTGGAGTTCAGGCTAACTCTCGGTGCTAGCAATGATGAAGAGAAAGTAGCAACTTGACCCTGAGAAGCAGATCGAGAAGGGGGTACAGAGCCCAGAGCAGCCTGGGTTTGGCTGGTCTCCGAGTAGACGGGCGTGGTGGCCTCGGGCCAGCCACCGAGCGCGGCGTCCCGGGGCCCTGCTGGATGGTGGGGAGAGTGGCGCTGTGCTGCCCAGTGGGGACATGGCGCGGGCGGGGCCCCGCGGGGCGGGTGTCCAGTCCCGGAGCGCTGCAGGGTGCCGCTCCGTCACTCTCACGGTTCTCCTCCCGAGGTCGCACACTGGCGAGAAGCCCTTCAAGTGCTCTCAGTGTGGGCGAGGCTTCGTCTCCGCGGGCGTGCTCAAAGCCCACGGCAGGACGCACACGGGGCTGAAGTCCTTCAAGTGCCTCGTCTGCAACGGGGCCTTCACCACGGGGGGCAGCCTGCGGCGGCACATGGGCATCCACAACGACCTGCGGCCCTACATGTGTCCCTACTGCCAGAAGACCTTCAAGACCTCCCTGAACTGCAAGAAGCACATGAAGACCCATCGGTGCGTGTCCTTCTGGGGGTCCCCGCGTGGTGGCGGAGGCCGGTTTTGAGGAGGGAAGGCCTTTGAATCCTGCGTTGCCACAGCTGGTGCGAGGAGTACGGGCTACGGAGCTCATGTCCGTGTCTGAGGGCCTGTCCAGAACCCCTGGCATTTTAATTTTAATTTTAATTTTAATTTTAATTTTGAAACTTTGAGTGTAAGTCTGAAGTCATCTATATTGGGCCAAGTGCCTCATAAGCTCTCTTGTAAAACTGGAAGCGGCAGATGAAATGGTAGACTGCGTCTAGCATGATGAGCTGGTAAAGATTTTTAGAGCGGTGTCGGGTGGCCCTGTGGCTCCAGCGGCTGCGGGCGTGCCCTCAGCGTGTGCACAGGTGCCTCGTCCGCGGTGCCACTCGACAGGGCCGCCGGTTTCGCTCCCAGCAGACCCGCCGCTGAGCGGTGCGCACGTTCCGCGCCACGCGAGCGCGCCTGTCGCGGAGGGAGGGGGCCCGAGAGCCCGCAGCCGATGCTTTTTCATGCGAGAATCCTGGAGTGCTGTCCCCCCCGCCCCCCGCCCTGGCTGCCTCCGTGTCCCCGAGGTCCGCTTCTGTCCCTCAGAAGCACCGGTACTGTTTCGTGTCCACCGAGAGGGCCACGGGGCTTCAGGATGAGGATGTTTAAGGGAGTGTGGTTTGATGACTGAGTCGTCGCCCAGCAGGACCCATTTCACAACCGAACAGACAAAGCACAGCCGGCGCCGCCCCCCCCCCCCCCCCCCCCCCCGTGGGCGCGGCCCTGCTGCCGGCCTCTGACTGTTGCGTCTGGTTGGTTCCTGAAGCTACGAGCTCGCGCAGCAGCTGCAGCAGCACCAGCAGGCCGCCTCGCTCGACGGCAGCGCCATGGACCAGCAGGGCGTGCACGTGTCCACGCAGATGCAGGTCGAGGTCGAGAGCGCTGAACTGCAGCCGCCTGCAGACGCCGTCGCCGCGAACCCCGAGGCCATGTTGGACCTGGAGCCGCAGCACGTGGTGGGCGCGGAGGACGAGGGGCTGGGCCAGCCGTTGGCAGAGCCGCCTCTGGAGGCCGATGAAGGTACAGGGGTGGCCCGTCCCAGCCTGAGGCACAGTGCGTGCCGTGCGTGTGCGGGAGAGTCTCACGTGCGCATGGGGCTGCAGAGACGGGGCCTTTGGGTCCTCCCCTTCCCTGCAGCCTGCTGTCACCCCCTCGCCGACAGGGGGGTCTAGCCCGTGGAGCACGTGCGGCCCAGGGTGGCAGTGAATGTGGCCCGACACAAAACTGTAAATTTACTTAAAACCCCCTTTTTTTGCTCATCAGTCTTTGTTAGTGTTTGTGTATTACTCTGTGGCCCAAGACAACGCCTCTTCTTCCAGTGAGGCCCAGAGAGGCTGAAGGGTTGGACCCCGCCGTGACAGGGGAGGGCGTTTTGTTTTCAGAAAGGGCCTGACTGTAAGCTCCCGGGTGTTCTGTGGCGGCTTGCTCCCGGCCTGCAAAGACCTCAGGCTTCTAAGCCTCCCCCGTTCTTCCTCCATCAGCAGAGTCCTGTAGCAAGTGGTCAGTGCGACCGCGGGCAGCGAGCACAGAGCCCCGGCCGCTGCGCTGGGCACGGGCTCCGGGCTCGCGAGGGCTGGCTTGCGCCTTCGTGCGTGTGGTGGACGAGCACCAAGTGCCATTTGTGTCCTCCTGCGGCCCGCTGCAGTGCACCTCCGGGGGGGGGGGGTGCAGCGGGGGTTGGCTGTCACGCGCTCAGAGCGCTGCGGGGGGACGTCTGCGTTCTGGGCTGCGCTGCGAGGGGACTCTGGAGCCCAGCGGCCTGGCCCGGCCTGGCCACACTCGCATCTTCGGGGCTCGGGGAGGCTGGCAGGTGCCGCCCGGCTGGCGTGCCCGGACCGGAGGGTCAGTGGTAACCTGCGCCGCTGTGTTCGTTCTCGTCCTCAGACAGGTTCGGGGCTCCGCAGCACACACTGCCAGGGCCCATGGACCAGTTCGCGGAGCAGGCCCCCGCGCAGCAGCCCTTCGAGCCGGCCGGCCTGGCGCAGGGTCAGTGCTGGGGTGGGGGCGGCCCCCCCGGGCGTGTCTTCCGAGGGCCCTGCAGTCGGTGGTTGCAGACCAAATGGGGTTTTGTGTGGAGTGTGTGTGTGTGTCTGTGTGCGCACGTGTGCGTGCAGTGTTCTGGGACGTGCTCATGTTTCCTGGAACGTGGCTTTAGCCGCTGCTGCCTGCGCAGGTGGCCGGGTCGAGGTGGGGGCCGAGGGGAGCGGGGTGGGGGCTGGCCCGCAGGCCTAGCGCCTGCTCACGGGGAGTGCTCGAGCCTGTTGGTAGGAACTGACGGCTGATTATAATTTGGAAAGTGCCAAAGCCTTTTTAACATTTTTATTTACAAAAGTGTGCGTTTGCCTTTTTGGGTGCAACTCCAGCCCTTTCGGTAGGACTCACGGTCTCTGACCTGTCGTTGCAGGTTTCGCGGTGACGGACAGCTACAGCCAGCCGGCCCCGTTCCCGCCCGTGCAGCAGCTGCAGGACTCCAGCGCGCTGGAGGCGCAGGCCCTGTCCGCCAGCTTCCACGGGCAGGGCCTGCTGCCCGTGCCCGGCTCCGAGCCCGCTGCCGGGGTGCGTGTTGCTGGCGGGGGCGCTCGTCCGTCCTCAGCACGTCCTGGTGTCCCTCCCTGTCATTTTTTGGGACCGACCTGCTCCCGAGGTCCCTGCCGACCATGAAAACTCTGATGTTTCGCACAGAGGGTGTTCTTTCTCCTTACAGCCCTGTGGTTTTTCCGAAAGACTGGGTTACCGCGCACGGCTTTACCTCTCGGTTAGACCTCAGGACAGTCAGCGGAGTGCTGTGTCATGGCGTCTGGAGAATGTGGTGTTGCTTTAGCCCCACAACTGGACGCGTTTACGTGTGCCGCCTTACAGAGGAGCACACTAGAGTGGAACTGTAGTGAAGCTGGCGTACCGAAAGTACACGTTTAAGCACATAATCTTGAAATTCTATTTCTTAGTCAACTGGAAGACGCTCAGGTTTTGGTTTTGATTTTTCCATTTTTGGAAAATTTTCAGTAGTTATGGAAATGATTGGCCAAGCAGTTCTTTCTTCAAAAGCTCGCACGGGCAGCCTGGCCCAGTGCTGCCCTGGGGCTGGTGGGCCTGCCCCGTGTGGGCGTGAGGCCGCTCCTAGAGTGGGCGGCTCTGTCCCCACGTGGCGCGGTGCCGAGCCAGGTGACACGGTGTTTCCAGAAAGTGTTCCCTCTCAGAGTGGGATGGGTGGAAGGGTGGTGTGTCGTTTAGGTGCGTCAAAGAACGCGGAAAGGTCAGCTTCGTGCTTGGTTAAGCTTCGTATTAAGGTAAGTTAATAGGAAATAAGTATTGAGTAAAATCGGTGTAAGTTATTCTTGCTCTTCATCTGTCCCAGTGACTGCATTGAACTGCTTGGGGTTTCTCCCTTTTAAATCCGCGTTGGAGAGTGTTTTTCCCTGGGTGGTCAGTGGTTTTGTGTTCACAGACCCTCAGCTAGCCTGCTCTGTCCTTCTGTTGGGTTTCAGACGACGCCTTTGATGCAAGAGCCGTCCCAAGAGGAGCTGGACCTGCCGGCGCCCCGCCGCCCATTCCTAGAGGACAGCGAGGACCAGAGCCGGCGCTCCTACAGGTAGGCACCCGCGGGCGGCTGGCCTGGCGCGGTACCCCGCCGCTGCCGCCAGCGCCTGCCCCGCCCTCCAAGGGCTCTGCCGCCCAGCACGCTCAAACCCTCGGGGGCGGGTTCCGCTGGCACCCCCGCTGCAAGCACAGACTCCGAGAAGACGTGCACTCGCTAACCGCTCCGCAGCTGGTGACCGGCAGAGCCGGGGTCCGGGTGCAGCAGCTTCTCTTGGCCTGGAAGTTCAACGTACTGGGCCACCACTTCCTGTCACCACTAGAAGCCATTGCTGGTTTTGCAAAAATAACTTTATATCATGCCTTTTTGTCTAAGGGTTTTCTGTGATTTCTATAAAACAACCTGTGTGCCAGGTACAGTATGATTGTAAACAGATTTTTAAAAACACACTTCCCCTCCCTCCCTCCACTCATCTACCCACCCACCCACCCATCCACCCATCCATCTACTCATCTATCCACCAATCCACCCACCAGTCCACCCATTTACCATCCATCCATTCACCTGCCCACCCGCCCATCCATCCTCCCACCATTCACCCTCCTTCCTGTGCACCCATCCCCCATCCACCCATCTGCCCAGCAGTGTGTGCTGAGCCCCCTGAGGGGGCCGCCTGCTGCTCTGGATGCTTGAAATACTGTGATCAGAAAAACAGGACCTTTGACCCTGCTTAGGCTGAGGCAGGGACATTCTCAGTAAATAAAATACCTGCCCTTCCGTGCAGTTGAACGTGGCTATACTACACATGTGATAAGAAAGTAGAGTAGTCTTCTTTGTGGAGACTGTCTGGGGTTTCTTATATTTTAGCAATTTTATTTGCTTAATACAGTACTCTTCAGGAACGTGTGAGCTACCTTACTGCAAATTAAGGATTTTGAAAATCGATAGGTTTTGCTAACGTTACGAAGTGTATGATTGCTGAGACGCCAGCAGGCTCTCTGTGCTGTTTCCGTAGGGTCTGTCTCTCGGGCGAGCTCTCTGGCACTCAGGGCTGTGTTCTCGTGCGTGAGCTGCTGCGCCGTCACAGGTGTGGCGCCCTGCTCTCTGTGGATTTGCGACTCAGAAAGGCACCAGAGCGGAAGCTCCTAGCCCGGGGCTCCGTGCACGCTGAGGGAGGCCCAGAGAGAGGGGCTCAGGGTGCCTGTGACTTTCCCGATACTCAGCCACTTCATGTATTCAGGAACTTGTTTGCTGATGTTTAATTGGGGTTTTGCCTGGTCTTCTAAGTGAGATCAGGCTAATGTTTGTCACAACTTCTTCATGATGTCGGCGGGGCAGTCCTGGATGGCTGGCCCTGCCCCCGGGCCATGCAGCGCCACTAGGAAGCTGTCACGTGCCAGGCCCCAGGGCCGCGTCAGCGAGCAAAGTGGTAGAAGTCCTCAGTCCCCTGGGAGTCGACCCCGCGGTGGAGGTAAAAAGCCACAGGGGCCTGAAGTGCACACAGACACGGGCTCTGGGGGGCGGTGAGCGGGGGCTGGGAGTGCTGGCCACGCCCGCGTGAGTGGGGGTGGGCAGGGCAGTGGCCCTTGGGGCCGGTGGGCGGGGGTGGTCGTGGCTCTGGGTCTGTCTGGAAGGCAGAGCCTCTGGGTTTATTCAAGGCAGAGAAGTAAGGGAGAGGGACGAGGTGAGGGAGAGGGACGAAGAGGTGAGGGGGAGGGAAGAAGAGGTGAGGGGGAGGGAAGAAGAGGTGAGTGCACACACAGGCAGAACCACTGTCCCCGGAGGCGGGGGCGCTCGGGGCGCAGGCCCCGGGGTCAGTGTTGGAGGGGAGCTTCACGCGGGCAGGTCCTCCCACCCGATGGGGACACAGCGGAGAGGCGCTGGAGGGGCGCAGCGGGGCGTCACCAGTGTGCGGACGGGTGCCTGAAGCCTCCGTGCGAGGAGTCGAAGGTGGCACCCTTGGGTGCCGCCCTGAGGGTGCGTGTGGGGCCGGGGGGGCCCCCGGACGCTGAGCGCATGGCGCCCGTGGGTGGCACTGCCGTGCTGGCCCTTGTGCGGCAGCGTTGCCTCTGGCCTCGTCAGCGGGACAGGAAGGGTGACCACGAGGGTCCCTGCACAGGACACTGCGGGCCAGACGCCCGCCGCGCAGGAGCTGCTGCTGCAGGCCCGCCTCCGGGGGCTCAGCTGCCCGGGATCAGCAGGCGTGCGGGCCCTGCAGGGGTGCTGCCCCGCAGCTCTGCGGGGGTCGGTTTCCTCCACCAGACGTGGCTGTTCTGAAACGTTCGCTGTCCCCGTCGGGGAGCCTTTCTTGGCGAATACCGCCGGGTTCGGCGCCACTCGGTGCCCCTGAACCGGCCACCCTGCTCCGCTGCCCTGCGGCCGGGTCCGTCGGGCTCCCGTCGGCACAGCCACCCCGAGCCAGCGGGGTGCCGCCGGCCCGCTTCTCTGGAATGCACCGCCGACCCACGACGCCCTGCCTGCGTGCCAGAGTGAAGTTTCTGGACGGGGGTCGGTCAGCCGGCCTGGGGGTGAGCTGGGGCGCCCAGCCCTGGGCGCTCTGCCTCTGCCGGCCCCGAGACGGAGACCTCCGCCGGCCGCCTGCCCAACCCGACGCAGGCCGCGGAGGGACCCTGGCGGGACGCAGTGGCTTCCTGAGTCGTCTTCGTTAGGTTCATAATCTGCGGTCGGGGATTTTGAAGTTGATAGTTATTTTCGTTGGACTTCAGTGGATTCCGTGACGTCTGAGGGAAAACGCAGTGTTGCGTGTTCGTAGATTCAAACGCAGCAGCTGTGTCACGTGTGTAAAGCACCTTGCAGACCGACCGGTGTCTGGGTCAGGACTGATGCTGGCGTTTGAGGACTGGTGACTCCGTGAAGAACAGCACACACTGCACAGTTTCTTCTCCTCGTCTCCACAGACAGACTTTGTGATTGTCGAGGGTGCCTGCGGGGGGACTGCTGTAGGGTTCACGCTCGGGTCTGTCGATTACGTCTGACCCTGAAACCCTCGGAGCAGAGCTGCAGCTGCTCCTGGTTTGCAGACTGCGTGTTTCTGGAGGGACGGGTCGGGGTCCGGGTCGGGGCGGGCGGCCACGGGCTCTGCGGTCACGCCGCCTCTGTGCCGCAGGTGCGACTACTGCCACAAGGGCTTCAAGAAGTCCAGCCACCTGAAGCAGCACGTGCGCTCGCACACCGGGGAGAAGCCCTACAAGTGCAAGCTCTGCGGGCGCGGCTTCGTCTCCTCCGGCGTGCTCAAGTCCCACGAGAAGACACACACAGGTTGCTGTCCGCCCGGCGAGGGGGGCAGGGGGCAGGCGGCGCGTGGGGCGTGGGGTGTGGCTCTCAGCTTTTCCCGGCAGTCGCCGCCGCTGCCCAGTTCTAGCACAGTTGCATCGCACCCAGCAGGGCCTCAGTGTCCCCCAGCCCCAGCCGGTACTGACCTGCTGCCTCTGTGGTCGAGTTTCCCTCCCGGACAGTTCCTTGAAGGGGAGTCCTGCAGCAGGCGGCCTTTGTCGCTGGCCCTGTCACTGGGCACATCCGGGGCCTCTCCACACAGGTGTCGGGCGTCACTGCTTCCTGCAGCCCACAGTGTCCCGCCACGGGGGAGGCGGCCGCATCTGTGCCCTGCTCTGTGGTGGGACCCCAGGGCCGCTCCATTGGGGGCTGTCCGGGGCGGCCCCGCTGTGGGCGTCTGCACACAGGTTTTTGTGTCCCCAGGTGGGGGTGGGGTCGCCTGGTCCCGTGACGACGCCGTCTAGGCCTTGAGGTCACCGCACCGTCCCCACCGTGGCTGACCCAGTGTGCTTGTCCACCAGCAGTATGTGGGGGTTTCGATGCCACACGTTTTGTCAACGCTTACTGTCTGTCTGCTTGTTAGGACCGTGCTTAGGTGTGTGAGCTGGTGTCTAATTTGGGTTTGTTCTGCATTCTCTGACGGCCAGCGGTTCTTGTCTAAAGAGCCTCTTTCGATGTGCTTTCCGAGAAATGGGTGTTCTACTCCTGTGCCATTGTGAAACTGGGTTATTTACACTCTTGTTTAGTTGTGAGAGTTCCTTAGTGTACTATTTAGCAGCTATGTTATTTGCAGTTAAATGCAGTTAAGTGTATTACCATTACTTGGTAATACACTTAGCGTGTTAGTGACACACCTGTTTTGATACTGACACGTGTCCTGTGTAAGGCTTTGTTTGAAAACAGAGGTGTGCTGCTTGACAGCAGGGGACGCGAACGGGAGGGCTCCGCGGGCCAGCCTGCAGGGCGGTGGCTGTCACCGCGGTGGCCAGTGGCCTGGGCCCTGCAGGGCCCTCCCAGGGCCGTGTGGCTGCGGAGAGCAGGCGCGAGTCGTGCGCGACTTCACAGGGGGCGCCTTGCTCAGCTGCTGGGTAGGACGCCTGGGCGGCCTGGGGAGAAAAGGTGGCGGTCGGGAGGAAGCACCGGCACGGCCCCCTGGTTCAGGCTGGGCGTGAACACGAAGCCGGGGGCGCGGAGGTGCCGTCCTGAGGGCCCGCGGGGATGTGGACGCGGGCCAGGTGGCGGCCGTTTCTGTGGCGGAGCCGCGCCCGCGGGGCCGGTGTGGGGGCGAGAGGCTGGCATCCGTCCCGGGAGGGGCTCTGAGTTCGCAGTGGCTGCAGTGAGGTGGGGTCCGTGCCCCGTGCTCGCTCCCGAACAGGGGCCTCGGCCAGGAGACGGGCTCGAGGTGCGTGGCCGCAGAGCACGGCCAGGTAACGAGCGCGTCTGCCCCCGCCCTGCCACCCAGGCGTGAAGGCCTTCAGCTGCAGCGTGTGCCGCGCGGCGTTCACCACCAACGGCAGCCTCACCCGGCACATGGCGACGCACGTGAGCCTGAAGCCCTACAAGTGCCCGCTCTGCGAGCAGGGCTTCCGCACGGCCGTCCACTGCCGACAGCACGTGAGGAGGCACCAGGCGGGCCCCTGCGCCCCCTCGGCGCCCGCGGAGGCCAGCGAAGGGGCAGGTACTGTCTGTCTGCGGAGCCAGGCCCCCGGGTGGGAGGCTGGTGTGCGTGCGTGCGTGCGTGCGTGCGGGAAGGTGCAGAGCTCCTGCGGTGCGCGTGTCCGCGCTGGGAAAGCAGCCGGGCCCCCTGAAGCACAGGCTTGGAGAGCTCTCGCCTCCCGGTGACGGCAGACCACACACTCGGCACCCTACCCCCCACCCCCACCCCCCCCCGGGCGTGCGCACATGTGCAGCGGGGTCTTGGTTCCTCTCGGGGGGAGGGGGTCTGCCATGGTGCCGGGTGCAGGGAGGCAGCCCACCACGTGCCCCTCCCCCAGTGTTTGTCCCAGACGTGCTTGGTGCCGCCCGGCACGGGTCCCGGGGCGTCCACACGGCAGCCCCAGGCCCGCCCCGTGTCGCTCCACCCGGGCCGTGGGTGTGCGTGGAGCTGCACCCAGTCTCGCCGTGGCAGCGGGAGCGAGGACGGGCGCTCTGGCCACAGGCAGACCGCGCTCGGCACTTGGGAGGCGGTGTGGCCCCCAGGGCGGGTCTCGCTCTGCACACCAGCCTGTGGCGTGTCGGCGGGGCCGCCTGTGGGCAGCCTGCTGTTGCCAGGGCCTCCCGGGCCCCGCTGGCCCGCCGCCTTCTCCTGGGCCTGCATGCTGTGTCCCTCGGGCTCTGCTCGCTCCCTCCCGCCCTGACCCCTCCCCTCGGCCCCTCGCCCGCCCCCACGCTCCAGTCCTCTCTGCTGCCCTGCGCTCCGGGGGTCCTCTCGTTCTCCCAGCGCGCTCCTTCGGTTCCAGCCTCGAGCCGCCTGGCGAGGGCCCCGGTGCAGCCTCCTTCGGACTTTCAGTCTGAGGCCGTCTGGGGACTGACGACCTGCCTGCCACCGAACGTATCTGTTAATCTCCCTCCCGTTTTAACAGCGGCTTGTTCTTGTTTTCAGTCAGGGCGAGCGTGTCCTTGCGGCTCACAGAGAGAAGACTCACACGTGCACGCACTCACGAGTGTGCATGTTTTCCCTCCTAAGTCCTTTTGGTTGGGGGCCGTGTGCCCGTGTGCTGACGCAGCCTCTCTGGGCGGCCGTGTCTCCCTGGTCGACTGCCACCGTTCCTGGCCCGCGCTAGCAGCTGGGCAGCCGTGTGTGCGGCTCCCCTTGGCCCCAGCGCACGCTGAGGCTGGAGCGCTGCCTGCTTCAGTCCTTCGTCCTCCGACGTTGCCACCCTCCCCCGGGACGCACCCCTGGCCCAGAGCTTTCTTCCCGTGACCCTGCGCGGGTCCTCGGGGCAGCGGCGGGGAGCCGTCGCCGCGCCGTCTCACGTGCGTCTCCACAGACGCACTTGTGCAGTGCGTTGTGGTAAACCCACCTTTTAAACTCGGGTCTGACCCGTTCCTCGTGCTTCGTTTAGACGTGTGCGTGGAGGAGGAGGAGGAAAATCCTGAGAGAGGCGCGTGGAGGAAGGTGCGTCCCGAGGTCATCACCTTCACGGAGGAGGAGACGGCGCAGCTGGCCAAGACCCAGCCCCAGGAGAGCGCCACCGTCTCGGAGCAGGTGCTGGTGCAGTCGGCCGCCGAGAAGGACCGCGTCAGCGAGCTGAAGGACCGGCAGGCCGAGCTGGAGGCCGAGCCCAGGTTCGCCAACCGCTGCTCCTACTGCCCCAAGAGCTTCAAGAAGCCCAGCGACCTCGTCAGGTGGGCGTGCGCGGCGGGCTCCGCTCCGTCCCCGGCCGCCACACCACCGCCCGGGGGGTGTGCCGAGCGGGCCGCCGACGGACGGCGGCTTCCTGAGCTAAGGCTTCAAGCCGGTTCAGGTTCTGAAACTTATTCTTAGGTCCTAATTAGAAATTTGCTCCGTAGGTTGCTCATGTTTATTTCTATTACGGCTGGTTTTGGTAAAAAAACAAAACAAAACTAGAACTTAACCCGTTCTGTTCCCTGCCAAGGTCAGGGTGGGGGTGGCAGGGCAGGCCCCCAGCCACTCAGCCCGGGGACGGGGCCCAGGATCGTGCCGCCCAGAGAGGGGCGCCGCCTGAACGTCCACGCGCCCGGCACCGGGCTCTGAAGTGCGTGTCTGACGCGTGTGCCTCTGAGTTGGAGCCCCTGCCCTCCCCCTCGCCCCCGGTGCTGCCCGGCCCCAGGGGCGGTGTCGGTGTGACCGACGCCTCATGTGCCCTGTGGGAACCCCGAGTCTCCTCCGGGCTGCCGCCGTGTGCCGCCCTCCCCTCCGAGTCTGCCTCGCTGCCTGCGCCTTGCTGTGGTGGTTCTCGCCGCGCGAGGACGCTTCGGAGACAGACGGCAAGCCCTGTTCCCGTCGGCTCAGCGGGCCGTACCTGGTCTTTCGGGTTTGTGTGTGGTGTGGCTTTGGGGAGAGCGAAGCTTCGGGTTTTGTCGGACCAAACCTGTTCAGTCTGTAGTACCCGCAGCCGTTGTCGGTGTGGACGGTTGTGCATCTGGAACCAGGGCGCTGCTGGGAAGCGTGCATCCACGGGGGGTGGGGCGGGGGGGGGGGCACTGACCCGCAAACGCCCTCCGGCAGGCATGTGCGCATCCACACCGGGGAGAAGCCGTACAAGTGCGACGAGTGTGGGAAGAGCTTCACCGTGAAGTCCACGCTGGATTGCCACGTGAAGACGCACACAGGTAGGGGCCGGGCCGCCGTGTGGGCCCTGGCCGTGGCGTCCTCCCTGGGTTGGCGCTGCGTCGGCACCCATGTGTGCTTCCAGAACGCTAGAAACGGGGAAACTCAGGAACCGTGGGACACGGCTGTGCGAGGGTCTGGCACCGCCACGTGGGGAAGGGAGTCTGCAAAACACGGAGGAGGAGGGACGCAGTCCCAAGTGTCCGGCGGCCAGTTGTCCTGTGTCCTCGCTGAGCCCCAAGTGCCTCTGGCAAAGAGGTGACCCGGTCTCGGTGAGGCCAGGGAGAGGTGCTGTGTCGCAGCTCTGTGAAAGCCAGAACTTGGCAACTCTGGGTGGGGTCATGGTGGGTAAATCCCTGTGACCACGCGGGGGACACCTTACAGAGGAAGCGTTGATGGACGGTTTCCACGGCCACTTCCTCCTCTTGCTCTGGTGCGAGGGGCTGACGCCTCGTCGTCCCGGTCCCGCAGAGCGTGCAGCCGTCGGGGAGGGGGCCCCGCCCTGCACCTGGCCCGGACCCTGGCCGCCACTCCAGCCACCGGTCGGAGCCCCTGGGCGCCACGGGGCGCGTGGGGAGTCGAGTCACCCCCAGCAGGTGCTGCTGTCGCTCCTGTGACGAGCCAGCGCACCACCTCAGTCTTCGGGGGCAGGCAGGATCACCCAGCGGAGTGCGGTCGAGTCCCCACGCTTCCGTGAGGCCCTGGGGCTCTCTTCTGCCGGGCTCGCGCTTGGGACGGGCAGGCAGAGACGTGCACTGGCTCGGCACACGTGCCTCTTCCGTGGGGCGTTTTCTCCCGTTTCACGGGTTCCAGTGTGTGTCCTCGGGTGGGGTGTCAGCTGCTGAGGGCCAGGGCACTGGCCCCCTGTCCCTGCGTCCCCAGGTCTTGCAGCGTGCTGCCTGCACAGGGCAGCTGTGGCCACGCGCACGGTGACCGTGCGTGCTGGGCCTCCCTGTGGGTCCCCGCCCACGAGGGAGGGACAGCAGAGCCTCCTCCAGGATAAATGCCAGGGCCTCTTGGCCCGGCGCGCATCCCGCCTGTCCTGTCTGTCTCTGGGACGCGTCAGCGCTGGCGTTGGGAGCAGTGGAGGGAAGCAAGGCCGGGGCGTCTCTGCCCCCGGGCTCTCCGGGGCGGCTCGGCCCGCACACTGGGGCTCCCGGGTGTGCTGCCGGGTCGTGACAACGCCTGCACGCGGCGCGCGGGGCCCGTCCAGGCGCTGGGCGTGTGGGGTCGGCGCCGAGCCCAGAGCTCCCGCTCCCGGAGGGCTCCTGCCTCTGCCGGCTCCCGGGCGCCCCCTGGGTGGGCACGAACGCAGAGGCCCGGGGCGCCCGCGTGCTCTCCGCGCCCCCCGCCGCTGCCCGCGGGCCGGCGCTGACCCCCGGCCCCCGCAGGTCAGAAGCTCTTCAGCTGCCACGTGTGCCGCAACGCCTTCTCCACCAAGGGCAGCCTGAAGGTGCACATGCGCCTGCACACGGGGGCCAAGCCCTTCAAGTGCCCGCACTGCGAGCTGCGCTTCCGCACGTCCGGCCGCAGGAAGACGCACATGCAGTGCCACTGCAAGCCCGAGCCCAGGAAGGCCCGGCGGCCGGTGACCCGCAGCGCCTCCGAGGGGCTGCAGCCTGCCGGCCTGCTGAGCCCCGCCCCCGCCGACCCCAGCGTGCTGATCATGAACAGTTCGGTCCTGACCGGCCAGTTCGAGCCCAGCCTGCTGCAGCCCGGGCTGGTGGGCCCAGCCGTCCTCCCCGGCCCTGTGTCAGGTACGGCCGCGCGCAGGTCCCCGTGTGCGGGTGGGGACGCGCGGCCTCCTTCCCGCGTCCGTTTCCCAGCCGGGTCGCAGCCGGGTGCGATGCGGTGGCCCGACGTTCGAAGTCCGGGCCCCTCGGCGCGGCCCTCGGAGCCCGGGGTCTGGTGGGTGGTGCGTGTCCGGTGATGGCCCGGTCAGGCGGCGTGCGTGCGTGCGTGCGTGGTGCAGACGTCAGTGTTCCGTGGCCAGGTCGTGCCGGTGCACGTCCAGAACGCGTGTGTGTCCAGGTCCCTGTGTGACGGTGAGCATCCTCTGCTTACGAGCCTCTCCTGACGTCTTCGCCCCACCCTCCCCTGGCAGCCGGCAGTGACTGGACGGTGTCCCTGACCGATGGGAGTCTGGCCGCCCTGGAGGGCATCCAGCTGCAGCTGGCGGCCAACGTGGTCGGGCCCAACGTGCAGATCTCTGGGATCGACGCCTCCGGCATCAACAACATCACACTGCAGGTGAGGCCCTGCCTCAGCCTCCGCGGGCGCGCGGGGGTGGGGCCGAGTAGCGCTCGGGCCGAGGCTCCACCGTGCACCCCTGTGCTGCTTTCCAGATCGACCCCAGCGTTCTGCAGCAGACCCTGCAGCACAGCAGCCTGCTCGCCCAGCCGCTGGCGGGGGAGGCGGCCGGGGCCCCGCACGGCAGCTCCCTGCAGGCCACGGACGGCGCGGGGCCGGCCAGCGTCGTCATCCAGCCCATCGCGGGCCTGTCCCTGCAGCCCACCGTGACCTCTGCCAACCTAACCATCAGCCCCATGGCGGAGGACTCTGTGCTGACCACCAGCAGCGGCGGTGAGGGCCGCTCCGGGGGCCTGGGGCAGGGGAGGGTCGGCTTCGAGCCACCAGCTGAGTTGAGGACACTGGTGCACTTCTGCACTCGGTAGAGCTCACGCGTGCGGTGGCGCCCGCTCAGGGGCGCGGCGGCTCTCCCGTCGGCTTCCTGTCTCCTGGGGCGCGCTCGCCTTCGCAGAGGAAGGCCTCGGAGGCACCTGGTTCCATTTCAAGCTTTCCTCTTTTTGGAACGAGTGCTACTGAAATCTCTTTAACGTGAAAATGAGAACACTGTGTTTTAAGCCCAGCTTCGCTTTGTTCTGTGTCAATGACCAGGGACTCCAGAGCTCGCTCAGGTGATGTCGTCCCAGGGCCTGGTGTCCGCTGGCAGCGGCCCCCACGAGATCACGCTGACCATCAACAACTCGAGCCTCAGCCAGGTCTTGGCCCAGGCCGCCGGGCCCGCCGCGTCGGCCTCGGGGTCCCCGCAGGAGATCACCCTCACGATCTCCGGTCAGTGCTTTCCCGCGGCCCATGTTGTCCCTTCCCCCACAGTTGTTGAAGTCCCCCTGTGCTCTTTTCTGCGGTCAGCCCGGCGTGGAGCCCGTGCTCAGTAAGGGTGTGTAATTCAGGTGAGAACTCAGGTTCAGTGAAAGCAGCGGCACTGTTCAAATCTGACACCAGACGTTAAAGTCAATAGTTCCTTCCAGTTTGAGGCAGCGATTTTCACACTTGTTTGCTTAGCAAGGGGCGCACAGCCGTAGCTTCACGTTCTCCCTGTGCTCCGTCAGACCCCAGGAGCATGGTCGGCATGAACTGTGTCACGTGAGGTGGTGGGGAGCCCCTCTCCCCAGTCCCCTGGACCCTGCCTGGGCCGTGTGTGAGAACGTGAGCTCTGCTCAGACGCCGAGAAGCAGGGAACCAGGTGTGAGTTCCCTCCCGGCGGCGCAGGGCCGTGGGATGTGCCCAAGGACCCTGCGCGTCTGTCCCCGAGCTGTCACGGGCCGCGCCCCGGCTGGGCGGCTCACTGCCAGGGTTCTCCCCCGGGTGCCCTCGATCCCTCGGGTGCCCTGGCCCGTTTGCGCCCTCAGCCGTGCGGAGCCGCTCCTTCCGTGATGTTGCACAGACTGTTAGTCATTCCTGGGTCACCTGAGAAAGAAGGAAGCGCTAGTCGGGGCAGGCGGGGGCCAGTCCTCGCCTCTCCAGAACCCCCCCCCCGCCGTGCGTGTGCGGTGGAGGTCACTGGCCTGAGGCTTTAGGCCAGCTGTTCCAGAAAGGCTGTGAGCAACAGGAGCCGGAGAGGGCGGGGCCCGAGACCTCGGAGGGCTGCGCCTCTGTCCTGGCCCTGCTCGCGCCCACAGCCTGCGGCTCCCTGTCCTCGTGTCCGCAGTCCCGAGGACGGCCGTAATCGGGCTGCAGCGGCCGGTCCTCTCTGGCGCTTTCTTGTTCCGGTTTCCGTCAGCCGTCGGCCGTACGCCTGACTGGACGGCAGAAGCTCTTAGAAGCCTCTGGTCTCTGTCCGTTGTTTCCAGAGCACCTGGCTGGGCCCTCGCTGAAATGCCGGCGGTCTCCGCCCTCGGGCTCGCCCGCTCCCACGCTCTTTGGCCGCAGTGCTTGCTAAAGCAGCCGGGAGGCTGCAGCGCGAGCAGGCACAGGGTGTGGGTGGCACACGGGGCCGGGGGCCTTGGGAGCCGCCCGAGGGCCTCTGTGGCCTGAGCCCCTCCGGCAGGATGACCCCGGGCCAGGGGAGGGAGGTGGCGTCCCTCGGGTCCGTCTTGACAGACTTCGCTGCACCTGGCGTTCCACCTCATTTGGCAGCATTTCCAGTTCAGTTTAAGTTTTAGTCAACAAAGCGTGCAGTGTACATGCTGAAATGCTGAGTTAAAGCAGAACACTTAGGGAGCAATTGAAATTGCAGTTTAAAACGTGTGAACAAACACTTCCGTGCGGGGAAACGGCCTCCGCGGCCTCATTCTCGCTCTCTCCCGTAAACACGGTGTTGCGCGTGGCGCCCCGCCTGGGAGTCGGTCACGCACGGCCTCAGAGCTCACGGCACGGTCTCCCTCTGTGAAGGTCAGGACCTCCTCCAGCACAGTCCCGGCGGGGGCGGCGAGCTGAACGGGACCATCAGGCTGTCCGCGCCGGCCGTCGGGAGTCAGCCCGCCGGCGCCACCCTGACGATCAGCAACGACCAGCTCCTGGCCCAGACCGCGACGCTGACCTCCTCAGGTGCGCCACCCTCGCTTCCGCGGGGAGCGGGGCCGGGCTTGGTGAGCAGGCGGAGCCGGCTGGCCCTTCGCAGGCGGCTCCAGCGCGGCGGGCGTGGGGCGCTCCGACGTGTCCTCGGGGGCCTGTGGCTTTAGAGACACGGGGGAACCAGGGGTAAGAGCGCAGTCTTCGCTGAAGCGTTGAGTCTCAGTCTTCACGCTAACAGTGTGCAGGTAACTGGAGTTGGGAAGTGCAGCGCCGGGGGCTTTAGACGGACGCTCCCGTGTGGCGAGGAGCTCGGGGCTGAGCAGACGTCAGTGGGGCCCGCGGGCCGTTCTTCAACTGCACACCCGAGAAAGCCCAGCTCTTCCTCCTCCGGTCCCACGCGCTGTCCCCGCGTGTCCAGGCCAGCGGGCTGGCACCGCCCTCCTTCGGGGCCCTCCGGAGCCAGGGGCGCTGGGGTCACTCCCCGCCGGGCCGGCTGCAGCGGGGACCCCGGCATCACTTCCTGTCAGGGTTCCCTGGGGCCGGACGAGCGCAGGCTTGTCCTCGTGAGGGTCTCGGGCTGTGCGGTTGCAGGGCGAGGTGTGGACCCCGCTGGCCCAGCGGCTGCTCTCTGTGAGCAGAGCCCTGGAGCCCCAGAGCAGCTCTGGCGGCGGGCACCGTGGTGGCCCGGGCCCGCCGCCACCTTGGGTTTTAATGGAGCAGCAGTTCGCGTGGCTGGTCGTGCCACACGCCGCACGATTCTTCTTTCAGACCCCGTTCACCCGCGTGAGCCGTGCCTGCAGGCGAGGTCATGGGAGGAAGGGTGGGAGGGGAGGCGGTGTGGCGAGGACACGTGGCCAGCCGTGCTGCTGGGGCTGGAGCACTCGGGGTGCCCTCTGCGCCGATCCCACAGCCATGCTGTCGTGCATGCCCGGAGGGCAGGCGGGCGCCCACCGGCAGGGGTCTGGAGCCCTGGGGCTGCTTCCCTGTGGAGGCCCCAGCCTCCTGCGGGTCCCCTGCTTTCGAAGGTTTCGGGTGTGTGTGGTGCAGAGCGGGACGCAGGAGTGGGGCCTGCTGTCCGGAGGCCTCCAGCCACAGGGGAGGGCCCGGGCCTGGGGCCGCTGGCTCCAGTTTGTGTCCTGGTTGGGAAGGAGTGGTCCGGGCTGGTGCTGATTTCCACCCCGGTGTCTCCTGCCCCTGGCGACAAGTCCTGGTTGCCGGGCGGTCGGAAGGATGGATCGTGGGAAGAGTGTGCATTTGTGCGCACACGTGTGTGTGTTGTGTCTACAAGTAAAAACTCAGAATAGTGCCGGGTGTTGGTGCCACTGGGATGCTGGTGACCCAAGCTGAGCCCATCTCTTTGCCAGGGGGTGTGTGGCTTTCCCAGTTGTAAGAGAAAGGCTTTTCTCTGCCCAGTGCTGTCCTGATGTCTGTCTTTCTCCTCTCACCGGCTTGAAGGGGAAAGCATTTAAAGAGTTCTGTTGTGCGTCCCACGGAAAATGGGGCTGTCGTGCAGGGGAGTGAAGGTTGGCAGGGTTGCGGGAGCTTTACCTGGACGGCCTCCGTTCAGGGTGCGCGGCCGCAGGCTGGGGAGGTGTGGGCGTGAGCAGCCGGCGGGCTGTCCAAGTCTGCACTTGGGCCCCGGGCGCTGCACTGCGAGCGGACCGCAGACGCCGCTCTGCAGGCTGGTCTCTGGTGACCGTGGGGCAGGGCCCTGCAAGTTCAGGGTCCTGCAAGTTCTGGCTGGCGTTTCCGCTCCCCGTGGCACAGTGAGTCTGAACACTCAGGTCACGTGTTTGCTCTTCTTCACTCGTTTTTCTCTCTCTATTGTACTTAAGAAACAGTGTGTTTGTGTGCGAAGCCGTTTAGAAACGATGAAAGACCGCCACGAGCTGGAATCAGAGGTTCTGTGAGTTGCGTGATGCGACCTCGGAAGCTCAGACAGTGTGGGTGTGGACGGTGACAGGCTTGCTCTCATGACAGCCGTCCTTCCGCCCTCCGCAGCCTCGCCGCTGACGTGCCCCTCTGCCTTTCTTGTAGAGCTCAGCGCTGCGGCTGGCGGCCTCCCCTGCACCGCCCCGGCGTCCCCGCCGGCCATCTCCGCGCAGAACCTGGTCATGTCTTCCTCAGGAGTCGGGGGCGAGGCCAGCGTCACCCTGACCCTGGCCGACACGCAGGGCTTGCTCTCTGGAGGACTGGACACAGTCACACTCAACATCGCTTCTCAGGTGGGTGCCCGCCTGGCCGCCCCGTGCAGCCACGACCCTCGCACCCGCCCTGGGGGTCTGGGGCTTCAGGGACTGCTCCTTCCTGGAGTGCATCTGAGCACTTCCTCCAAAATCAACGTGGTCTTTTCTGATGTGAAGGAGAGTAACATGTTGAAAGTAAGGGGAAAACAAGAAAATTTAGCAAGCACAGAAAAATATTTTTTAGAAAACCTGCTACCCAAAGGGACTGCAGGGAACACTTCGGTGCACAGCCCTCCCTCTCCGTGTCAGGCGTGCGGCCGCGCGCCGGGAAGCTGTCACAGTGAGGAGCCTGGGTGGGTTGGGCAGCGGGACCTGCTGCTGGTCGGCCTCGGGGCTGGTCGCAGCGACGCCGGCCCCGTGCGGACGGCCCGCACAGCTAGAGCACGGTGTCCCCAGGCAGGGACACTCCTCAGAGCCAAGGCCTGGCTGCGTCTGCACCCGCGGGCAGGGGCCTTGGCCCTCCCCCCACCGACGCCGCCTGTCCTTCTGGATTGCAGCCCTCCCCTTGATGCGCCTGCCTGAGCTGCGAGGAGTCTCAGATGGCATAGCTTCTGTCAGGAACACATCGTTACCCCGGAGCTGACGTGGGCGGTTAGGTGTACGGGCATTCCTGGCCACCGTTGTATTTGCCTTCCACGACTGAAAGGAGGAAGTAGGGACTTAGTGAATCCGATTGACGCCGTGTTCCGTAGCTGGGCAGTGCGTCGGGAGCAGGGCAGAGGCCAGCGGCAGAGAACGTGGCAGTGCGCAGGGGCCCCAGGGTCCAGAGGAGCCCGTCCCACTGGCCCCTGGGGACGGTGGCATGAGGGCCTCTCGGCCCCTTCCGCCTGCCTCACGTCGGGATGGGACCGCGGATGCCACGTGGGCACGCCTGAGATACCGTTGTCTCGCTTCCGGGGGGCACGTGTGGGAGGCAGAGACCCCACGTCAGTCTCAGTGGCTCTGCCCGTCTGAGGAGTCCCTAGATTCCAGCCCTGTCACCCCCAGTCCTGCGTCCGCCTCCGGGACGGTCTCCCCCACAGGGCGGACCCAGCACTTGCAGCCCGCTCGGTTCTCCTGGGGACACCGTCCCCAGGGCCCTGGCCACGTGCCCCTCCCACCCGCCACCCTCGCCCTTCTCTCCTTTCCCCGGGGTCACGGGGAGGGGGGGGGGCCCACGCCCTGAGGCAGGCCCCCCGGAGGTCTGCACCGTGGAGCAGAGTCCAGGTGTATTTCCAGAGAGGCAGACCTCGTTGTGCACGTGTTACAGCTTCACTGAGGTGTAACTTACAGACCTTAGAGGCCACCTGTGTGTTCAGACTGTGCAACTCAGGGGTCTCAGCACGTTTGCAGCTCTGTGGTTGTCACCATGTCTGACTCTAGGGCACTTTGTGACTTAGTGCCGCTGGCAGTCCGCAGTCACTCCCCTGTCCCCTGGGGCCCCACCCCTCTCCAGGCCGTCTCCTGCGGCCTCTGGCAACCACTGGCCGGCTTCCTGCCGGCACGGTTTGCCTGTTCCGGGCACTTGCCGTGCAGGAAGTCGTGCGGTGTGCGCGCTCGGTGGCCAGCCTCGCCCACTTGGCTCGTCCACGGTCGTCCCTTCTGAGCACCGGTAACATTGCATTAGGTGGTAGCTCCCACGTTCTGTGTGCCAGTTAGTGGGCACTGTGGGCCGTCCCCCGCGGCCCCTGTGAGGAGTACTGCTGCGAACACGCGTGCACAGGTGTCAGGTGGGCCCAGGTCTTCACGTGGGGGACACCTCGAGCGGAGTTGCTGCTTCTGTGACTGACTTCTGAGGGCCCGCCCCCTCGTCTTCCAGAGGGGTGCTCCACAGCCCAGCTTCTGAACGGCACCGGTCTGTCACGTGACAGTGTCTGAACGGTGCCCCTCCCGTCCGCAGGGCCAGCAGTTCCCGGCCCTGCTCACCGACCCCTCGCTCGCGGGCGCCGGGGGAGCCGGCTCGCCGCAGGTCATCCTCGTGAGCCACACCTCCCAGCCTGCAGCTGCCGCCTGCGAGGAGATCTTCCAGGTACGGGCGCACGTGCACTCCCAGCGTTCGTTTGCGGTGGCGTTGAAAGCCTGGACTCCGCAGGGGCGGGAAGCGGGCGTTGCTGGCAATGCCGCTTGCGTGTGTGGAGGCCGAGCGCGGCACCTGCAGCCGCTGCTGGGTCCTGGACGTGCCGGGGCCTCTGCTTTGTTGAACCATCCCTGACCCCCGGCCTGGACCCCGACAGGCAGGCACCCGGACCAGTGGCTGCTGCTCGGAGAGGGAGCAGGCCCGAGGGGGCGGGGCAAGCCACTGGAGGGCTGCTCTCCAGATGCAGGTCCTGTCCGGGGAGCCGGCTTGGTCAGGGCCCCCGGCGTCCCCGCGTGGCAGGTGCCATCCTGGTGCAGTGGCGCCAAGACCCGCTGCCTGTGCCCTGAGGACCCGCGGGCGCCAGGCCTGGTGCCTGCCCGCACGCACGAGTGCTGCCCTCCCTGGGTGTGCCAGCCCGCGTGCACTGAAGGCCCGCATCCCCCGCCCGCCGCAGGTGACCGACGTCTCTGCCCACCTGGCGCCGCCGCCCGAGAAGGAGGGCCGACTGCACCCGTGCGCGGAGTGTGGCCGCAGCTTCGCCTCCTCGGCCCTGCTGCTGCAGCACAGCAAGGACGCGCACGGGCGTGAGCGCATCCATGTGTGCCCCGCCTGCAGCAAGGCCTTCAAGCGGGCCACCCACCTCAAGGTAGGCCCTGCCCCGCGCTCCTGCCCGCCGGGCTCCGGTGCACCCCGCCTTCAGAGACTGCCCTGGGGCTTTGCGGGAAGGGCAGGGGACGGGAGGGGCGTTCTCGGGGCGCTCGGTCCCAGGTGAGCCAACTGCAGGTCCACGCGCAGGCACGGCGTCTGGTGCCCAAAGGGAGGATGGCCTGCCGGCAGCCCCTAGTGGCGGCCATGTTTGCGAGCGGCAGGGAAGCCGGAAGTGTCCCGGTGGGAGGCTGCGCGCTGCACGCCCTCTGCGGGGAACCGGGGAGCCCCTGACTGGCACCCACTGGGGAGCCGGCACAGACCGTGCACCTGTGGTTCGTGGCAGCGTTGCTTATAACCACGGACGCCCGGGTGTGACCTGAGGCGTCCCCACAGGGGCCGGAGCGCGGCAGCAGTGGGACATGCCCGTGGCGGAGACAAGGAGGGGGTGAGCTCAGGGAGGGGCCTCTAGGCCAGGCAGTGGTCCGGGGGAGTGTCACCTTCCTCCTGACGAGAGCGTCACCCTCAGGAGCCAGCAGGTGTGCTCCGCAGACCCACAGCAGCTGGCCCACTCCTGAGTCGGGGGCCCCACAGTGACGTCCTGAGGAGCCCGAGTCCCTTTGTGGCACAAGTTCCTCTTGCAAAGGCCACCTGGTCGGCCCCTGTGACGCCGGCCCCTGAGACGCTGGCCTATCGTGCAGCCCGTGCGGCTGCAGTGTCCTCGCCTCTCGGGGCGTGTCGGTGCTCGCGTGCTGTGGTGGTGTCGAGGAAGATCTTCATCTTCATCTTCAAGCGCTTGCTTGAGGGGTCGCGCTCCCTTAGCTCGTGGACAGGACACAGAGGCGTGACCGCGGGGGAGCTGTCTGGCGGAGAAGGAGCCCTCTCAGAGAGGAGCGGAGGGAGAGGGTTAGAGACTTCCCGGCGAGTTCCGAGAACGTGTGTTAGCATGCAGGGCCCGGCAGGAGTGAGGGCTGCTCGGGTGTGGTTGGCGGGGTCACAGCGTTGTGTGATGGTTGGTGTTAGTTTGAGCGTTTCACCAGAAGTGTCGTGTGCTGTGCTTGAGTGTGATGTTGTTGTGGTACAGAAACACAAGTTTATGAGCTTGTGATAAAACATTTTGTAATAAAACAGGGGCGTTATTTGGGCCAGACTCTGTATGTTACTATATACAAAGTGTGACTTTTCCGTAAATGTTGTGGAATAGTGTCACACGATTTGAAAGACACAATCTGGCCTTTTAATACCTGTAAGTTACTTTGTCTTCCTGATCTTCCGGAATCTGTGGTGTAAAAGTTTGTGATGCATTGCACCAAAATAAGGAAGTGCTTGGCACATGCACGCACACGCACACACGGTGCCAGGCCTGTTTCGGGGGGCCCAGAGCAGGTGCAGCCAGAGTGAGGGCGCAGACGAGTTACCAGTGGGCCGCGAGGCGCGGTGCTCGGCAGGTTGGCCTGCGTCCGCCCCGACGGGCAGGCCGGACCGGGCACGCCCATGCACGAGGAAGGGGCGGGGCTCTTGTGAGGAGGGACCGCAGGTGGTTTGCGCAGGTGCTGCCCTCGCAGGCTGACCCCGCTCCTGGCGGTGGGGTAGGGTCTCGCAGACTCAGGCCCGTCCCCCTCCAGAGCCCAGGGTGGGGTGGGTGAGCATGGACCGGCCCACGAGGCTTCAGCTGGGGGACTTGCCGGTGTCGGCCACGCGGCGCACCTGGGCGTGGTGTGACGGGCCCGCAGCCCTGGTCTCTTCTCCGGAGAAGTGCCAGGCGGGTCCCTGTGCAGGGGGCCCTGGTGTCCCCTGCCGGCCCCAGGCCGGCCCCTCTGCGACCCGTGGGGCCCCCGGGAAGCCTTCATAGCGGCCCCCAAGACGCCCCGCTGCCTGCACCCCCACCGCTTCTCCCCCCTGCCCAGCCTGTGCGGCCCCCGAGGCCCTGGCTGCGGCTCACCCTGTCGCCCCCCCACAGGAGCACATGCAGACCCACCAGGCAGGCCCCTCCCTGAGCTCGCAGAAGCCCCGAGTGTTCAAGTGCGACACCTGTGAGAAGGCCTTCGCCAAGCCGAGCCAGCTGGAGCGGCACAGCCGCATCCACACGGGTGAGCAGCCGCCACGCGGTGGGGCCCGCGTTCCCGGGACACCCGCGGTTTGCAGCGCCAGGGCCACGCGGCCCTCCTGCCCTGGCGCTGACCGCATCCTCGTGGCGGCCGGTCCCGCAGCCCCTCCTTCCCGGTCGCACGCCGGCCCTCACACCTTCCCCGCCGGCTTTGCCGTCCACCCCGGCCTCTCGCCCCTCTGCCGCTGCTCAGCGGCCCCGGGACCCCCGCGGACCACTCCCGCCCCACAGCCTGCGGTCCCCACACCCTCGGCCGGCGCTGGGCCGGGCTCTCTGCTCCTGCACCGCCTCCTCGGGGGGCCCCCGGCCGCCTGCGGCCTGTCCACCTTCTCTCCCTGCGCCCAGCAGAAGCCACACGGGGCCACTCCCCCCCACACGTCAGGGTCTGGGCCACCCGAAAGCAGTGAAACACCATTGAAACACGAGTGTGCAAGACCCGCTTTCAATGCCATGGTCCTGAAGTCTCAGGTCCTGGGGGTCTTTGCTCCAGGGCCCTGGGGGGTTAGAGAGATACCTGGCTGTCCCGACTCCTGCCTCCAGGCCCCTCGGGGCTGCCCCCAGCCTCCGGGCAGCTTGTCTCGGGTCACAGCCGGGTGGGCGCTGGGCCCCTGGGGTGGAGAGGACGTGCTGGTGACCCCTGGGGGCCTGTACACGTCCACCGGCCATTTGCCCGGCTGCGCCCGCCTCCTGCACGGGCCCCCCCAGGGCAGGCGGGCGGGCGGGCAGCCCCCCGCTGACCGGCCGGCCCGCCCGCAGGGGAGCGGCCCTTCCAGTGCACGCTGTGCGAGAAAGCCTTCAACCAGAAGAGCGCGCTGCAGGTGCACATGAAGAAGCACACGGGCGAGCGGCCCTACCGGTGCCACTGCTGCGCCGTGGGCTTCACCCAGAAGAGCAACATGAAGCTGCACATGAAGCGGGCGCACAGCTACCCCGGTGAGCCCCGCGTCCCCGGGGGGTCCCCGGTGAGGTCCGCGTCCCGCGGCCACGGGCGGCCGGCACGCTGTCAGCGCCGCAGCCTGTCCGCAGGGACTGGGGGGTCCCCTTCCCCAGCGTGCAGCGCGAGGTGCGGGCCGGGTGCAGGGAGGCCCTGCGGGTCTGAGTGGCCGCGGTGTGCCCAGTGCTCCCGGAGGGACGTTAGGCTCTCCTTCCCACGGACAGGGCCTCCGTCTCCAGGACGACGCACTCGCGCCGGGGCGGGGTGTTGTGGCTGTGAGCCCTCCGCCGTCTCCCCCGGAAGCCGGGCACGCTGCGGCCTCGGCGAGGAGGGGCGACGAGGGCCTGCAGCAACACGGCTGCCGGAGGCCCGGGCTGTGGGGGCCGAGCCGGACGGTCTGGGGCGTGACAGGCCTCGGGGCTTCCGTGGGCGAGCACCTGCAGGTCAGGCAGGCGTGGGAGGGTGTGACCCGTGAGTGACATTCGACGGCCTGGAGGTGACAGGCGCAGGGTTGTGCAGGTGACCAGAGGAGGAGGACGCTGGGTCACAAGGACGGGAGGGAGGGGGGCTCCAGTGTGGCAGTTCCTGCCGCCTGCCTGCCAGGAGGACAGGCTTATTGCCGCTGTGTCGTCATCCTCAGGTGCACATGCACGCGGCTGGTGCCGCCGCCCGGGTCAGAGAACCGGTACACCTGCCCCAGGTGTGCTGGCTGCTGCTCGGACGACCCTCGCGGTCAGTGCCACAGTCCCTGCCTCTGCTGGGGCCTCCTCGTTTAACGTGGGCCCCGTTGTGCTCTGTGTCCACCTGCAGGAGGCTTGCAAGAGCCCGCCGGTGCCCAGGAGCAGGGCGTGGAGGAGCTGGGCCAGACCCTGCACCTGGAGGAGGTGGTGCCCGAGAGCGCGGGCGAGTGGCAGGCGCTGGCCAACGTCTTCTGACGCAGCCCGCGTCTCCCTCGGACGTCTCCGGAGGCCCACGTGGTGCAGAACGGAGCCCTTGGAATGTCTGTTTTGGAGCTTCGAGTGTTAAACATGCCATCACAGTAGTTTTTAGCTCTCGAGTTATCCGAAGAATCATTGTCTTTCAGAGATGGGAAAGTGGGGGAGCATCCTCACTCGCCCGCAAATCACTGAACTCAGGTACTACAGTGGGCGGCCTCACGCCCGCCCTGCAGCCGGCGTGCCTGTCCCCACGAGCTGACGGGGCCTGCCGGCGTCGTAGGGCGATTTCTTTGCGTTAGCAAAGGCTGTGGCGTGGCCACGGGAGAGGCCCGACTCCCCTCGTGCTTTCTGTTCTAAGAAGCGTCGCTCACGGAGCACACGCCAGGTTGGCGCCGCGGCTCGGAAACACGTCAGGGCCCAGGGAGGGCTCCCGTGCTCCGCTCCGTGTGTTGTGGAGCGAGTGGAAGCGGACTCTTTAGTCTGCGGTGAGTCCGTGGAGATGACACCTCGAGAGACGGCTGGACCAGTTCTCTCTCCGTCCCCACGCCTGATCACTGGTTACCCGAAGGCAGCCCCTGGGCGTCCGCACGGGGGGCACAGGCAGCCCTACACTCGCTCGCGACGGGGACACCTCGCCGGCCAACTGCAGGTCCACGGGCCAGACGCGGCAGAAAGCACAAGCCATAGGCCGCAGGCGGGAAGCGACGGAGACGCCTGGCCCTGGTCGCGGCGGCGGGGGCCTGCCCGCCGTGGACAGACTCGGACTGGGAGAGGCCGTGGCTGCTGCCCGGGCGTCGGCAGGTGCGCGTCCATTTCAGGGAACCCTCGAGTCTCATCAATGGTGCCACACCCAGCCCGTCCCCACCAGACCCACCCGTGCAGGCAGGGGTGTGCCCTCCCTCCAGCATTCCAAAGACGGGCAGTCCTTGGTGCGCGCCCCTGCGGAGTTATTTATATGTTCTACATATAAGTGCACATGTACATACGCAGATACAGGGCCTCTGTGTGGCCGAACGGTATATTTTGTAAATAGAAGCACTCGCGCCCCCCCCCCCCCCACCCCGGAGAGAGCGCCCGCTCCGCGCCTCCCCGCGAGCACTTCCCACCAGCACTGTGTCCCCGGCGGCGGTGGGGGCCTCCCCGCGGGGCGGGGCGGGGCGGGGCGGGGCGCCGGGGCCATGCGTGTTCCAAGGAGTGGTTGCCTTTCCTTGCTCTCTGCCTCGCGCTCCGCGCTCCCTGCTCCCCGCGGAGAGCACTTCCACTGTAAACGTCGTCGCATGGACTCGGTGCGTGGAGGGGCCCGCGTCTCAGGCCCCCGCGAGCGAGCCCGCCCACTCCCACTTGTCTGGAAGGGCGTCTCCTGGGTGTCCCCGTTCGCTTCGGGATCTGTATATAGGTGACATCGACGGTGATGTAAAAAGTTTTGTTACGTGGAAATATTTAAGTCAGAAAACTGTTAAATAATATTACTTCTTTTTTCAAACTGCTTTGTGTACTGTATATTTTTTTAAGGGAAAAAAAGCCTTATTTGACTTATTCTTGTGATACTGGACTTACTGTATACCCTGAGGCTTTTCTCAAATGTTGGTGTGTGTGACCTGGCTCTGGTCAGCGTATTCCGAATCATTGTAATTTTGCCAGAGTTTTAAAGGTTCTGCTTTTAATGCACTTTCTTTTATAATTTTGTATTAAAGTATTTTAGAAATGTTGATTAATTTTGGTGAACAAATATCCCCAAAGTTGCAACTATTGGAATTTTAAAAGAAATTTTGTTCTTGCTAGTTTATTTATTTTGTTTTTAGCATTAAATGTCATCTCAGGACAGTCTCTGAAAGGGGTTTGTTTAATTCTGAACTGTACAGAAAACACAGCCCGCTGCGCTGTGCCAGCCAACTGCCCGGTGAAGGGCCTTACCCGGTGAATCTAAAGCCTACCTTTATTTTGGTAAATGAGAAGAGAAAAAAGTCTATGGCTAATCCACTTTGCGAGTGTTGTCGATGTATCAGCGGGCAGACACAAGGCACTGCCGCGTAAGTTGGATCTGCTTCCCGATCCCAAAAGCCGCCTCCTTGCAGGGCGTCCCTGGACAACACAAGGGCCGGCGAAGACAGCGCCTGGCGGCCCCGGGGGGCGTGTGGCCGCCCGCTCCGCTTCGGCCGCCGCCCGTGTCCTCGGGCGGGGGGGGCTCCGGCCGTCTCCGCCACCAGGACTGCGCGGGCGGGCAGCTGCGTTTTTAGAGCTGTCTCACGATAGCACATCTGTCTAGGAACTACAGCAAATAAAACATCAAGTTAGGAGGCGAGATTTTTTCTTTTAAAAGTTTAATGTAAGAAAGGTGGGCGCGAGAACTCGCTCCAAGTTCAGATAGTTTTTAACACACACGCATTGGAACATTTTTCTTCCCCTCTGTGAAGTCCAGAGAAGGAAAGCCACCCCCCCCGCCCCCGCCCCCTGGCAAACTCGGCGACACCGAGGCCCCTGGAGGAGGCCCGTGGGCCTGGCGCCCCGTCCAGTCGACGATGGCAGGCAAGTGTCCCCACGGGACGGCAGGGGTGAGGCGGAACTGTCTCCGCAGGAGTAGGAGCTCCCGGGCCCACTGGCGGCTGCCTTCCGCCCCACCTGCCTGTGCCGGTGCTCAGACACGAGTGGGGGGCGAGTCTGCGGCCCTCGGGGACTGGGGGGGGGCCGGGGTGCTGCTGCTCTGTGTCTCCAACCCCTGTGTCCCCGAGGGCGTGTGGGGACCTGCCCCTACAGGGGAGTCCCAGGGTCCTTTGCATGGAGAAACGTTAGCGCCACCCAGCGCCAGCCTCTGACTCGGGGACCGTCCCTCGGGGCAGCATCCGGTGCCCCTCCGCCCATGGGCATCTGGAAGGAAACGGGTTCTCGCGCTTCACCCTCTCAGCCGGGGCTTCCTGGCTTCCGCACTCCTGCCCGGCGTGCGCGTGCGAGAGATGCGCGTGTCAGCGCCCGCACAGGGCTCTGCACGGCCCAGGCCCAGGGGGTGTCGGCGCTCACGCGGGCTTCCCTCCGCGGGAGGAGACCGCCTCCCGTGAAGGTGACACGCGTTTCAGCGGAAGAACGATCGCTCGGATGTCCGTGACGCCTTCTTAAGAAAATGTGTAAGACCTCCGGTGCTGTTTTCCGGCTAGATTTTTGGAGCGATCTCACGCCTGCTCTTCGCGTATTTTCCCCCAGAAGGTGACTTTAAAGTCAGTGCCCCTCTCCCCCCCCCCGCCCCCCCAGAAGCGTTACTCCAAGGGCCCACCACTGCCAGCTCATTTCCTCTCGAAACTCTGTTGCGCCAGGTGAGGCAGCGCTGACACTACACAGCTGATACTTGTGCATCTGGATCTCTTCTCTCTCGGCCCCTTCGTCCGTGTTCACGTGACACGGGTGTTTTTGGAGTCGGTAGAGGAGAATTCCAGCCGCGCCTGCCTGGCCGCCGGGGCCTGAGCGCTGGCACCTGCTTCCAGCAGGGGGTGGCGTTTCACCATCGACTCGCATCTCCCTGGCGGTTTACACGGGGGCGGGGGGGGCGGGCAGCCTGCGGGTAGGGGCAGCCCCCTGGCGAAGACACGTCTCTGCCTTGGGAGGTCCTGCACCCGGTGTCCCGTGTGGTTGTCAGCGACCTGCACACGCCCCCTCGCTCAGCCACACGCGTGCACCAGTGAGCCCGAGCACCCCCTCACGCCCAGCCCTCCCCCCGCCCCGGGCGCTGGGGCGGGCGGTGTGCGGGGGGCTGGCAGGCTCCCTCAGTGCCGAAAAGTGGACACCGAGTGGCCGGGGCGGGGGCGGGGGCAGTGACCTCGGAAGACCGTGCTGGTCCGTCAGGTCTCCGGCGACACTTGTCCTCCAGGGAGGCCTCTGTGTCCGGGCAAGACGGGCGGTCTGAGCGGTTCCGAAACCACAGTGGTTCCTTCTCCACTCACCACTGAGGAAAAGTTACAATTTTTTTAATTCACAGAAGCATTCCTTGTTGTCTCCGGCATTGCTTCATGGTCTGTTTATACGTTGGATAATATTTATTCGATCCTCTTTTGTATTGGAAATGGATACTTAATGCCAAGGCCACTGTGCTGGCTTTCAGAACAATAAAAACAGTTTTTGTAGGATTTTGAAGCTGCTGTGCATTGAGTTACTTGGGCTTTGGGGGAGTCCCAGCGGGTTCGAGGGGGACGTTCTCGAGGTGACTTTGCAGCCTGGACCGGCGCACGGTGGCGCTAAATCAGCACCGTGTCCCGGTGCGTGGGGGTGACCTCTGCCAGGCCGTCTCACCTCCTGTCCGCGAGGTCACGTCCCGCCTGCTCGTTTGTGAGGGGTTCGGGGGCGACAGGACGTGAGGCGGGAGGAACGCAGTCGCTGTGCCGGTCTGCCCGTCCAGGGGACGCCAGAAACCCAACCCCCAGTGATGCCCCCTGGGGCGAGGCCACACCGTGGTGTCTGGCCCCTTTCAGAGGCAGGTTCTCAGCCTGGAGCCGCGGGCCGTTGTGGGCCGCGGTCCCGTGGAGAGTGAGCGGAGCAGGTCTCCGGTCTCAGTTCTCCGTTTCTGGAGCGGCGGGGGGCTCTGCACCCCTCGGGCGAAGGGCTGCGCGGCCGGACTGCGGGACCTCCTCAGAGGGGATGCTGGGGGGCCGCCCCCCCCTTGTCGCCTGTTGGCTTGGGGGCTGGGGAGCCGCTCTGGTGGCGTGTGAATACGGGGTGGGGGTGGCGGAGGGGACTTCTCAAGTGATCAGATTACGGTCACTGTTCCCTCTGCGGTGGGTGGCCGCAAGGGTTTAACACGCCTCTCCCGAGGAAGGTTCCAGAATGCTCGGCGGCACACCCACCCTGTGCACACCCGAGACGCAGGGGGACTTGGGACCCGGGCCAGCGAGCCCTGCACCGGCCACTTGAAAACCGTGATTATCTTCCCACGGTTTCCCAGCCCCTGCGCCCCGAGGGCCGGGGCGGCGAAGTGAAGGGGGGGCCGCCATGGGCTTGGGGCCCCTGTGCCCACGGGCGGGGCCGCGGCTGCCGAGCCCGGCCACGCAGGGCGGGGGCTCCGGTGCACGGGCGGGTCCCGGCCTCGCCCCGGACTGGGGCCGGCCCCTGCGGAATCCCTCCGCCGCTGCCGGGCCTGGAGGGAGCCCGCGGTTTTGTCAAAAGTAAAACAAAAAGCCTGTTGGGCTGATCTTCCCAGGAGCGAGGCCCCGCAACCACAGTCAGCTGTCCACACACGCGGACACAGTCCGGCGTCAGCGTGTCTGCGAGGGAAGGGCGGACCCGTGTGTCCGAGGCTCCCGCGGGCGGGTGGGCGGGCCCCACCGCGCCGCATGCGTGGGGTTGGGGGTGGTCAGAGGCGGCTTGCGACCTCCCTCCCTCCCTCCCTCCCTGGGGGGTCTGGGCGGGCGCCCTAACGGGGACCCGACTCCACCGCTCGTCATCGCGTCACCCGGGCAACGGCCACGCACCTGCCCGCGGGCGCCCTCGGGCCGTGTGGGGACCGCGCGGCCAGCACCCACGGGGGCTCAGACGCGAGGGTCGCGGCCCGGAATGACAGGAAGACACGGCGGGAGCACCATTAAAAGTTTATTCACGTCACTGTCCGAGAACGGCATGCACGTCCCGTGGCAGCCGTGGCTGCTGTTGGGGTGTCGTCTGCGTGGCCCCCCCGCCGGCAGCAGCTCAGACGCGGGCCACGCTGGGGGAGTGAGGGGGGGGTGGCGCCCCAAAGGCGGTTCTGTCTGGGCGCCCACTCGTCACCGAGGCTGTGTGTTAGTGGACGTTACACAAACCCACACTCGACAGTCGGGGTTAGACGGGGTTAGGGGGCCTACGGGGGCCACGCCCCCTGCTCACTCTGGGGGGGGCGGGCGGGGGCTGAGGAGAGGCGCTACAACTCAAAACGCAGTCAGTGTGTTAGGGAGGGCCGGGGGTCGGCTCGTTAGAGGGCCCTTCGGGGTCGGCGTCTCCAGCCTCGGGCTGGGGGGGCCCGGGCCGGGGGCGGGGGCAGGATCAGCATCAGGACAGAGTCGGGGGCGGGATCGGGATGGGGGAGAGGGGCGGGCAGCCCTACGGAAGCCTGGCCGGCCCACCCCAGGAGGAAAGCCGAGGAGGGCGACCCCCCCGGGAGGGCGGTTAGTGTTTGCAGCGCGCACTGCCGTGCTGCACGTGCCCCCGGTCACGGTCCGCTTCCCAGTGACCGGGGCGGCTCTGCGTGGCACCCCGAAATCTCCTCCAGTCCACTCTCTCTGTGCAGGTCTCCCCGAGCTCTCGGCCGGGCTCCGGTGACGGTTCCTAGGGGCCGCTCTGGTCCCCGCTGTGTCCTCGCCTGCTCCCTGCTCCAGGCCACGGCCCAGCCCCCCTGCCGCCGTCCGCTCTCCGTCGCGCGCGAGGCCAGCCGCCCGGCGGGGGGGCGGCCCGCCGGGCCCTCGGCGCCACCCCCTGCTCTCCTCCAAGCTGCCCACCTGCGTTGCACATACAGAAGCTCCCGCGGGGTGAGGCCACTCGCTGCCTCGTCCTGTTAGCAAAGGGAAGGGGCCTTCGGGGGTGAGACGGGGCAGGGAAGGAAACCGAAGGGAGCGCGGGCACCAGCCCCACCACCCACGCGTGTCCTGTGTCCACAGCAGCATCGCACGGCAGTGCCGGAAGCCGGGGAAAGGTCAGCCTGTGCAGCAAGGCCAAGGGTGGAGGGTCAGCGGGCGGCGGCCCGCCCCTGGGCGCCGGGTCTCCGGGGCGCCCGGCCCGCCGCCGTGGAGTGAAGCTCCGAGACGCTGTCTTCAGATGCGAAGCACGGAGTGCCGGCGTGTTCCGTGCGTGCGCTCCCCCGTGGAGCTGCGGGCCGGAGCGCGCCGGCGGGGTGCGGCGGGCCTGACCCTCCGGTGCGCCGGGCCCCGCTGTGCGCATGCGTCCAAGGCAGGGGGCCGGAGGTCGTTTCTGGAAGGCGGGGCTGGGCGGGGGCCGGGTTAGCATCTCGGGGCGCAGTGTTAGGAAGCCGAGGGCAGGGTGCGGGAGCAGGAGCCAGGCTTCAGCGTCTAGCCATGGGCGACCCGGAGCGACTGTCTCTCCCCCCCTGGGAAGAGAAACACAGCGTTAGGGGCGGGGCCTGGACCACCCACCGCGTCCACGCCGGGCTCCCCTATCCCGGGGAACTGGCCACAGACCACAGGGGCTCCCTGTCCTGGGGGGGTCTGTGGCTGGAAAGGATGCCGCGCAGAAGCGACTGGTCACCCCGTTCCCCACTCCTGTCCTCACCGAGTGCCGCCTCTTCGAGGGCCACAGGAGGAGCCGCGGGGACTCAGTGCCCGGGCCACACCGGGTCTCCCGGGCCAGCGTGGGCATCCTTCCGCGCTGGGTGAGCACTGCCTTCCTGCTTCTAGCTAGAAATCCCAGGGGCCTGAGGGACGCTGTCTGCAAACAGTGACTGGGACCCCCTCGCCTCCGCGGGGACGGGGAGCGGAGGACCCACAAGCCGCTGAACCGCACACGGTCACGCGTGACTTTTCCCCGCGTGGCTGCCCTCATCGGCCTCGCCGGACAGAGCCGCCGACAGACCTCTACGGTCTGGGTCTCAAAACCAGGAAGGGACATGTTTTCTCGACACACACAGTTTTAAAATAGGAAGAAAAGTCGGCCACCGAGACGCGGACCGCTGTGCGCGGCCCCGCCTGTGGCGGTGGCGCGGGGGTGGGCGCCGCCGGCCCGAGAAGACAGCACAGTCCGTCGCTCAGACGCACACGGGAGAGACGCGCTTGTTTGGCATTCCAGTTTCAGTCTCTTCCTCCTCGGCCCCCCCGCCCCTTTGGCCACGGAAGGGGAACTGCTCCCTCCAAGACGTCCTCCACCCGGGAAGCCCCAGAGAGCAAGCCGGGCGTGAACGGCGCTGCTCCCCAGAGCGCGGAGCGCGGTGAACCCAGGCAGCCTCGCCGGACTCTGGGGCACCCTCAGAGCTGCCCTTGGGGAAAAGTCTGCAAGAGCCTCGCCTTTTCCCGAATGTCCACAGAGGAAACCAAGGGCTCCCGGGAGTGTGACCTGCCCCGAGCACGCGGGACCGCCTGCGCTCCCGGCATGCCCTGCGGGGCGGCTCCCGAGACAGCGAGTCCCTCCCCGGGGCTCCTGTGCGGATTAAAACTGGGGGCCTGTTGCTTTTGGCTTCCGCTACTGCGCCACGGCCACTGCCTGCCGGCTGGGAGCTGCTCCCGTCCCAGCGGTTCTCCAGGAGCGCGAGAGCCCCGCCCACAGGCGGGGGGCGTGTCCCCCTGCGATGTGGGGGCTGGTGCTCAGACAGGCCGGGGTGCCCTGGCTCTCTGAGCAGTGGTGTGCAGCCTGCGGCCCCGGGGCCACGTGCGGCCCAGCACAGAGTCGTAAATGCACTTAAAACGCGCCGCAGCCTCAGCCCCCGACCCGCCCCCCACCTGCCCCGTGCCCTCAGTCTCGGGGGGAACTTTCTAATCTGTCGTGACTGCTCCGTGTCGCTCCTGCAGCCACGGGACCACAACAGGCCAGGTGATGCGCTCTGAGGCGGTGAAATCCAGTGAAAGCCGTCTTCACGGAGGTGTGTTCTCATTCGGTCAACTGGAGCTTCCCTTGCACTCCACGGAGAGTCGAGATCATTTCTCAGCCGCCGCCTCACGAGAGGATTTTAGGGACCGGTGGGCCCTTGTCAGGGAACGACAGTGTGAGGGACAAACGGGCGTTTCTGGTCCCCGCGGCTGTCCGTGGTCACAGCCCTGACCCTGCGGCCACCTGAGCACCGTGCGGTTGCCGGTCACCATGCTCGTGGGAGCCGTCCGGGAAGAGACTCCACCCCTCGACGGAGCCCCAGGCCAGCCGTGCCCCTCCCCCGCCTGTCATCCTTGGTGTCATTAAGGGTCGCCAAGCTGTGTGACCGAGTGACGAGGGCCCCAGGACAAGGAGAGAGGAAGCGGGTTCCCCCAAAGACCCCCGACCCGCGGCACATGGCGAGGGGGCCCAGGGAGGGTCAGGGCCCTGCAGGCCCTGCCCACAGAGGGGCCGTCCGGCCGGGCCAGAGGCTGAAGCCATGCTGAGCGCACTCCCGCCACCTGAGTCCCGCCATCACGCCACGTCCTGGAGTCCGTGAGTTCACCTGCCCACTCCTCTCTGCCTCCAGCAGTGGGTCCTGCCTGCACTCCCCGGACCTGCGGCCGGTCAGGAGCTTGGCCCGCGCCGCTCCGGCAGGGGTCTGAGGCTCTTCCTTCCGGGGCAGCGGGGACTGGCCTCGGGAGCAGTGCCGCTCCCCCAGGGCACCTGCGCGCCCAGCGCCACCGGGGCCCAGACGTGGGGGCTGCGTGCGCACACTCGTGTGCAGCGTCTGCCCGGGCAGGTTCCCAGCCCCGATGTGCCGCCCTCCGGACTCCTGTGAGTTCAAGGGCAGGTGGCCGAACCAAGGAGCGTCTGGGCTAGGGACCCAGTCATCCACCATGAACTGCGAAGTCCTGCTGTCTTCATCGTCAGCCAGTGAGGAAGCACTGGCTACGGACCGGAGACCTCCTGTCACGGCTGGTGTGAGCTGCTTGGGTGTCACCTGGAGCTCAGAGGGTGTGTGGGCCCCGCCCCCAGTGGGAGGGGCAGGTATGGCTGAGCCTCCTACAGCAGAACCTCCAGGTGTGACGCAGGTGCAGTTGCCCCCGAGACCCCGGCAGCTGCTCTGAAGACAGGTCTAGCGAGAAGCCACCCAGTGCCCGTCACTGGTCGTGGCGCCCCCGGAGCCCAGGGCTACTCACACCCTCCCCCAGCACGACCATGGCCCACAGCCACGGGAGGCGGGAGGCTGCACGTGGGAACCCAGAATCGCGTGTCCCAGCCCGTGGACGCCAGCCTCGGCCACAGAGCCGGCCTCCGGGGCCGTGTCCGCGAGCCAGGCCCCAGTGCACGTCTGTCCGAGGTACGAGGTCAGGTCCCGCCGCATCTGCGGGAACGTTAGTGTTTCTCCCGAGGAGGCCACCATGGAGCCTCCGTGGGCGTTCTCCCCCAGACGGGGCGCCGAGGGCGGTGTCCAGGCAGAGCCCCATGATGCTGGTCACACTGTATCCGAGGCCCCGGCTCCTGCGGGCACCTGTCCTCATGACGTGTGTCCTGTGGGCGGGGGCGCAGGTCACCGGCCCCTGTACGTGGTTGGGACCCTGGCGTCCGACCCGGCCCTGAGGCCCCCGGTGGGCAGGTGGGCGCCCTGTGTGGGTTGTGAGTGGGTGGGACGGTGTCGGGAGAGCCGGCGGGAGCGCGGCTCCAGCCGCTGTCGGTCCTGGACATCCGTCCCCAGCTCAGGGATTCGGACGCAGTCCTCTCGTGGTACGGCAGTTCGGGAACGGTCCAGCTGCCCCCTGCAAGGACGCCGCGCCTCCCTCCAGGGGCCTTCCGGAGCCGCCTCCTGGCTGCGGCCAGCCCTGAGGTACTCGCGCCCCTGGAGCCCCAGCTCCGTCCCCCGTCCCTGACGGTGGCCGCAGGGTCCACGGGTCCCTTCCTCGTTGTCTGTCCAGGGAGCGTGCACTCCAGCCCCCGTGGCCGCTGACGTCTGCGGGGCACACGGCTAGCCCTCCAGCGCTGGGGTCCAGGTCACGCCGTGGCGCACTCTCCCTAGGAGCCGGTGACTCCGGCTCAGGGTGGACACCCAGGCCCTGAGGACGGTCACAGGGCCTGGACCATGCAGGGAGCCCCTCCTTCTGTCCCCTGCTGGTCACCCCTGCCGCTGAGGCCGGGGCCTGCAGCACTGCCCGCGTCGGCCAGCCCCTCCCCTCCCCTCCCGTCGCGATGCCGCTTGCTCAGCCTGGCCTCCTCCGGACGCCCACCCAGAACGGTGACCGCCTCGGACACCAGAGGCTCAGAACAGCGACCCTCGGCCCCACGGGGACACTGGAGTCTGCCACTCTGTGTCGGAATCGGCCTTTGCTGACCAGAGGGACACGCTGAGATTTCGGGGTATCTGAGGGGCCGTTACTGTCGGCGGCCCGCGGGCACCTCCTGACCACATTGTCCTCGTCGCCTCGCACGGCCACGGCACGCTCCGTGCTCGGCGCCCCTTCCGTGGAGCCGGGAACCTAGGCTCAGCCGAACGCAGGCCGAGGGCTCTCGGCTAGCGAGCGTGTGTTCGGCCTGTGTGGCAGCGGTGTCCTGGCCGCCGGGACATGGGGCATGGGACACAGGTCATGCCTACTGTGGTTTCCGGGGTCTCTCCCGGTCGGCCGACCACCCCCTGCCTCCCTGCCCATCCCCCCTCCATGGTCCCAGGCCACCGCGGCCTGCTCCCGCCCTGGGAGGCAAAGATGCTGCCGCCTGCGGAGCCACCCGACCGTCCAGCGGCGTCTCCACCCTCAGGCCCCCGGCCCAGCGGTGGCCTCCTGCCCCCTCCTGCTCTCAGGGCCCCGAGGGGCCTGGACCCAGGTCAGTGCTCACCCAGACGCCGAGAGCAGCCGGGCAGAGGCTGGACACCCCCCAACCGCCCCAGCGAGTCCCGGGACCCGGGGCAGCTACGTTACCAGTTTGAAGATTCTGGAAAGCGTGCCCTGGACATCCTGGCCCTTGAGGCCCTTGTGAGCCGATTTGTAGTCGGAAGCTCGGCCGCCGTAGCCGAAGCCGGGCTTCTGCCCCTCGGTGCCCTGCGGGAGGAGAGCGCAGCTGGGTCTGGGGTCCCGGGCGCCCCGCCCGCAGTGCCCTCCGCCCGCGAGCTCCACCAGGCGCACGGGGGGGGGGGGGGCGGCCACAGTTAGGGACGCTGCACGGACCGCAGACGCAGGCGGCACGCAGGGACCCCGCTGCCCCACGCGGACAGGCCGCCTCACTGCCTCGTTTCTGTCCCCAAGTCGGGAGCTCCTGAGACCCAAACTCAAGAACTGGCCTTCGGATTATCAGTGCGCTCGGCTTTTCCGCTTTGCCGGGGCCGGGCCGCTCTCAGCTTCCGACCAGCTGGGACTCTTCAGACACAGAACGCACGGCGGGCGCGGCGCGGAAGGACACGGGGCCGCAGAGCTGCCGGCGGGAAGGCGGCGGAAGTGCGGCGTGGGGGCGGGGGTGGGGGTGGGGCGGGGGCGGGGGCGGCTGCTTCGCAGAAAGAGGAGCTGGACTCCCGTTAGTAGGGCGGGAGGGGACGGCGGGCGGCAGGGAGGGACGCACAGGCCTCTCTGGTTAGCGGCGGGGACGTGGTGGCCCGGGAGTGGCGGGCGGAAGAAGGGCGTGGACCCGGCCACCGACACCCGCCTCCGGGCGCTCGGGCGCGAGGCCCGGGGTCTGCTCCTGGGGGGCTGCGCGGCTCCGGAAACAAGGTTTCCGGGTCGAGACCGAGTCCCATCCTTCGGCCTCGCGCCCGCCTCCCGCTGTGAAAGTCACGGCCAGCTGTCGGGGCGTCCGCTCTGGAGGCCTCCGGGCTCCTGCAGAGCCACGGGGTCGGCCAGGGCTCCACGCGCTCGAGCGGACTTCCAGCCAGCGCCGCGCTTCCTCCCGCAGCGCGGCTGCGCCCCAGCGGCTCAGGCGGGCCCGGTGGGACCTCCTCTCCACCGTTTTTCTGCGGGGCCCGCCTCCCTTCCCGCTGCCTTTTCTGCCTGCCTTCCTCTCTGGTTCCCCTCCCTTCGTTCACGGGGTGCCTCGCCATCGGGCCTCTCGCGCCCGCGGAGTGGGCTGGAGATCCAGGGTGCTGCGTTCCCCAACGGACACCGCTCCTGGCTGCGGGTGAGTGGCGGGTCTTCCCTCTTGTTCTGAAAGTTGTACTTTTCATTGAGTCAGACCCACACTTGTTGTTCACCCATAACGAAGGCCTGTGAGCCGCGTCACAACACATGGCCTTTTGAGTTGGCTCGGACGCCAGACTCCCTGGCGCCTGAAAAGCGGACAGACTGCCCCCTTCGTGTGTCCATCAGAATCTGCCCTCGGAGTCCCGGCGCCCGGGCGTCCCAGGAGGCGCCCGGAGGGTCGGCCGTGGAACCTGCAGTTCTCACTGCGGTGCTCGCAGAGCCCGGAGCCGCGGGGCGAGTGGGGTCCCTGGAGACTGAGTCCCTGAACTCGGCACCCGCTGTCCCCTCGCTCCCGCTCTCCCTCAGTGAGAAGTCCCTGTCGTGGGTGGGGCCGGTCTCGGCGATGGCCCCTCAACCCCAGGCCCGCACGGCTGTGGGAGGGAATCTGCATTTTTCTCAAATGTGGGGCAACGTGAGGCTCCCTGGGGAGGAGCCCGTGGAGGGGGCGGTGCTGGGCCCGGGGGTGCCCGTGGCGGGCGAGCACGTGACCAGGGTGGCCAGGTCCACCCAGCCCTGCCCCCGTCCCCCTGGAGAGAACACGTGGGCGGGGGGGGGGGGGGAGGAAGGTGCTGGAAGTTAGGCGGCTGAACCGGAGCAGGAGAGAGCCGTGAGTGGCTGCGCGGCCGGGGAGGGGGCGCGCGGGGACGCGGGTGTGCCACCTACCCAGCTGAATCTGCTGAGGGACAGTCCTCGCCCCTGGTGAGGAAAGAGAGACACAGTTGCGATTGCGCAGGAGGAAAGGGCTTCAACGGAGAAGAAATGCAGTGGAAGCAGCCCGTGCGGGGTGGCTTGTGGGCCCGTCCCCGGGAGGGGGCAGAGGGCACCCGGAGAGGGACAGCGCGCGGGAACCCACAGCCCCGCCCCCGGCTCTGGGCGGAGACCCCTGCACGAGCCGCCGTGCCTATCTGGGGCCACGCAGCCAACACCGCGGCCGGGGCCGGGAGGCCCGGCCCTCCGTGCGGTGTGTTCCGGGGTTTCAGGGAGGGCTGTCCGGAAAGGGGTGACTGACCCAGACGCGCAGAGGCCTTACCTTCCCTTGCGACGGCGGGGGTGTGCGGGGCGTCACCTGCGAAGACACGGGAGACAGTGAGGGGGGGCAGCCCCACCTCCAGAGCGGCCCCGCCCTCTCCCTGGGACCCCGGAGTGGCTTGGGTCTGCTGACCGACGGCGCCAGACCCTGCTGGGCGTGGCCCCACTCCAGGCCGGAACCTCCGAAGTGTCCGGGAGTGGAACCCGGCCCGAGGCCCTGCTGCCAGGGAAGGCAGGGAGGCCCTGCGAGCCGCGCCTTTGGGGCTGGAAGTGACGAGCCCCCTGACACTCCGGTGTGTGGCTCGGAAAACCCACTCGTCCGAGTGGGAAGTATCATTTCAAAGTGTCAGCCGCGCAGAAAGGTCGTAATGAGAAGGCTGCGGTTCTGCTCTTCTCTCTAAGACTATGTTTTCGGGCGGTTCTGGGTGTCTGGGGAAGGTGCCCATGAGTCTCCGAGTCCCCACGGGCCCCCTGGGGTCCCTGTGGCCGCCCTGCGCGGCAGGGGCTCCGCGCTGCAGCTGGTGCACGGGCGTCGTTGCACGGGCGGTTTGGGGGCCACGGCGTCCGCGGGCTTCCCCCGAGCCCCGCATCCCGAGGGCTCTGGCGGAGGTGGGGGTGTGGCGCCCACCGGCCCACCGCTCAGAGCACCTTCCCTGCCCTCTGGTTGTCACTGCCCCCATAGTTGGGCCGGGCTGAGTGTTACACTGACCGCTCATAGCAGTTTAGTGCAAAAGGAGTTCTCCCCGCCCGGGGACCAGGTGCCGAGGCCGAGTCACCAGGGGCAGATTCTCACCCTCGTGGGCCCAGCCCGCAGCCCCCTGGGGCAGACTCACACCGGGTGGCCTGGCGCCGGGCCCCGCCGCCCCTCCCCGGGGAAGAGCACTCACGATGTTTTTGAAGAAGTGGACTACGGGGTTCTCATCCTGGGCCCGGCCGTGCTGCGCCCTCGGGGGCAGGGAGCCGTAGTGGGTGGTTCTGGCCGCGTGGTGCGCGTCCTGGAAGACAGGGCGTGGTGACCTCAGGACAGGCCGCGGCGGCTGTCCTGGCTGGACGCGGCCCCTGACCCCTCGATGCACCCAGACCGCTCCGAGTCCGGACTGCACTCCGCGCCAGGTCGCCGCCGCTGCCGCCGCTGCCCCACAAGACACGCCTGCGGGGACTGGGGCAGGACCTCCCGCTGCGGGGGTCACCGAGCGGGGAGCCCTTCCCACCTCTGAGTCCGCGGCGGGTCCCCGAAGCCATTTTTCGGCGTGCTGTGTCCTGCGTTTTGAGTCACAGAAGCATCGTCTACTTTTAATTCACCCGCCCCACGGTTAAACTAAGAAAAGTCTAAACTCCTCACGGGGTTTTTAAAGAAATGGACGTTCTGTTGTTTCCTGCAGCTCTCATTAATTCTTATTTACCTTGTGAGACAGTTAATGACCTGTGACCTGTTACGTAGATAATAATATTGTTTTGCATCCGAATTATACACACCCGATTTGAATGCTAAAGGAAAAACGACCTGTTTCTGTGGTTTTTATACTGAACGTCTTGGCCACCGATCCTCTCAGGGGAAAGGAGTTCAGATCTTTGGAGGAACGCAGGAAGGTGGTGGGTTGCATTTGGCTCTCGGAGCCTGGAAGTTGGGGGCCCAAGTGCCTGGGGAACAGGCCCGCGGTCCCTCTGCCCAGAACCGGCCCTTGTGAGCATCTCCGGCCTGGGCACGCCCGCCGCTCGGCCGCCATGAACCCAGCATTCGGCACCAGCACGGACTGCCGGCGAACAGGGGGCTCTCCCGGAATCACCCGGTGCTTTTACTGTCTATGCAAGGGTGGGCTACACCTTGGTGGGCTTTCTCGGCTACAAGCTGGCAGCAGCCCAGATGGCTCAGTGGAGCCACGTGGTTATAACTGGGCGGTCACTTGACAAAGCTGTGGCGTCACATCAAATGTCCTGGTGCTGCCCTGGCTGGGGTGGCTCGGTGGATTGAGCGCCGGCCTGTGAACTAAAGGGTCGCTGGTTCGATTCCCAGTCAGGGCACGTGCCTGTGTTGCAGACCAGGTCCCCAGTAGGGGGCGTGCAAGAGCAACTACACGTTGATGTTTCTCTCCCTCTCTTTCTCCTTTCCCTCTCCAAAACCAAATAAATAAAATATTTTTTAAAATGTCCTGGTGCTTAAAGAACATCTAGTTCATCTGGTTGCTGTGTATTAACGAGGGAGTTCAGGAAACCTGAACGCACCACTGCAGGTACAAGGACCCTCTGCGCTGAACACCGGGAGCTGCGCGTGGGAGGCGACGTGGAGAGATGCACCGTGCTCCGGGGCAGAAAGGCCGACCGGTGAGGGGCGCCGGGCCTCCCCCGCTCGGCCTGCAGACGCACGGCACCTCCCGCCCAGACGCCAGCGGGGTTTCGCCGGGCGGAGACAAGCCGGTTCTGAGCCACATGGACCTGCAAACCAGTCCGAGCCGCCAGACAACGGCCACAGAGAAGACTAGAGCGAGGGGAATTCCACCCCTTGGTTTTGCGGCTTCCTGTGTCTGCCGCCAGCGAGCAGATGCCGGGGACAGACACACAGATGCACAGACCCCCGGGGCACAGCAGGGCCCGGAAACGCCCACACACACGAGCGATCGATTGATCGATCGTGGGCAGAGCAGTGACATCAGTGCGGGGCAGAAGGTTCTGGTCTCTGCAGCAGACGGTGCTGGAACCATCAGAGGCCCCTCTTTGGAACAGGGGTCCTGAGCCCGGAGCCCCACCGCCAGCAAAAATGAGCTCAGAGTAGCCCCCAGAGCTCCCTCCACAACGTGAAGCTGTAAGTTCTAGAGGGAAACCACAGGAAAGACCTTCCACGACCTGGGGGTAGGCGTCAGGTCTAAGAACCTGGCAGCAAACTCGTGACCCCTGAAACACACCGGTAGGTTGGACTTGACCGAGCCTGACCTCCGCTGTGCAGAGGATGCGGGAGAGGACGGACCCACGGGCTGCAGAGTCAGATAACGTGTTTACAAATCGCATCTGTGACGAAGAATGTAAAGCCAAATATGCAAAGAACTCAGAAGTCATTGGCAAAAAAAAAAAAAAACAAACCTAGCTAAAAAATGGGTAAAACAGCCGAGTACACATGTCATCGAGGAAGATGGACAGGAGAGGAGTGAGCACAGGGCAGCATCGGCCTCGTGGGCCGGGGAGACAGAGTCCCAGGCGTGAGGCCCCGCCGTGGACCACACGGAGCCCAGAGCAGGGGCAGGGGGCAGCCGGACCCCCCAGGCGTTGCCGGGGCACGCGCCACCCAGGGCAGCCGCTCTATAGAGCAACTGGAGGTTTCTCACAGCCTCGTCACACGCTCACTGTGCAATGTGGCGATCCTGTTTCTTGCTGTTAATAACGAAGGGAAAATCCAGCATTCAGAGAAGCGGTTTTTACGATAACTACCTTGGTCTCCAATTTTTAAAGAAAAACTAACTTAAGTCTTAAATGAAAACGTCATCACAAAACACCTGTACCTGAACGTTGGGAGCAGCAGCTCCTTCCTAATCGTTACATCTGCCGACCACCCCCCACCCCGTCCGCCAGCGGGTCGGGGGACCGGCGTGGTGCGCCCGGCAGCCGAGCACTGCTCCGCGGCGTCTCCCTGGCACTGCGCCGAGTAAGGGAAGGCGTTCTAGAAAGATTGCTTCCTGTCCCATCCCACTTAGGGGGCGTTCCCCAAAAGAGTCAGCCCTAGTGAGGCAGCTAGGGGCCAAGGGGATGGGGTCAGGGAGGGGGGCGGGGGCTGTGCCGTGACTACATAGAAGCAACAGGGAGGTTTGGGGGGTGTCCCCAGGGTGGTGTCAGAATTCACAGAACCGCACGTGCCAACAGCCGATTTCCCGTGTGCGAACACGTAACACAAACTGAAATAAGGCCACAGAGCACCGTCTGCCCACCGGGCCGTGGTGTCATCGCCCGGATTTGCCGTTGGCGCCGCCTGGCAGGTGGGGCCGGTCCCCCTCTTGGCACACCCCGACTCCCGGCCCCGCACAGGCACTGGCTGGCGCGGCTGCCCGTCTGGGACGGTCCCCCCCCCCGCCCCCGCCCCCCCCGCCGGCCGCCTCTGTCCCCCGAACGGGGCAGCACCTCCAGGCTGGGCGGGCCTCAAACTGTCCTCTCAGCTGCCACAGCACCTCACCTCTCCGGCTCGAGTGTACTCTTCTGGAGGAAGAGAAACGGTTCCCCGTGACCCCCAAAGCTTCAGCAGGTGGCCTCCCAGAGAGGGGCTCAGCTGGTGCACGCGGACGCCAGCGGCCGAGGACCAAAGGAGCCGTCTCTCTGACGCGGCCTCGCAGGGACAGCCCGCGCCCGCTGCGGGGCCCTGGAGACTCCAGCCCGCGCCCAAACCTGTGCGGCGTGGGTGAGCCTCGCGGGGCGCTGGGCTCCGCCGTGTCCTCACGCGTGAAACGGCGTGGCGGAAGCGGGGCCTGGCTGAGGGAGCCATGGGCTCGGGAGTGCTGCGCAGCCCGCCCCCGGGGGCAGCTGTCTGGGGGGCCCGAGAGTTCCCCAGCGCGGTCGATTCTCGGGGCGCGTCCTCAGACTCCCCCTGCCTGGGGTCCAGCCTCCTTACCCAGGTGTCACGGACGGAGGGGCAGAAGCCCTGGCCCAGGTTGTCACGGTGACAAACCCTTCACACAGTGGGGGACCAGGGGGTTGCCCGTAAAACTGTTCTTGTTGTGGCAAAAAGGAAGCAACACCAAATCGGCCGTCTTCACCGCGGTGAAGCGCGCCACTCGGCGGCATCGAGGACGCCCACGAGCAAGCGCGGCTGTCACCACGTCACCGCCCGAGCACCTCGTCTTCCCGAACCGACACTCTGTCCCCGAGCCCCCTGCCACCCCGCCCCAGAGGCCCCGAGCCACATCCCCTTGCTCCGCATTCCACGACTCCTCTCGGCTCCTCGAGAGCCGATCCACAGTGTTCGCTGCGCGGTGCCCGGCTGCACACCCAGCACCGGGCCCTCACTCAGCGGGAGGCCCTCACCTGGCACCGGGCCCTCACCCAGCACCAGGCCCTCACCCAGCACCAGGCCCGTCCCCATGGGGACGCCTTTCCGGCCCCCTCCCTTTTCAAGGCCGAGTGGCAGTCCGCAGCACGCACACGCCGCATTCTGTGGTCTGTCCCCCCGTGGACGAGCGTTTGGGCTGTTCTCACCTTCGGCTGCTGGGCGGGGTCACCTGGCCTGGCCCGGCCCCTGCTGCCCTGGCCTTACCTGGTCACCACAGTTCCGTGGCCCCCACGCCTGGCCGAGGGCACGCCCCCACTCCCCTCGCTCCCGCCCTCTGAAGCCTGCGCTGTTGGGTGCGGAGCCTGTCGGGGGGCCGCTCACGTCACCACGCTGCCACCCCGGGCGCCAGCCCCCACGGAGACAGCGGGCCCTCCCGGCTTCGGTCCCTGTCCCGTCCCCTGGTAAAGCGGCCGGGTCCAGGAATGCGCAAACCGGCTCTGGGGCTGGTGGTCACTTTCTGGCCACAGCAGGGCCGGCCTGGTGAGTCATTTAAAAAATAGTGGTTTGGTGTGTTATGTTTTATAATCCGGGGGCGTGGGTCGCTGAGCTCGGGGACACTGGAGGATGGTGTGTGGCTCTCCCGGGGCAAAGGGGACCCGCGGCCTCCCCGTCCCAGCTGGAGGACAGGGTGGGGGGTGGGGGTTGCGTCCAGAGTGACGGGCCTGGGGGTCCAGCAAAGGGCAGCGAGAGAGTGTCCCCACTGAAACCCTCAGACCTCAGGCCAGTCCTGGACTCGGTTTCCTCCTTCAGTCCCTCCTCAGCCCCTGCTTGTGACACACGAGGTCCCCTTACGGAGGCCGCGGAACTCGGGGTCCCCGGCAGAGGGAGGACCCAGTAGCTCAGTTAGTTGTAAAGACACTCGCTGAGTCCTTCGCTGACGGTCACCTTTTAGTCGTGCTCGCCGAGGTTAGACAGAGCCCAAGCCGGTTGCCGCCTACAGTCATCCGCGAGACGGGGTCCCCTCCCCCG